TGTGGACCGCATTCAGTAAAAATGCATTTTAAATGTGCCTAAATTCATTGAGGAAACATTTAAGACAAAGACCACTCAGGCTATTGACCCAGTACTTTTCTAAGATGGTTAGACCACGTGGTACACATTGATTACATAAATATAGTATTATATTAGACAGAAAAAATAAATTATTGGCAGTAGTTAATCCTTAGGCCAAAATAATTAATAATAATTTATTATTTAATACCAAAACAAAGGTAGGTATAGTACCTAGCCAATTTTTTCATGTGCAAATGAAAAACATGCGTTTAGCCGTCAGGTGTGCCAGTGCGTACACACCACGACTGAATATGTGTTTTTCTATGGCATTCATGCTTTTTCAGGTGTATTCATTCAAATTCACAAATAATAACTAAAAAACTTGAATGGCATTGTCTTGCTTTGCCTTTTTATTGCTCCTTAATAACCGAACACAGCCATAATCGAATATACGGCATTTATCCAGAGACAGACGGCATCGCAAACATTTCTATGGGCGTTGAAAACAGAAACAAATATAAAAACAGGAAATTGGGAATAAGAGGAAGAGGGGACAACATAATAAGAATAAGTCCACAACAACAACTACTCGCACATTTGTAGATAATTATAAAATGGGGGAGATAGCGAGACTGGCAAAATACACCATCACTGAAAAAGTCCAACAAAACAAAAACAAATTAAAGGCGTCACAGTTGAGTGAGCAGAAATCAAAAAGAAAAAAGAGAACGATGAAAAGAGGCGAATTTCGGATGAACCAGGTTATACCCAAATATAAATGCATTGCTGACCAATTATCAGCGCAGGTGGCTGTTTGTTTTTATAATCCCTCTTGCATGCTTACGCGGGAAACAGCTGGATAAGATAAGATAAACGAAGGCGATTCCAGGCTGTACCTCCTATTCAGGGTGGCGAGTTATTGTCGTTGATTGATTAAAGAGCAATGCAAATAAAAGTCGTTCTCTAACTCACACACCAACATTCCAATAATTTTTGTGTTTGTGTCAAAGTCAGGTTTGCAACAGAGGGATATTTTTTCTTTAAAAGTTTCAATAAAATTGAGGCTCGCACGTGTAACAACATATTATGCGTTAGCATAACCGTTTTTACATAATTTACTAGCCTACTACCATTCTATGTATATCTGCTACTATTCCCGCTACTGCGATTGCGCAGGCAATTGTTGGATTGTGTGCGTGCTCGAGTATTCTGGAGCTGCTGAATGTCATTGTGTGAAGGATTTTCTTGGCAATTTTGGTATTTTTAGCACAGTGCGAGACGAGGATGTCGGCCAGCATTCCAAGGGGCAGGCAAGTGCTGATAAACCGCAGCCCAAAGCAACGCCCATTGTTCTTAGTGGAGTGATTCTGTAGTCGGTGTATCAGTCATCATAAATAAGATAACTGCAGTTGCTCGCTGGAAGAGAGTCGAAGAGCAGTAGCGATGAGTAACTGAAACTCTCATTTTTTCAAACACTCATGTGATCGTGAAGCGGCGTTGCCAGATCTACGGCACAGTTACTCTTGATAAAAGCCTAAAAATTGATTTATGTGGTCGACTCTCATTGCATAAGCAGCCTAAGTGATGATAATAGGCAAAGTAAACTCTACTAGAAACTGATTCTTCTTCTTCTTGACTATCAAAATAGAGGGTGGGTGGGTCAGGTGCAAGTCACAAGACAAGCTACAAGGAATGACATAAGGATTGCGTCACAAATGGTCGAAATTAGTGGAAAGCGGTGTAAGGGTAACCTAAACTTAGCTGTCATAAACGACAGCGCGTGCTCCCTCTTATTTTCGCCCATGCCTTAAGTTCGTCTTGCGACACTCGCTTAGGAAATCTTATCTTAGCCAAGTCAATTGGTAAATAAGCTACTTATCAGCGGGGTAACTGCGAATGAGTTTCATGATAACCCACTGGAAAAAATCCCAGCTAGCCATGTGATGTAGTTTGGAAGTCGATTGATCATGCAGTAAACGATTTGGGCATGTGATTACCACCGCCGAACAAAAGATCCTCATATGGGGTCATAAGTTGTCAGTTAACTGGGTTTTAAAAAATCTGATATGGGTATGTTTTATATTATCATGTTTTTCTAATTTTCAACATATGATTTCCTAAGACAAACATAAGATATGCAACTATTAGGTCATGAGGAGTCTGATACTTAGGATTACAAAGAAAAAATATTTCGACCCCTGCTCTAACCAATAAAAAAAACTTCAATATGGTAACACTTCTCTGTGGTCTTGTGACTGTTGTGAGAAAAGGAAAGCGCGCTTCATAAACTTCACCAAAAACAGTAACTGTTCTCGCACTCACACACATGAGCTCAATGCCACCGAGTGCGAGAGTGCGCAGCGCTCGAGAGAGCAAAGAGTTAACATGTGTGTGTGTATGAGTAATGCCGTTTTTAGCATGCTGAAAGGCGAAATTTATTTTTTCACTGCGAAATAAATGTAATTAAAAATTGTAATTATACAAATTGTAAATAAGAGTAAATATTTTTGAAAGTAAGCTACAATTCGGAGCGTGTTAGATTTACTGCTGGTCACGCACACACAAATGAGGACTTGTTTCCTTTGTGTAGATAAAAGCCCGTGTTCCTACACCATTTGTCTACCCTTGCCGCTATTTCAAGTTAGTTTCACATATAAAGACCCGCACACCCACATGCTCTTCCTCTTCGCCCTTTTTACGCCACAAAAAATGTTCGATTTTTCACGGCATGGGCATCGCATGACATATGAAATCCTTAATTCAACTTACCCGAGAAGATGATGGCGGAGGCGGCGCCCATAACTCCGAAGAAGGGGCCATAGATTGGGTTGTCGCTGCTCACTTCAGAAGACATTTTGCTTTGTTTGTTGTGTGTTTAAGCTACAAATGATCGAAAGGCGAGATTTTAATTCGTTTCGCTGCTTCTTTTTCTGATTGCACTGTAATTTTTTTCGGCGTTTTGCACTGCTGAATCTGAATGTTATGCGCGCTCGTTTTATATGTATGCGTTGCTTCGATTCGAAACAAAGTATTTTTATTATATGTACAATATATGTGCTATATACGTGGGGCTTTACGCTGCTTTGCTCTGCGACCAATGCTGCTGCGACGACGAACGAAGTACGAGTGTGGTCGCTCACGGATATACTTAAATATACTTTTTAATCGCGAGAGCGTTGAAAACGGAGCGAGTGGCCAAAGGCTAAAACTGGGAGAGAGTCGCCGATGAGAAATAATGAGCGAGAGGTACTCGTTGGATATTGCACACTGTGTGTGTCATGTTATGTGCCCGTGTGCGTGAGAGAGTGAGCGCATGACAAAACGGGCTCACATGAACGAAAAGCAAGTCCAATTGGCAATGACAACGGCCTGGAAAATTACACACGCACACACAATCACATGCCAGTGGATGAAAACTTGATTTTCTTGGCTTTTGCTGATAGAGAACTTTTCCGTTTTCGAAAGTCCTGAAGAAACCTTTTCCCTGCGTCCAATTTTCCCTTACAAAAAATGCACACCAACAAGCGATCTCATTGCTATTGACTGAGAGTAGCTATTTTGTGTATGTGTGTGTATGTACATACGAATGTCGTGGCAGAAAATATTGTACAATTTTTTTTCGCTGATTAAACTCTGTTTAAAATCGAAGTTGCCTCAGCAGCATAACTTTTTTCCGAGGGCAGAAACTTGGGCAGGCTATCCTCACATGACCGCCGATCGGCGATGCTTTTCCACTCACGTGATTAGAAATCTAATTAAAGCAATTCGATGCTCTGTGGCTGGCCTCTTCGGGTTACTGATGGCTTGCTGCGTAAAAGCGCGGATCGGATACTGAACACCAACGAGTTATTCTGCTTTGCTTTTATAAACTTTAGTCACGGGGGCGGATTGGTGGCGATTTTTGGGCCAGCGTTGCCACATAACAAAAGTTGAAACGTACTAAAAGTGTTCCCACTAGATTGAAATACTAAAAAAAAATATCGCTAAAAATTTGAAGCGCACAATAAGACATTGGTACTTCTTATCCTTTATTTATTTGTTTCCCGCATAGTTTCATACAGTTTAGAGTAACAATATAAAATTATATTTTAATCCAAATCAAATTAAAATTAAACAAAATGGTTAAAATATTTATTTAAAAGCTAAACCAGAGGCTCAAACAGCCTAAAGTTTATCGGAAGTTGCTTCCGGGAGTTCATTACGATATTGAATGTTTAGTGTTAACTGGATAAGTCTGGCAATCCCTTTGATTACAATCTTTGGTACGCCAAACGGTAACATCTTATACATGTCAAAACTCTGCCATTTTAGAAATATTAAAAATACGCAGGATAAACGCTGGGAAAAATTGAAAATAATGTGGGATGAAAGGGTAGGAAAGGCAACATTATACATATTTTATAACGTTTTAGAAAATCAGAGGGAAACTTAATTTACGCATTTTCAAACTACTGGTTAGACTTTCAATACAATCAGTGTTTCTGTTCTATTTTTTAAAATTACAAAATTTTGTATAGATATAAAAATGAAAATATTATTTTTGCAAACCTTTCAAAAAATAACTTAATATCTTATTTATCCGCCATAAGTTATGTTTGTTTTTATTATCGGAATGGAATAAAATAATTAATAAAAAAAGTGTTCGTGTTAAATATTTCAATCAAAAAAAGAAAATGCAATACATTTAATGTTCTACGTACAATAATTATGTATTAAATTTACTTAAATGAGGTTATTGCACTTGATAAATCTCTTTTTGGCCGAAGATCTTGAGTTTTAAACCCACAATTAATTAAAAACATATCCCCAAATAAATTTCTACTGCTGGTGATGATATTTACTAGTCGTCCAATAAGTTTTTCAGTGGGTTTATCAATAACGTTGATAGCACTTTTTAGGCACGATCCTTTAAGGGTATTAGAATTGTCAGTAACCTTTTAAAAGACCGTACATAGAAGATCATTGACTTCCAGTTTCAGTTAAAACTATTTCAACATATTTAATTTCGTTAAATATACAAATTAATATTAGATAGTCGGTAAATTAACACATTGTATATGGAGGTCCCTTCTAGTACTTCTCCAGAGCTCGCGAAAGCAGTGTGTTCATGTTGGTTAACAGCATGCGGGGATCTTCGGCCAGGCCAGCGCCCACCATGGCATTTGCGAACAGCTGCTTGGCAATAAGTTGGGCCAGCTCCGTATCGCTTTCGCGCAACTTGTTAAGCTTCTTGATTATGGGATGCCTTTAAAAATAATAAGTTAATATCAATATGCAATCAATGCTAGGATACTGTCACTACTCACTTAGGGTTGATCTCAAGCTCTGGCTGAAGAAGGGCAAATCGGTTCTCTTCAGGAATCTGGTGACTTTGGGTACGGATAAAGTGTCGAGCGGCAGCCATCTCTTCTACAGTTATGACACAGGGGTGGCTGTCCAGGCGGGTCGTGGCCTTTACCTTGATTACTTGACCCTTTAGCTCCCCCTCAAGCCAAGGAATCAAAGCATCCAGTTCGGAGCGCAGAAGGCTGCCCTCGCCAAAGTCGGTGGCCGCTGCTGTCTCCTTGGACTCTTCGCGCATCTCCTTTTCTACGGATACCAGGTTCTTAGTTTTGAACTTGCGCAGTTGCATGAGCACCAGCTCGTCGTAGGGCTCATAACAAAAGAGCACCAGCTCGTTGCGCTTTTTTAGACTCTCGTAATAGGGAGAAGACTCGGCCAGAACGCGATTAGGAGCCGCCAGGTAGTAAATATTATGTTGCTCTGCGGGAACGGCGTTGCAGTATTCCTCTAGGGACATGCGGCCACTGGAGTCGGGGGATTTGGAAGACTCAAACCGCAGCAGCTTCGCAATTTCCTCCTTCTCAGTTGGATCGTTGGAAGTCACGATTCCCTCTTTTAGGAAGAGGCCGTAGTCGCGGTAGAAGGCGTCGTACTCATCTGGTTGTTTCTTAGAGCGCTCCTGCAGGAAACGGATTACGCGAGTGGAAATCACACTAGATAGTTTTCGGATAAGGCTGCTGTTCTGGAGCAGCTCGCGGCTCAGGTTAAGTGGAATGTCCTCAGAGTCGACAACGCCCTTCACGAAGCGTAGCCACTTGGGCAGCAGGTGCTCTGTCTTCGACTGAATAAGTACCTTTCGTGTGTACAAAGCAACGCCGGTGTTTCCGTCCCGGGACATCTCGAACAATCCCGGCTTGCCCTCGGGGAAGTAGAGAAGCGCGTGAATGCTCAACGGCACGTCGGCGTTGTAGTGAAGCGTGAATCGTGGAACATCAAAGCTGTTGCTGATGAAGCGGTAGAAGTCATGGTGCTGCTCCTTGCTGATGCTTTGCGGCTCAAGCAGCCAAAGCGGCTTGATTTCATTGGCCTGTTTTCCGTTCAGCAAGATCGGTGAACCCACGAAATTGCTGTACTTCTTGATCACAGCCTCGATCCGCTCCTCGTCTGCATACTCTCGGCAGTCGGTCTTCAAATGCAGAACGATGCGCGTGCCCAGCTCAACATCTGGCACTTCTTCGATCTCATAGGAGCCGCTACCATCCGTGGACCAACGCAGTCCAGGGGCATTGGGCGTAGCCGCCCTGGTGAACACCTCAACTTTGTTGGCCACGATGAAGGAAGAGTAGAAGCCCACGCCAAACTGACCAATGATATTGGAGGACGCTTCAGAGGTGGCTGCCTGCTCATTGCCTTTCATCTGCTCCAGGAACTGCTTCGATCCGCTGCGGGCGATGGTGCCCAGATTGCTGACCAGCTCATCCTTGGTCATGCCGATGCCCGTATCCTGAATGATTAGTTGCATTAGTGGCTTGTCGGTGGTAATGCGAATCTCCAGCGGTCGGTCCTTGCCAGACAGATTCTCTCCCCCAGCACTCAGCGAGGTGTACCGAAACTTCTCCAGGGCATCGCTGGCATTAGAGATCAGCTCGCGCACGAAGACCTCGTGGTCGGAGTATAGAGAACGGGCTACGATGTCCAGTAACTGGCGGGTCTCAGCCTGGAACTCGTGCTTGTCGACTACGGACTCGGAAGACTTCTTGGTCTCCGTAGAGAAACGACAAAGGGAAAGGGCTGAAAATGGTGCAATGGATGTTATGTAAACTAAGTATTCCCTTGAGATGATAGCATATCCAGACATTTACCGGCCGGCGATCGCTGCGATCCCAGGGCGAGATTAAGAGCAGCTGGGGCGGACCGGTGGCTTTGCCTTATCCCTTGGGAAAAGCGGCTGAAGCGGCAAGCCCGGCCTAGCACTCCTATCGCTCGGACAGACATCTTGTTTATCCTTGTTTCTTATGTTTTAGCCAACTAAAATGTTATCCAACTAGAAGTTTGTTCCAGCGCACATGTATGCAGCAATGTCGCCACTGAACCAATCGATTGCAAATTATCGATATCACTTATGAATTTATTAAAATAAATAAACACATTAAACACTAATTTATATTTATTTTTTAACGTAAGATATCAAAAAATAAAAAAAATATGAAATCATTAATTGCTTAGCTTCTCGATGCTTATTATTATTACCAGCAATGGAATACACAACACAGCTGTCGTTTATTGTTATAAAAACATCGATATGCCATATCGATATCAGAGACAATAGTTAACAACCCTGTTCTAGAATGCAACTCTGCTGTAGCGCGTCCGCGTCGCGTTGTAATTTTTGTTGAGTTTTTAAACTAATTATAATTTGAATTCGCGTGTCTTAATAATTAGATTACCATGTTTTAAGTGTTCCACATCCAAGCAAAAAGACGAATAGATCAGAAAATGAGTGCCTCAACCATCGACAATGTGCGGGTTCTGCTGCAGTCGCTCCCCGCTGCCGGGGTGAACAGCGGCTCTCAGCCGGTTGATCAGCAGACGCCGGGAAAGATGGCACTCTCAATTACGCCGCTGCGCGCCAGAAATTCCAGCCAGCTACAGGTCCTCGCAGAGAAGATCGAGGAGAAGCCAGCGTCGCCTCCGGAGGAGTTCTGGCGGGATCTGCAGCAGTTCCACGAGCGACGGGGGTGAGTTTACTAATGATCCCCTTTCCTATTTGACCCTGACCCACTTTTCCGCTGACCAAACAGCACACCATTGACGCAACCGGCCAGGATCAGCGGCAAGCAGGTCGACTTGTACAAGTTGTACAACGAGGTCACAGAACGAGGAGGCTTCAACAAGGTAAACATGAGAGACGAGTGGGACGAGGTGTACAGCACTATGGAGACTCTGCGGGAGCGCTGCGTCAACGGCACAGCGGGCATTAAGCACATCTATAGACGCTATCTGGACAAGTACGAGCGCCTTAATTTTTTCGGTGAGGATCCGGATAAGATGGAGGCACTGGAGGCAGCCATAGAGAACGCGGAAATGGGCGGTGGACGTTCCCGGTCGCGGTTTTTGGCGGGTGCTGGCGGAGGCCTGGGAAGCATCTTTGGCTCGGCGCATTCCACTCTGCCGGCAGTGCCAATGGCCTACAACCAGCGTCAACACTCTGTGAATGCGGAGCGACGACGACAGTACAAGATGTCCACGCAGCTGCACCGACACAGCAGCTACGAGAAGCTTCTGCTGTCCCTGCTCTCACCGCTGCCCAATGAGCAGGACTTTGCCATTAATGTGTGCACCTTGATGGCCAACGAGGCGCGGCACACCTTGCAGCTGTCCGAGTGCCCCAAACTGCTTGACGTGCTTCTTGCTCACCTGGGCGTCTATGCAGACTTCACGATGCGCCAGCTTTTCCAGCACAGCTACGCTGAGGTACGACACCATTCGCAACTTAGTTTTTGGCGCGACCTTCTTCACGACAGGCCACAGATCCTGGAGCTTTACACGGATGAACAGGTATGGTTGGACAATGGTCTGATTAGCAAGGAGGATAGGGAGAACTCTGCCGGTCGAAGTGAACTGTTGGCGGCCTGCGACGAGTTGGACTTCCTTAACCTGCGACGCAGCAATGGTACAGATGAGCGCATGGGGCACCGCGTGCTCCAGATCGTACAGCTAGTGCGAGCACTCAGTTTCCACCAGGAAAACCACGCGCTCCTGGCATCTAATCGCACTTTATGGCGTTATTTGGTAATGGGTGCGAACGTGCGATGGAGTAAGTAACAAAGTACAACAATTATTTACTATTAGCAATTAAAAATGTTTTTTTTCGGTAGGCAACATCCACATCCAGGCTCTTGAGACAGCTGGGAACCTGGCCCAACAGTTTGAGCTGCTCGATCCCACCACTGACGAGCTGTCGCGAAATCTTCTGGCCACTCTCTGTGAGGGTGTTGACTCAAACGACCGGGCTGTAATCATTAGCTGTCTGGAGATACTCTACAAGCTGTGCGGCCGCGAAGGGAATTCCCAGCATATCAATCGTTGCCTTGGCTTGGACTTTTATCAACGTGCTATGTTGCTTCTCTCACTCACGGACGTTATGATGATTATCTTTACTCTGGAAGCAATATATGCGCTTAGTTCTCTTGGCGCGCGACCCTGCTCGATGCTTATGCAAGTGCGAGGCCTAGTGGACCAGCTAGTGGCCCTGATCACCGTGGAGGCACAGTCATATGGTGCAGACGGTTGCATACTAATGAGGGTAGTGGAGGTTGTGCCGGGCAACATGATCGCATCGCTTGCTCAGAACATGCCCGCCATGCAGGCTCCCGTAGCGGACCCCTCCATTACTACGCTTCCATCATCCTTACAAGTGGCCGTTAAGCCGCCAGCAGTTTTGCCCACGCCGACACCCGCCCAGACCCAGGTGCTTCTTCCCCAGGGGGACCAGCACCCTTTGGTTACGGTACCAATTCCCGGCTTACCAATGCCTAGTCTGCCACAGGTTAATTTTCCAGTACCCAGTCTGCCGCAAGTGCAATTGCCCCCAATCGCTGCGACTGTAACCCTCCCCACTCTGCCCTCTGCGACTCAGAGTTTTACCCACGAGGACGAACAGTATGCTCTGGCATGGCTGGGAGCTACATATGAGCGAGCCATCGGCAGCGATTTACGAGTGGAGCAGGCGGAGTTGTACAGAATCTACTTGTCACATTGCCAGAAAGCGGGCAAGCTTTCTGTTGTCAATCACATGCAATTCCCTCGCCTGGTTCGACTTATATTTAACCAATCGGTGGGACCCGTGATTGTGCGTCAACAAGACGGAACAGAGCTGCCCGGGACTTACTATGTGGGCATTCGCATGCGAGCCCAGCCGCTAACAATGCAACAAAGGACCGCCCCCAGCAATGCCCCTGTTAAAAAGGAGACTGCCATATTGCCCAAGCCACCGCCATGTGATCCTGTTCAATCGGAGTTGGCATCTGAGGAATCGATTTCGTCTGCTGTAACACCACCTCCAAGCTCATCGTTGATCAAAAGCCTTTTGGCTAACAAGGTCACAGAGCGCCAACAGAAGCAGAAGGCGCAGTCCCTGACTACACAGCCGCCAGCCCTAGTAGCCACCACTTCTTCGGCCACAAATGCAACTCAACCAATAAAGGTAACTTCTACAGCTATCAGCGCCTTTGTGAACAACCCATTGATGCAGCACACGCCAGTAAAGGTTGGCCAGACCACCATAAAGCCGTTGCACCCTCAGATGACCATTGAAAAGAAACCAATTACGGACTCTGCTCCGCCGCCCCTTGCACCGTTGAGTGGTGCAAACGTGGTGACCAAAGACGCAAGTGGTCGCACCCTCATTATTGCAGCGGCCGCTGCCAAACGTAAATTAACAATCGACGAAGAACAAAACAAGCGTCTGGCCTTAGACGCCGCCGCCAGTAGTTCCAGTTCAAATTCATCATCTGTCGGTAAGGATGAGGCACAAGTGACTCCGTCAAAGAATGCTGCAAATCTGTATGCGGATCTTGCAGCCTCTATTTTGGAGGACGAGGACTTAGACGATGTTCCACCGCTGGCAAAATCAAGTCAGGAGCAGCCTCAACAGCAATCGCAACAGCAACAGCAGCTCCAACTTATTCCGGCCAAAGTGCAACCGACCCAGCGGCAGCTGGTCTTCCCAAGTGTCGTTTCTCCAGCACCGCCTCCGCAACTCAAGCTGGCGACGACGGCCACCATCAAGACGGATCAGGGCCTGCAGACTGTGCCGGTGATACTCCAGCCCAAAACTACGATGGATGCGGCACCAGCGCCTCAGACGCAATATGTTCTGGCCACGAACCAGCAAGGCCAAACATATTTGGTGGCCCAGCAAACGCAGCCGACGATTCCACCATCAACCCAGTCCGCTCCACCCACTTTGCTAGTGACGCAAACACCTCAGCAACAGACCAAAACTATAATCATCCTGCAGCAGCCAGGAGGTGTCTCCGCCACTAATGTAGCGGGCACACAGAAAATGATAATGACAACCGCTCAGGGCCAACAGGTTCTGGTCACCACCACAACAGCTCCGCAGCTGGCCCAGCCACGTAGTGCTACGCCCCAGCAGCAAATTTTTATTGCCCCCCAGCGACCGGTACCAGCGTTGGGCGCTGGCCAAATGTCTCCTTCACTGCTGTCTCAGCTTAACCAGATCCCGGCCACCATCAAACTACACCAACCTCAACCACAACCACAGCTCGTTTCGCCACAATTAGCACCACAGCAACGGCTAGTGGCCACTAAGTCAGGCGCTGCATTGCCCATTCCTCAACTCCAGCAGCACCAATCCATCATTCAGCAGCACATAATTTCCGGACCCTCTACTCCAACTTCCACAGGAGCCGGTCCTGTTCCAGGCGAAAAGAGGCAGGTGATCCTGGGCGGAATTAAGGAGACCACACTCATCACCCAGACCCCCGTCACGGCTGCTCCCCTGCAACAGAGCCAGCTTAACTCGCAGACAATCATCACGACTCAGCCGCCAACCAGCACCTCTACTATTGGAGGCCTGCCTCTGCAGCAGCAGCAGCACATGCGATCCGCTTTGGACCAACAGCAGCAGCATCATCCCTCTATCATTCAACAGAAGATCACCATGCCGGCAGTAAGTTGGGATAAGGGTGAAAGCAATGGGATTTAGTCAATATGTGGAAAGATATAAAGATAATTATGGCCTTACAAATCTTACGGTGATACCCCACTTTCATCTATTTTATTCTGGTGAAAATATAATTTTGCATTGTTTACGCTTAGTTGTGCAAAGAGTTAGAACATAACATATCATATTTTATGAATAATATAATAATTGTTATTAATAACCAAAATTTAAAACTGTTTTTAGATCTCGGAACCGACTAAGCCTAAGGTAGCTGCAGTTTCAGTGACGGGAACTTCCCCGAGTACGGCGATCCTTGCTAAGAAGCCGCTACAGCCGCAGCCTGCTCAAGTGTCGAGCCTGAAGCCATCTGGAACTCAGGCGGTGGTGGTAACGCCTTCGGGAACATGTGACTCAACGGAAGGCAGCAAAGTGATTGTGACACCAAGCACCGAAACGAAGCCAGCGGAGCATCAAGTGGTCGCTCAGGCAACAGTCGCATCAACAGTTGTTACCACTGCTCCTAGCAGCAGTGCTTTGGTAGTCAGTCAAAGCGTATATGCGGCACCTACATCAAATGGCAGTTCCACGCCTTCTGCAATGCCCGTCGACGCGAACTGGTTGTACATTTGCGACTGGCGCAACTGTCCCCGCAAGAAATTTAAATCTCTCAACGAGCTTAAGTACCACGTGTGCAATGTTCACTGTCCGGATCACCTGGACTCTGACGCCGATATTTACTGCCAATGGGGCAGTGGGCCGACCTTCTGTGACAACAGGGCTCGAAAACGATACTCACTCATGACGCATTTGATCGACCGACATCTGACAACGGAGAATCTGCGCGCCAGTGTGCAACGGCGCTTGGCCACCGGTATTCACAATGTGGCGCCCACGCAGCCACCAGTTACCATAGTGCGCAATGAAGGTCACGCTCAACGGCTAGCGGGAGGCCCTTCTGGTGCATCTTCAGGTCCTGCTCCAGCGGCTCCAGTTGTGGGCAGCGCTGCGATGCAAGCCATGAACCGGCACACGTCGGAATACACAAACTCTAAGGAGCTGTTGGACGAAAACGAGGGTCCTGTCACCAAGAGCATTCGACTAACGGCAGCGCTCATTATACGCAACCTTGTCACCTACTCGTCTACGGCCAAGCGTTCTCTGAAGCGCTATGAGCCACACCTGGCCAATGTGGCCTTAAGCAATGTTGAGGCCAGCGGAGTTCTCTCCCACATCATGTATGAACTGAGCCAGTAACCGATACAACATACACCATCATCGAAATTTATTAAACTTACCTGTAATAACGACACTACAAAATGTGAAAAATTAACCTTTTTGTTTAAATGATGTTTTGTAGTTATAACTTTACACCAAAGAATGGTTAGATTTGCTAATCTGGGTTCAATAATTTTACTGTCTGCTAACTATTCTCACAAATGTTTAAACCATATGAACCAAAATTAGTTTGCAAATAACGATCACATATCGATGTTACAAACAGGTTTTGTTTAATCGTTTAAAATCTTATTTTGATTAGAATATACTTATCAAGTATGTTTAACACATAACTAACGCCTTAGTTTGAATATTGGACCTCAACCTAGTGTCAAAAGGTCATGTAAAAACTTAGGTCACATAAAGAAACGATTCCTATCCCCTAACATATGGTATGGTAATAGTATGGGGTCTAACCTGTGAAATCACACGATAGCCTTTCCATTCTTTAAAAAGTTGTCATCGTCCACAATTGTATAGCGGTTGCTCCTGTACGTGTCCAGTTCAAAGATGTACTTTTTGCCGCAGTCCTTCATCAGCTTATGAATAACTGGCTTGATATTCTCAATGCCCGCGATCCTGGCCAGTTCATTGTAGTAAACAAACTAAAATACGAGTTTTTAGTAAAAATAAAAAGAAATTTCCTTTTATAGTTCCGGATATAGGAATCAACTATTGAATATTCACCTGTCGTTCACCCATCTGGTGTGCTTTTTTATGGTTGTGGACGCCGCAGCCCCATCGCTCTCCAATCTCCTGCTCGAGCTCAGCAAGCATCTGCTCACGCGAGGGGAACTCCCTCTGACCCGTAAAAAACTTAAGGGTGAAGCGCACTTGCATGTCGAAAATGTGAGTTGGGATCACATTAAAGGGCAGCCCCACGAACGCCATAGTCGGGTGATTGATGTTGATGCAGTGCTTCCATAGTGGCTGGACGAAGTTGTCTATCACCTGGATACCCACATCGGTACTGAGACAAGGGAAAGTGTACTTGTAACCGGTGCAGAACATTACATGGTCGAAGCTCTCCGTGCTACCGTCCGTAAAGACGGCTCCATCCTTGGTAAACCGCTTCACGTCCGGCTTCTGTGTGACATTGCCCATAAAAGCTGTGTTGGGAGTGGTGGGGAGGTGGTGGCTGAGGTACACCGTTTTGGCGGCCACACGAACATGGTTGGTGATGTCCATTCCGCTGGGACCAGCTCCAATGATCAGAACACTCTCGTCTGTAAGAATAAGGTGAACAGTATTTATTGCTCTGAACAGTATTTTTTTGCATAAGCAGAGAAACTTTAATAATTAATTTATTCTGATTTTGTGTCTATTGTAAATATTTCCAAATTTCATGTATGTATAAATTGCTTTTTCAAAATGGGGAAAATATGTTTGAAATATTGAAAAACATATTTTCATATTATCTAGAACTTTATTCTATATGTATTAAAAATTTGTAATTCGGGTATCAAACTTTTTTAAGTTTTAATTTGAAAGTAGATGTTTGCTGAATCGTCCCTAAAAACGAAAGGTTTTAATAAATATGATACGAAAAAACCCAACTATTGTATCATAAAGGAAATGGGATCACCCGGTAAGTTAGCGTCGGGAGATCAACCAAAGTGTTCGCTATCACTGAAATAACACGTGCAACGCTCGGTATAAATTGGCACAACACTTGTTATTATTATGTCACTCGGCCGTCAACAATATTATCTGTTGTCGACGGTGCTCCAATTATTTATGGGGAATAACAGAAGTGGGACTCTGGCCAAATTGCGGTGGTTGTTAAGTCCATAGCGTTGGCCAGACTAACTTTAGAATACAGACTACAAGTCTTCTTATCTCACCCTTAAACTTATCTGCCTTGCGGTAAAGGTGGCTGTGCATCTTCTTGCCCTTGAACAGGTCTATTCCCTCGATATTCGGTATATCCGGCTCAGTGTAGTGCCCGTTACAGACGTACACGAAGTCGTAGTAGACAGGGTCGCAAGTATCCGTGTTGTGGTCCCAGACATAGACCTGAAATGATGGGAGGAGAGAAACAGTAATATCAATCAGTATTTCATCAGTCATATTGTAAGATCCGTATGGGCGGTGAAAAACAAGTCGATGTGTGATTGGGACACCAAAAAACTGGTTCGAAAATACGTGACGTCGCTACCAACCTCCCAGTCATCCAAGCGAGGACGCACTCTTATCACTTCGTGCTGCAGCTTTATGTGAGGCTTCAGCTTAAAGTGTTCCGCATAGGAGCGCAAAAATTCCAGCACCTGATTGGAAGTGATGAAGGATTCGTCGATTTCATCGGGGTAAGAGTAGTCCGGATAGCCCATGACCTCCTTGGGTAAATTGGTGCTGAAACCAAGTTACAAGTTACATCTTCCTAGATCAATGATCACTACATCGCCTACCGTAAGCCCTCGTACATACTGCTGTGTACCTCGTCGTACTCATCCTTCGGCATTTCTTCGGAGAAAATCCATGTCCCCCCGATTTCGGTTCCCCGTTCATAGGCCACCGCATTTAGGCCCGCCTCCAGGGAGTTCTTCAGGGCGCACAGACCCGCTGTTCCAGCTAAATAGAAATCCAGATATGGCTACTAAAATCTTCCACCTTCACTGAGAAGCTATGCACATTACCTCCTATTACGCAAACGCGACGCTTTTGGTCCACTGAAGTTTTCATCATTTTGAGCTTCCCAAATGGCTTTGGGGAATCTGAATTTTTTGTCTCTTAAGCACGTCGCTTTGCGTCTACGACTGACCAACGACTAACCGAGGGGCTCGAGCACCCACAGATATATTAGACCCGGGAATGCGTCGCGATGTGCGCTACAGTCGAATGTACGTGGTTGATTACAAATATAGTTATACTGATAAGTTGATTTCCACACGGTAGTATAAGGAATATGTGAGCAGAGTATCTTTATGGAAAAAAGGGACTTCATAAGGCGGCTTCATCCGCCTTCCATGCCTTATCATCTGCGGTTGCCGGTGACATAACAGCGACGGTAGCGATGGCATCGGCCGTTCTGTAAGCGTCTGGAACTCGCCGTCAACCAATCGGAATTACAGTGAAACCTCACATGAATCCAATCCTATTTAGTCACAAGATGATGTACAAGTATGTATTTCTTTGGATGTTCCCTATATTAGTATATGGACAATTTGGCAATAGATATGTATAATAAATCAAAATAATAATTATAATACACATTAAGATTTCTGAAATATTTAATAAATGTCATTTATATATCAATATACATATGATTGGTTATAATAATTGGAGTACCATGAGTTCTGCCACAAATTTACTTATTTAAGCATTTTTTAAGACTACAAAATACACCGATAAGACGTTTGCTTTTATACCCGTTACTCGTAGAGTAAAAGGGTATATTAGATTCGTTGACAAGTATGTAACATTCAGAAGGAAGCGTTTCCGAACCTATATACTATATATATTGTTGATCAGGATCAATAGCGAAGTCGATTGAGCCATGTCCGCTTGTCCGTATGAACGCTGAGATCTCAGGAACTATAAGAGGTACAAAGTTGAGATTAAGCAAGAAGATTCTTCAGCATCCTGCCACACCCACTCTAACGCCCACAGAACACCGAAAACCAAAAATGGAACAATTTTGAGAACTATAAGAGCTAGAAAGGATTAGGAATACGTACATATTTTAAAGATGAAAACTGTGGCGTCCATAATATTAAATTTATGTATTCGTTTAACCTTGCTTGTATAACATTTTTTCTTTAATATCTAGCGATTTACCAAAGATTTTTCAAATGGGAACATTATTATTTCGGTATTTATGAAGAAATGTAGATTATAAGGCCTCACATAGACAGTGACGTCACCATCAGTTAGTAAACATATTTTTTTTTGACAAAAGGTGGCTTTCGACTTTAGCGTTTCTTCTTGTTGAAGTTGTGACTGTAAGGAACGAACATCTGGCTGATGGACGACATAGGAACCGATCCCAAAATGAACCCATTGATAACACTATCAATGAGATTTGGAGGAGATTTATACCCCCTTACACGGAGTCACTATGTCAATTCAGTTTAACAGCCTATTTGAGCTTTTAATTATCAACTGGCCGCACCAATACGAGTACAACTAACGTGTATGGAATACCAACAGGGACTTGGTAATAATTAATTTCATTCAATTACAAAAACACTGCCGAGGGCAACAATGTAGCAGGTCGTAGTGAAGCCTATGGAAAATTCTTTGCAGGGGGTGTTGTTAATAGTTGGATGGGGGAGAGCAATGTTCTTCGAAGTGGATGTGAGGAAGCCAAGTAATAGATTTTTATAGGGTTGTGGTAATCGAATTGATTGTTCGATACTCTACAGAACTCAAACTCAACATAAGCAAGCCCTGACGACAGCTCCTTATATGTATATCAAGATTACATTGATTTTTGTGCTGAAGTGTTTACATTCTACGCATTTTAGCAATCGGCTCACTTTAATCGCACTTTAAGATACTACCTATGCAAATAATACGAACTTCCTGTGTGCTAGACTATTCGTAATCTAACGCAAATAATTTAAACACGGAATTACTTAAGTACGAACGTTCTCAAAGTAATGAATAGATCCCAATAGTTTTATTAATCTAAGAACCAGGGTGCACATTTCTCCCTTCTTCTCCTCCGCTCCTCGCGATGCTCAACTAGCTCTCATCTCCTATCCTATCCTGCAACCTTCGTTGTCTCGGACAATTAAGACAGCAATCTGTTAGTGGTTAGGAATTAATTCAAGGCGTTGTATTCATATATTGCTTTCTACAAATACTTTCAATTTACTCTGCTAAGAAGCGCAAGCAAGTTTAAATTTTCTATAATTTACCAAGGGCAGCATTAGAGCATTGTTTCCTTTCGGTCTAAGTAAATTCCGTTGCATTTCTTTTTTTTTAACTGTTTTAGAAAAATTGTGATCTTTTTTGAGAATTAGTTTAATAAAGAAATTCAGAAAAATTTCTCTAAAGATTATAAAGCTTCCAGTATACTTTCTATCATTCATTCATTTTGGACAGTTTTTATACATTAATAACAAACGCTATTTTCAAATTGGCGGCAAGAACCTTAAAGTTTTAACGTGAATAGCAATTTTAAAGTTTAGTTCACACTGTAAGCTCTTTCCTAGAGCTTTTCGGAGTAATAAAATATAAAAATTTTAACAACAATAATAATTATATAACTGACTTGAAGGGACATATGAATGTTAATTATTGGTTTTTTATTGTAATTTAAAATAATTCAGAAATAACCTTTAAGCTAACTGACTCCGGAACTTATTCGCTCTGCCGGGCTGATCTTATGAACCGGTTCAGAACGAACTGCGATGACAACGCAACGCACAATCACACACCTCAAGTTCGCGAGAACGGAGCTCGGAAGAACGGGACTGGAGATGCGAGACCGAGTACTGAGAGCAGTAGAATAAAACGGAGAGTGTGCGCGTTCGATCGTTTTCCCCCACTTGCTGAAAATTTCGTAGAGCTCTCGGTTAAAGGTTCAAAGTTATGTGAGGCGAAAAACAACAAATCTAAAAAGAAAGCAAAGGCGCTGCGAAGCAGAGCGGCTGGAAATAAAATGAAACTGGGATCGCGGCACCAGCAACAAGTTTTAGTGGTTTTCCTTTGTGCGTCTCGTTCGTGTTTGCTGCTCTGCGCTTTGCTCGCCCCATTCGTCGCCGACTTTTATTTTGTTTTGCTCATTTTATCAGAATCGGAACCCAATCCGATTCCGACTACCTCCAAAAAAGCGCAAGGCGAGCTAAGCTGCGTTAAGGTGAGCTGATCCGCTCTGCTCCAAACCGATCTAATCCCAGTGCTTAGTGCATGCAAAGTTGCGAGGCCGCGCTTTCGAAATTATACAACCCACATGGGGCAGCGCCAACAAAAGTCTCAGAAGATACAATAGCGGGCAGCCAAGCATTCTGCCACCGACAACCGAGTACTGACCATGGCCCCCACCACCACTCCGCCGCCCAAGCTGGCCAAGTTCAAGTCCTCGTCGCTAGACCACGAGATCTACACAGCTAATCGACGGGGCACCATTGTCACGGCCTCGAGCGACTGGAAGGCGCTTCGTGGAGCAGGTGGAATAGGAGGAGGACCCGGAACCGGAATGGGAACTAATCCCTCCAACGGACGTTCCCTTCATGCAGTTGGAGCCATTACTCGGGCCGCCTCCACATCATCGCTGGCAAGCAGCACACGCACCATGACCAACTACCAGGAGTACAAGATGGAGATTATCAACCAGGTAAGCCACAGATGGTCTTTATTTTCGTCATCAATGCCACAAAGATTCCAAAAAAACAATCAGTAAAGAAATCCAAGATTTTATTTAAAATAAAATAAATATAAAGAAATATACAGACTGCTATATTCGCGTTACATTTTTAATAATTTTAAAATCAAGATTTGCAATAACGTAGATATGAGAATTTATAATTTTATAATTTTTTATAATATCATTGTAGGGAGATCAGGGTAGCTTTCTTAAGCAAAAAGTATATTTCACAAATTTTTGGAACATTTTTTAGGACGCGTCAACCAGGATGACAAATATAGTTAGAATTTTAAGATGATTAACTTCAAGAACATTTGCCGCTCTGTAGCTAGAATTTTTTTAAACTTTTTAAAATCAGAAAAAAGATGTTATATACAATTATGTATATACATACATATCTGCATATTTACTTACATATATGTATGTGGGAAAAGCCAAAAGCTTCAATTTAGAAATTGTGGTATTGACAACAATATTATATTTATTTTTTTGTTTAATTTTTTTTAAATTTCTATATAAATGTTTAAAATAATAATATTATTAATATATAATTAACATTTTCGAAAGAAGTTATAACTGTGCCAATAATTTAATTGAGATTAATTTATTATTTCTTCATTAAATGTACAAATATATGAATAATAAATAAATTTAATCATTTAAATTTCACTGTTTCACAATTTCATTGAAATTTTAATTTTAACGCTCTAATACTTAAGATTTAACATTTGTTTGAATGTTATAGAACACACTTTTTGTTGAAATGTATTTGAAATAATTAATATATAAATCTATTTAAAATAATTAATATATAACCGCTTAAACATTTGATTTATTTTGCCTATCATATTGGTGCTTTTCCAACATTTATAAACTTCATATCTTAACAAAAAGTGCAGAAAAGTATAAACCGAAACTTTGCGCAAAAGCTGTTCAAATAAATTGTCGCATTCTGTCCCATTGAAGTTACGACCACAATAAAATAGACAACCGATCGGCAAACAGAAGGAACCTCGATTCCTATATACGCCTAATAAATGTTTGCGGAATTTCCAAAGCTTTTTTGTAGATGGTGAGAACGAGGACGATTCATTCGTATCTATGTACAATATCAGCAACTATTAATTTTTGGGTCGTGTCTGTCTCAATTTAATAGATAAGGTAAATCATTTTTGTTTCGGGCAGTCGTTTATCTTAGACTGATAAAAAGCTGTAATGCACGCACGTTTTTCATCGTTTTGCTATGTAAAATATTTACTCGACTTCTAGGTGAGCGAAAAGTAAAGTGTTTATTTAATATATTTGCCTTTGTAGTTGCTTTTGCCGAGACTAATAATTTGTTGAGCGATTTTTTTTACTAAGCGCATTGCGGAAGTTTGTTTAGAATTCTGGGCCTCAAACGTAAACAAGATTTCGTGGCCTTATCAACGGCAACTCAGGTGAGGATTGGCTAATGCCAAATGTGTACCTGCAAGCATAACAGCCACAATCGGAAGTTGCCTGAAAAACAATGACACCTGGACAAAAGGGATGCACGCTAAAGGCCGAAATCCCCAGGTGATTAATTTTATGGTATTTGGCGGGTCGAAACTTGCCAAAAGGTAAAAGTTAGGCGCACAGTGAATCGCCATAACAAGATCACGTAAAGAAATTGACGGATTTATTTCCATGGTGCGCGGGCAGGTGATTATTTCGCTGGGAGGGTTAACGGGTTCGGAGTGACTTCAATAGACTTGTCAAGGCCATTCATTTGGCATGGGTTCAATCTCATCGACTGGCCATGTCATAAGACAAGTTGGCGCCAAAAGTACATAGATAATTGTCTGTTTGCTGTGTTCCAAGTCGTTGGCGTGACGAACGGTAATTGTGCGACAAAAATTGAGGGAAGCTTAATTGTTTTGGAATTGTGTACTGCATAAGAGGGGATTTCTTAATTACAGCAAACATTTAGCGTCATGCGGATATCAGAAGCTTAAAGTTTGCATTAGTTTAGTCCCGCAACACGTGCGAATCTTTTTTTTTTTTTGTTTAGAAGAGTGTTGATTATTTATTACCGCCATGTGTACTGAGAAGTCAGTAGGGCTACATTTATAGAGACTATGTAAGAGGTGTGATTGAAATGGTACAGGTGTCCATGGAATTCAGCTGTAAACCAATTCAGAAAGACGTAAAAACATTCGCCGGAAACTTCGAGGCGGCCGATTGATTGATTGAGTGCCCCGCTGATGGTACAATATTGTCTGGCAATGATCAAAGCAAAGTAGTTAATTTGATTTTTATTGAACTTTTGGCTCTATCGATTTCAGGGAAAATGTCTGTGTGGCCAGTACATTAGAGCTCGGCTGCGTCGGGCCGGAGTCCTCAACCGGAAAGTGACTCAGCGTCTGCGAAACATCCTGGATCCCGGTTCTTCGCATGTGGTCTATGAGGTCTTTCCGGCGCTGAACAGCGTAAGTGGCCCTCAGTCGATTATTATATCATTGAATAACGTACTTTAATCCACAGATGGGCGAGGAATTGGAGCGCATGCACCCCCGGGTTTACACAAACATATCCCGACAGCTGTCAAGAGCACCCTTTGGAGAGCTGGAAGATAGTGACATGGCGCCCATGTTGCTCAATCTAGTGGCCAAAGATCTGTTTCGCTCTAGCATCACCTGGGGCAAAATAATTTCGATCTTTGCCGTCTGCGGCGGATTCGCCATCGACTGCGTGCGCCAAGGTCATTTCGATTACCTGCAGTGTCTGATAGACGGACTGGCTGAGATCATAGAGGATGACCTCGTATACTGGCTGATCGACAACGGTGGATGGCTAGGCCTGTCGCGGCACATCCGACCCCGGGTCGGAGAGTTCACGTTTTTGGGCTGGCTTACGCTATTTGTGACCATCTCGGCAGGCGCCTACATGGTGTCCAACGTGTGTAGGCGCATCGGAAGTCACCTGTATTCGCTCCTGTTCTAGCCTTATCCGGGACCATTTCGTTTTAGATGTATATCTGTACCATTTAGTCAGTGAGAGCTTCGGATCATTCCTGCTTCCATCGGCACCGAGTCGCGTAATAGTATATAATGCACCTTGTTTTACGTTTAATATTGTTATCCTGTTTCTTCTCTTTGTACATAAACGGCTAACCTAGGACCAGGCGCAATAAATCGTGTGTTTTAAATTCTTTATTTAAGTATTTGAATTTGGCGCTCGGGGGGCTGCCAGACTGGCTAATTCCTAAACGTAACTGTAAATTGCAAAATGGAGTTAGGCAACACTAGATACAAATTTTGTAAACTCAAATTCGTTGACAAAGGTTGAAATATAATGTGAGTTAAAAGCCTATTTACATCTCCTTCTTTTTTAGTTTCCGTAATTTATTACGTTATAAAAAAGGTAACGGATGAATTAGTCATTTGCAAATTTAAAAAATTTATAAAATGAATGGTTTTTGAAAATAAAGCATTGTATTTCATAATTGAGTGATTTTATTTTGTTTATCAATCTATTGACCGTTGTCTTTATTATATTAACATAGGAAGTTAAAAAATATATTAAAACTCACCAATTGGAGTTTTGTAACTGTCGGAGGCGCTGGAAACATTTTATATTTATTTTCAATCTATTATTATTTAAATTAATTTACAGATGTGTTTACATTTTTAATTGAAATGTTTATTAGTTTTAAAATGAATTAAATTAGCAGTTTAATTCAAATTAATGGAAATTTTACTATATATGCGAAAAATACTTACAGTCATAAAAAAATAATTATATGTAATTATAATTATTATTATATAATATTATAGAAGCATTGCCACATACTTAAACCGCGAGTATTTAAAAAACTTGGTGGCAACGCTCTGACTTCGACCAAACATTTGTTGTGAATGCGCTTTCCTTTATTATTTATTGTAAATATAGTAGTTTCCAGAAAATAATGCCATGTCATGTAAGTGAGCCTTGGCTCTAGGAATGAACCTTAAATTATGTTAAATTTTAGTGCCCAAACAGGCGAGGGATATTATTCCGGACTACCACGTGGAGGATGGAACGTACTCCGGAGATGTATCACCCCAGGAATTCCTCTACTGCAAAAGCTGCGGCAAAGTCTACGAGAACAGCAAGGAGTACGCTAGAGATCATATCCGGATAGGTGGGTGCTGTGGCGGCGCCAGCGAGGGATTAGAGATTGTAGAAGAAGTCCCAGAAGATTGCATTTTGGAAGAGGTTGGCGACGAGGACATTGTCGATGCGGATGTGCCACTTTGGGAGGTAGTAGAAGTTCCAGATAACATCCAGGTGGAGCAGGACGAGGCCAGTCAGTCAGATCGCTACTTTTGTTACGATTGCCACAGCATTTTCGAAAACCGGAATAGCGCCGAGGATCACGTTTGTCCGCAGGCGGAATTTGGAGGAAGTTCCACCCAGCAAGTCGGCGAAGTCAAAACTCCTACACGGCGAAAGTTGACAAGTGTCAATGCAAAAACAGATCCAAAAGATGCTTCTTCGGTCATTAAATGTGGGATCTGCAACACCGTATTCAGCTCAGACAAGTTCCTCAAGTTCCATATGCGCATCCACGATAGGCGCGCTTCCAAGAGCATTCAGGACGCACTTCCTGTAGGTGCCCATCAGCAGTACAGCGAGCTGGATCAGTTTTACTGCGAAATCTGCAACAAGAGGTATGTTGCTTTGCCCAATTAGGTATTTTCTGACGCATTTTTTGTTCTCTGCCAGTTTTGACGAAAACCTTTTGACGATACACAAACAGATGCACCAGCAGAGTACTAGCGAGATTATGTGCAGCATTTGCAACCGGAAGTTCGAGAACGACGTAACATACCAGATGCACCAAAAAATTCATGAAAAACCTCGGGACTCCGATATGTCTAGTAAAGTAAACCAGCGTTCTAGTCTCGATAAGGATAAACCCGGGTTTCCCTGTCAGTACTGCGAGCGGGTATTCACCCGTCCCTTTGAAAAGGTCAAACACGAACGGGTCCACACCGGAGAGAAGCCCTACGCCTGCGAGGTCTGCGGAAAGACATTTCGCGTGTCTTATTCACTAACCCTTCATCTGCGCACTCACACCAACATTCGACCGTATGTGTGCACGGTGTGCAACAAGCGGTGGGTACAAAATTAACACTTCTCTATCTTAAATTAAAATAAATTTTTTATTCCAGCTTTAAATCGCACCAAGTGTACTCCCACCATCTGCGCATACACAGCTCGGAGCGACAGTTTGCCTGCGATTCTTGCCCTAAGTCGTTTCGCACCTCAGTTCAACTGTACGCCCATAAAAACACCCACACCAAGCCGTACCAGTGTGCCATATGCAACCGGCCCTTCTCCTCGATGTACGCCGTCAAGAATCACATGCAGACCCACAATGACGATAAGAGCGTTGGAGGCGCTAGCTCTAGAACGACGTCAGTTAAAAGCGGACAACTTACGAAAAGCCAGACAGTAGGGAAGCATTATTGCAGTACTTGTGGTGCTGAATATGCCCGCCTCTTCGCTTTACGCGTGCACATGAAGTCAGCTCACGGTGTAATAGAAAATGGATCATTACAGCACGAGAAACCCTCCGGCGTAACTGAAGATGCCGACGACTCTGAGACAGCGGTACTGATAGCCGCCGCCGAGGCAGATGCTGCTTATATTAATGCTGTGGTAAACGATGTAGATGTCGTGGGCTCCGTACCCTCCTACGAGGAGTGTGTTGAAGTGGGTTTATATTTCTCTTTTTCGGAGTTTTTTCTGATTACTTTTCTTTATTTCAGTTTGATGAGGATAACTTTCACAGCGAAGAAATTATTACAGATTGGCTTAAGTAACTATTAGCATTTCTACTCCGACTAGCAAATAAATTATTGTTTTAGCAATCGTATACTGCTTTTCTTTGTGAAAATACTGTTACGCACCTCACTTAAATTGATAAAAGTGTGGTGTTAAAAAAATATTGGTTTACAACCAATTGGTGCCAACCAAAGACCACCACAGGAACATCTTGGTTTACAGTATTTTGATTCCTCCTTTAATTTTATTTTCCGCAACTCCCATTTTGGCTAAGATCACAATAATTGCTCTTTGCAGTCCGCGAATAAAATGTTATGGTGCAATTGTTAAAACTTTATTTGAATTATAACTGGCGTGTAACAAGTAAATATATTGCTGGCGTACAATGACCAGTCCGTTGTGAAAGCTGACGTACAGGGATAAATTAAGAGTAATTTTTAGCTACAACTAATTGTAAAACCTTAGACTAACAAAACGTGTGATTGGTGTACAGCATGGGCGGGGACCTAATACTGATTACCCGCAGCCTCATCTTCCTCTAACTCGCTGTTGTCCTCGTCGCAGATCTCCTTGAGGACCTCCACCAAGTTCTTGGCCTCGTCCAGCTCCTGGCGCATCGTGTCCATCTCGTCCTCCAGCCCTTCGATGCGCTCGTGCAGATGTCGGTTTTCCGTGAGCGAGTCCTCCAGGGCTAATCGCCGCTGCTCGGCCAGCAGTTTGTAATAGTTCTCACCGGGCTCAGTCTCGCTAGTGAGATCCTCAGCCATGATAGGCTTGTCAGCATTACTGCGGGTAGTGGTTTCTATATCAGTCTGAGTGTCTGCATCTCTTGTGGAAGTCACCGGAGGAACAGTGCCCGGGTCTACACACTTCCGCTTGCCATACTTGGGCGCGACTTGTACGCCGGCCTTCAGGCGACTCAACTGATCCACGATGGAAGCACGCCCGGAACCAGTGAGGTTCTCCTTGTCGTTGACGTTGCCCTGTAAGGGTTTTAGTGTCTTGCGTTGATGTTTAAGGTGCTCCTGCTGCTCGGCCTCGCTCTCGACTTGGATGTAGACCCTGGCAGCGCTCGAAGACATTTTCAGAGCTGTATATTGTGCTTTTGGTGGTTTTGGGTTGTCAGGCGGTAGCTCGCGTGCTATGTTTTTGCCGTTTGTTTATGCATTAATTTCTGCGCTTCGCTCCGCAGTTTTCCACTCGTTGTAATGGCCGCCAAAAAATGCGAAGCCGCGTGCTGTTGTCTAACACTGTTTGTCAAGGGCTGCATCGCATTCCAGTATCCCTATTTTTCGTGGCACGACGTCGTGTCATCACGTGGATGTAGACTCCGCCATGTAGAGAACACACACTAAGGTATATTTCAATTTAAATGTGAGTCAATACCAAAGTATATTACAACAAAAATATATAAAAAAAAAAAAAGAATACCTTAAATGAGTGAACTTGAAGTTTTTAAAAACACCCATAAGTAGGTCTTTTAAATGTAAGGGTAATATAATGTATATATGTATATGTGTAAAATGTATTTTAAGAAGTAGTGAAGAATACATAATCTATACATAAAAAAATCTTATCCCATATTTTGGCGAAAAAAAAGGTACAAACATTGAGAGTGAAGTTCTCGCCGTTACTTTCGTATATAAAAAGGAAGACGGGAAGCAGAAGTAACAGGAAAGATTGAAAGAAGGCTTACTTTAGTATTACAACTCATCCCCCTAGGTAAGTTTTTGATTAAAATATTTTTGAAGATCGCCCCTAAATTTTGTTTTTTTTTCACCAAAGTGTTTATTATTAAATTATTATTAAATATTAATATTTATTTTAATAGGTTACAGCCTCCCACTTTTTTTGTAAACATTTTCCTAATTAACAGGATGTGGAACATCTTAAGATTAATTTCTGAAAACCAATAAAGCGAGAAAATTTAGGAAAACCAAACAGGTTAACATGATTTTCAAAAGGTGTAAAGAAAAATATTTGCCTGCTGAAAACAATTTGAGTTCAAGGCGACAGACTTATTTCTTTTAAAGATCTCATTTTGTTACTAAAAATCAATGACATTAACTTCGAGAAGATTTCAAACAGGAAATACTACCTGTTTAAAAACAAGGAATAATCTAGTGCCATTTGTTGTTCGTCTATTACTTTGCTACAGTCGCAGCTTCCAAACCCTTCTGAAAACGGGGCAAACATTTTTATTCCGAAAGTAAAAATAAACGTCAAAAAATGTAGCAATACAGCAGGCTCACAGCATTGAAAAACAGGAAAACCTTATAAACTTATATATTTAAGGAAAATTTACTAAGTAGGAAGCGGTTCAAGATTTAGGCCAAAATCACTGATGTGCAACCATCTGTATCGAGATACCAGGCTTTCAAACTAGGCAGGATATATGCAGCCAGTCTTTGAAACAATATTTCGATATAAAAAGAAACTGGTTCTTAAGAAAATTCAAAAACAGTACCTTAAAAATCACTGAATCATAACGAACTGGCTCAAAATATCAGGCTAACAAAGATGATGGTAGGAAACTTATGAAATTATTTGGTTTATAATCCATTTGTCTCAGAATTGTAGCATTCGAACAGGTAAACAGATTTTTTTAGACGGCAACCTCAACCAAGTTTGGGTGTGAGTGTCGTAATCGTGAAAATCCCTGATAATTTTCACTGCAAATCATTCAGCGGTTACGAATCGGATTACAGGAACAGGCCAGTATCAATAGGATAAAGCCACACTAAACTGAAAAACTATTTGAATGAGCATTGAAAGGGTCAAAAGTGCAGGCCCATCTGTGAGAAATCAGTGGAGCGTGACCAAATAGATCAATAGAACAGGTTAACAGAAAGTGAAACAGATGAAAAATGCTATAAAATAATATGGAATGGACGGACAAAAAGCTAGAGATTATCTCCATTAATCCTATTCAGAAGGTCACTGAAGCATGATCGTGCCCAACCAGGCTAACAAAAAAAGCAAGTGGAGATGGTGCTATGGAAGACTGCATCCAGCAACAGAAACGAAATGCAACGAACCTGAAATGCACATGCATTTGTTAAATATAACCCAATGCCCTTGGAGTTGGGAAAAAATCTTGATTCGGTTGCACTTCGCTGCCTTGGATGCACTTTTCTAGCCTGGCTGTTCGCCTGTTCAAAGGTCACAGTCGGATGCACAGCGAAAATAGATGAAATGACATGTGTGGGGATGAGTGTGGGAAAATTTTATGATGAGCATGGATGAAATTATCTCGAAATATGGGAAAACAGACAGCACTCCCAAAAAATACCTGCGAAACTGTAGCATCTCAATAAGTCAAACGCAAAATGAGCATGACACCCAGCATAAGTTCCAAAAATATAAAATCATAGTCTCCAAAAACCTGTCTGAAATTTCTGTAAGCCTATTCGGATTTTCACCACCAAAACAAACACAAAATCAACAATAAATAATCATACATTTGTCAGGCTCCATGGGGATCTGTCCATAGATACATACATACATATGTATGTAAATTAAAGACTTCGGGGAAAAACTGTTGCATTTCAACAGAAAAACATAAATGAAAAAAGAAAAACCCGGAATGTTCTCCAGTAGGTAGCTAGAAATCAAACCAGTCTGTGTGTGTGTTTACTTTCTCCATGCACTGTGCGCCTAATGAATTTTAATTAGCTAAACAAACAGCTAAGTTGGGTTAAACATTTCCATTTATTTAAACAAATTATAGGGGAAAAGGGAAAGGGCCTTAAACGATCGTGTCTTGCTACAACAATAGCCCAAAATCATGGCGTAACATTTTCCCAGACAATGCAACGAGGCGTTGAAAAATCTCCAGCTTTTCAGAGAGACAAGTGTTCAAATTCTGTTCGCCTAGTAGCATGTTACACTTGGCTACACTTGTGGTTATTAGATGTGATGCTGCAACACAATCTTGGCGTGTCGCAACCCCAGGTCAACCACTTGATTCGCTTCGTCACATCTGCACCCAAATCTGATTATAATGGAAAGCAGAAACGCCATCTTTCGTTTAGTAGTTTAGTAGCTGCTAAAATTCATGGGCGCCTGCTACAATCGTAGACCTTGGCTCCAAAAAATTGCCCAATTCCCTCCACATTGAAAACCCCCAAATGTCTTGAGTTTCGAGATTACTTTGATGTAGCTCATCATTGGCTTTTTTATTTCTCTGCTCACCTAGTCGCTTCCCAGACCTTTGACTTTCGATTTTCTTAGGAAGACCTTCCCTAAAGACCTTTGGGGATGTAAACGTATATTAAGAATTGTCACTGCTCAAAATGGAATCAATCATAATTTTTGAGGAAAATTACAAAATTTTAGATGTCCGTTCACAGGGCCACAGAAATTCTGAAAAGTATTTTCTTTTCGTTGCATTTTTATAACTTTTCTATGAAACTCATGTGTGTTTGGATCCCTCTTGCTCTAGCAGAGAGTGGAAAGGGCAAAGGGCTGGCCTATTCATTCACTCACACGCGTCTTCTCTATTTCTCACTCTTCTTTTTGAGATTCGGGTGTGGTTAATACGCGGTACATTCACTGTATAAGAAATTTGGGTGGAGTCTTTGTGGTGAATTATGATTGAGTTAGACACGGGTATATGGGGAGGTTCCTCTTTCAAAAGTACCCATTTTTAGATCCACATTTTTTAGATAATTTCAATAAATAATAAATAATTTAAAAAATTATGAACGATTTAGTCAATAACTAAGTACTTCCTCTTATAATATTAAAGTTTTTAAGTGTAAAGAATGGAAGAAAATATAATAAAATTTATCCAGATATTCTAAACAATAATAACTAACATTAAGTTTAAGGCCTTATAGATCACAATTCACATATGTATGAAGATTATATTTGAAGGGATTTTGTTACAAATTTGACTACAAATGTAAGGCTTTTATAAGGATGACAGGGCTATTTTTCAAACTACTTCTGTATGGCAATATTAAAAATAAGTAGTTAATCATTTCTTAAGTTTAAACTCTCCAACCAAGCTGAGTATACTAGAATAGATGATGTCTTCTAGTTGAGTACTTTCCTATCTTAACAAAGTTGGAACAAGGATATCTAGTAAACAAATCAATATCGAAGATCTTTAAAGCTTCAGAGAGCACTGCGCTTCCATAAGAGTATCCGCGGAGGCTTGAAGTTTGCCTTTCTCCACATCCGTCAGGGGTAGCTGAAAGACATGACTAATTCCACCCGAGGTGACCAAACAGGGCAAGGATAGGACAACGCTCTCCTTGAACCCATAGAGACCCTTCATGTCCGTGCCCACAGAGGCGATCTTACCTTTGCCACCGCACAGTGCCTGAACGATATCCGCACAGGTAAGGGCAACGGCCCAGTTGGTATAGCCTTTTGTTTTAGCCACAGAAAGTCCGCCTGTGATGACCTGCTCATTGATCTCCGACCAGTTCTCGGGATCATCACCGCAGGCCAGGTCCTTCACCACATGGCTTAGACGGATGCCACCGATGGAGACGGAGGACCACACGGGCACTGCACTGCTGCCGTGTTCCCCGATCACATAGCCCTCAACCTGCGATGGTGGCAACTGGAAACGTCTGGCAATGAAGTTACGGAATCGCACCGAATCCAAGTGACAGCCTGTGGTGAAACAGCGGTGCTTGGGCAGCTTTCCAATTTGTTGGACGGCATAGGTCATGACATCAGCGGGATTGGAGACCACTATATAAATCGCTTTGGGACTTAGTTTCACCATTTTGGGCACCACATCCTTAAGGATCTCAACGGTCTTGTGCATCACAGTTAGCCGTGAGCGATCTTTGTCCGATGGCCGTGCACCTGCTGTAATGATAATCACATCCGAATCTATGGCATGAGAGCCATCGCCACATGGGACTATTCGAGGATCCCCCATAAAGACTGAGCCATGCTGAAAGTCCAAAGCCTCAGCTTTGGCCAACTCATAGTTGACATCCAAGACCACCACATATTTTGTAATATTACGGACCAGAAGCATCGCACAGATCGCCGTGCCCACTTGTCCGGCTCCGACCACACTGATCTTCGGAAAACGAGGTTTCTCAAAGCCTTCTAAGGGCTTCATAAGCTTGCCGGAAGAGTCTTTAACGGACTTGGTGCCATTGAACTTCCGTCCCCATCTGGAAACGTGGAAACTATAGCTTTATATGGATTTAAAAGCCTAAACATCCTTTTAAATTTTGAGTTTTGGGCCGAATTGTTTTGTTTAATGAAAGTAATGAAATGGAAAACAGAGAAGAAGTTTACATGACAGATTAAACTTACTATTTATTATTTAAAATACTTTTTTAATTCATTTTTCATGAAAGGACTTTCGCGAGTCATTCATAGATTTCATGATTATTGCAGTCTAAAAAAATAGTTCTTAGATAAGTATACTAACATAGATTACATATAAAAATATAAATGCATACTTATACGCTGATATGAACATTTTTAGTATTTTTTGTTGGTATATTTTAGGTTCACATATAAAGCTTAGAACACTGATCTGTATAATAGGCCATATTTTACAATTTTCGTTTACGGTCACACTGATGACACACATTGATTTTTCATTTTTCACTTCACTTCGATCGAGTTCAGTTCTTAATTGGAGATATGTAGATATTTTGATCTCTCATTTTCTAGAACCACGTGTTGTTCTATGCACGCTCGTTTACCTATTTTATAGGGTAACTGAGTGCTACTTTAAGGACATAGAGAAATCTCATTGACAATCTTACCAAATGCCTGGCTATTTCACTGGCTTTGTGTTCCATTTAAATTGTCAAACAAATTTTAAAACTATATGTTAGTTTTATTAGCACAGTAAATTTAAATTATTTTTGTCCTATGCACGCTCATTTGCACATTTTTCTGGGTAATTGAGTGCTATTTTTAAGGACATAGAGAAATATTCAACAATCTTACCGAATGCCTGACTGCTACTTGGTCTTGCACTTCATTTAAATTGTTGAACAGATATGAATTTTTATTAATTATTATTAACTCCAAGCGTTTAAAAAACATAAAACTGTAGCTGAAATAATAATAAAGTTACAGTTATGCAATAAACGCTAGAATAATTTTTGGTAGTATTTAATAACGTTTTGGCTAAAATCTTATAATCTCTGCGTTTTGAGGTACTTCCACAGCCTCATACATATGTACATATGTATGTATGTATACCACAGTCTTATATTCCTTAACATGTAGCCATACATATGTACATATGTATATCATTTTCATAATTAGGTATAGGCGAAATATATTATTATTACATACACTCAAGAAACCTTAACAATGAAACCAACTAATTATTTTCATAATATATATATATATATAAATACTAAAGTTTTTATTTGTCTGGTTGGTGGTAAAACAGTGGTCGCAAAATGAAGTATTTTCTAAATAAATTTACAAAAAAATTGGTTAACGTTTGGAAACAATAAACGGTATACCAATTTCCAATTTTGATAATTCAATTAATGTATCAAGTCATATGTAAACGTAATACTGTTTCCATAAAATGTAATTTCCCTAAAAAATAAGAAATTTCAAATTTTTTAAAGCAAATTTATTTTCTTTGAAATGATTTTTAGACTAGTTAAACATTTTGCTTATTTAAGTGCCTGCGACGCCTCGATCAGTCGCTTAAGATCATCATTCTTCGCCAAAGCATTCTGGATGGCTTTGAGCACCTGGTCATCCATGTCCTGGATTTGCTCCTGACTTAATGCCAGCGTGCTCAGGCGCTTAGCCAGTTCCGAGAGTTTTGGCTGCCGCTCTAAGAAGTGATCCACGACATGGGGCGAGATGTTGGCCAATTTGGCGAACTGTTGGATGTATGGAGGGTAGGAAGAGTATTTGAATTCCGAATCCTCTTGTAATTTAGGGGTGTTGAGATGTGGCTTCGGTGCCGGTGTGGTTGTCGAGGTGGTCACTTGAATTGGCTTTATGGTGGGCAGAGCCACGGGACGTAGTGGAATGGGATAGTGATACGGTAATGGTTGCCTGACCAAAAAAGGACGCAAAGGTTTCATGTTAGCTGGAGAAGGTGGGGCCACAAAAAATGGCTGAAATGCATCGGACGACGGAGCGATGAACGGAGCAGGAGTCGTTGTAGTGGTGACCTCCCCTGTCCACAGGTTATAGTGCTTCATAAAGCCACCAATACGTTCCAGTAGACTCAATTCCGGCTTGGGCGCTTCGGTAGTAGATTTTTCTTGTGGTAACTCATCGTAGCTAGAGTTGTTCATGGTGTTATTATCATCATTATCATCATCGTCGTTGTCGTTGTCGTCAGCCGTCCCCTTGTCCTCTGGCACATCCTCCTCCGCCTGCAGAATGCTTATATATTGTTTCATCAGAGCTAATCCCCCATCATTACCGGCCAGAGTGCGTATGTAATCTATGGTTTCCTTGTCACTATCCGTTCCAATCATTTCGCCCAGATCCTCGATGTTCGGCAGATTCTTCAAGCCTAACTTGTTGTGAGCTATGTCCAGAAGGTCCTCCGGATAACCCCAATCTGGAGCAGCTGTTGTAGTCGTCGTGCTAGGTGAATTGGGTTTAATCAGCTTATAAACCGGCATGTTATAGTACAATGCGTTCTGTAGCTTAGAGTCCAGCTTGGATGGCAATTTCCGATTTATATCTACTATGACAGCGCTATCTTGGCCGAAAAAAGGCATCACCGAAACTCTGGCATAGATGCACTGCACCATGGCCAGGGACCAGAGAAAACGCGTTACTACACCAATCATACCGTTGACTTCAAATGTTTAAGGACAACTAATCCATGATAGCTGAGAAATCTTTCGAAGTAGACTTTGGACCCGAAAAGAGAGGAAACCCATCTTAGGGAACCACCATTTGTGTTTTGTCTGAATTCATGGGAACGTGCTGGTTAGCCTACCTGCTGGGTCATAGAAAATCTCGATTTTCCAATGAATTTCCCACCTACCCTACGGCTTGGAATGTGATTACTCTGTGCTACCTGGTCTTTTCATAAACAAAAGAAATGTTTTTTCAAGAGGGTTTAAGATTTCGAAGGCGAAGCAAAACGGAAAAATCAAAGAGATCAGATGGAGGCCGTGGCAAGCAGGATTCCCAAAAAGTTTCCGGAATGTAAAGAAAACGTCGATGTATGCCAACAAACTAACACGTTTTTATTACCGTAATTAAACCTTAAATTGGAACACTCGATGGCAACGCGTGTGGTATAAATTGTGGCCATCGAATCCAGTCACAGATCTCTTAAAAACTAGAAGGAATTCTAAATTCGCAAGCGCTGCCCAAAGGAGGGATTTGAGGATACGTTGTATTTACACGGGTTTTACGTACATGAATTTTGCAGTGGAAAACAAATTGCAAACGACTGAGAGCAAGGCCATGTAAATGGGAAATTTTTTTCTTGGGGGAATTTGATCTGGGGGAGACTGGGAATTTTGCTTGCCTCTGGGCAGACACTTCGTGATCAACACTTGGACACACCCACCAATGCGGGCCGTATGCAACGCTCATGCAGTTTGTAGCCGAGTTTGGTCACCTCCACCACGGTGTTGGCCTCAACCGTTTTGTCCTCCTTCTGGAACAGGGCCTCATGCTGATTGGGGTCAAACTTCTGGTTGATAGGATCCAGCGGTTCCAGACCGTGTCGTTTGAACACTTGCAGCAACGACGCCCTTGTCATGGTAAGACCCTCGTACAAATTCTTCAAATCAGCATTGCCGCTTAACTGTAATAAATTTAAGATTAATCCCCTGTATCCCCTTGAACTTGTCTTTGGCATGCTAACTACATCTAAACTGGACCAATTCGAATTCTAATTTGAATCCTATACAAAAACAAAGTACCTTATCTTTGGGCACCGCCTGCGTGGCATGTCCTAGAGTGTCCGCCACCTCGAGCAGATCCTTGCAGAAGCTTTGGATGCCGAAGATCTTGGCGTCGCTGATCTGTTTGTTCAGTCGGTTGCGCATGTTTTCGCTGTCGGCAAGGGATCGCTTGTATTTGTCCAGAAGCTCCGCATTCTGCTCCTTGGCGGCGGCTAGATCTTTGGTGAGTTTCTCAACTTCTGGTGTAGATGCTGTCGCCTTCTGCTCCGTTGATCCTGCCGCCGCTTCTTCCGGTTGTTTTTCTGTGCTGTATAATCGCAGGGCGCTGAGAAAGGGGGTGGAGGAGGCGATGTTAGAATTACGTGCGATTGCCGACAAGCGTGCGAGCTCATTACGTCACAGAAAAGAGGAAGCAATATTGCTGGATTTACCTCATATTCTGGGCCGTAACCGATGACCTTAGTTGGACAAGACGCCGGCCAAACATCTGCAAGGGTAATGGTACCTTCGTTGCCATTGTGATTAGCTTTTTTTTACGTAAAATAAACTTATTTTCCTTTTGACGTAAAATCGTCGGCTGCAGAGTTTGAAGAGTTATCGACTTTTATTTGGTGATATCGATTGTGCCCGAACTTTCGCATCGATAGTTGTCGTTAAGCCAACAATTTATGATTACAAAAAACTAATAATATTGAATTATATGTACATTTTCTTTTTTTATTTTATTTTTATTTCTACTTCAATAATAAATTTTTACATTTCTGTTTGAACTTTTTAAAACTTATAGCTAAGGAGAGAAAATTCTTTAAAATGTAAATCAACAAACTAGAGTCAAGTAAATAAGAAGTATTCATAGAATTTGCACGATTTTTGTACAATTTGTTGATCGTTTTCTTGGCATTCAAAAATATTCTAATAATCGATATCAAAGAAAGACCGTCTTGCTACTGTAGAATTCCCATGTCAAGTAAGATGTAAATTACCTGTAAAATTCGCTTCGTTCAATGTCAATACCGCATTCGTGTTAAGTAGTATATATCTCAATAGCTGTAAAAATAAAAGAAAGTTAATTAACTGCGGAAACGAAGTTTTTTAAAAATCACTCATCAATTTAATACACCCTTAAATTGTAATTAACCATGAGTGCATAAAATTTTAAAATAATATTTTAGATATAAGCCTAACAGGTACTTGTAAATAAAAAAAAATATATAACCTAATACTGCTAAATTTGTAAGCCGGAAGTTCCTTAATAACAGTTTCTTCTTTTTCTAAATAGAAATCGGATTGATCCCTTCGGAAAAATTGTTCCCACACCCATTGGAATTCACCTTAGTCATAAAAAGAATTTTAAAATAACAAAATATTTCTTATATAAAAAGGACAAACAGAATATTTAAATGAACAAAAAATGTGTATCAGAGAAAAAAATCCGCAGGTCCACTTAAAAATCGAAAAATCGGTGTTAATGCAAAAATGGGCCTATATTCTTGGCGCTACCTTCGGACATATATTATTAAGAACGCACCGCCGGCTATTAATCCACGCACAGTTTATAAATCGATCTTAGCCCCGATCGGCCACGCCCCGGGGCCGTCAAAATATGGACCGCTCGAAAAAGTTGCTCTGGAAATGTAAATATCGGAGGCTCTTAATGAATTCAAAGTACGAGTGGGGCGGGCACAGCATCTATTCAAACCAACAGCTTACCTCTCCGATCGCCCAGCACAGCCAAGTATTACATATGCGCATGCATTGTATATATTTTGGAAAACGAAGTACGAGAAGTCACTTAGTTGGATCTCGTCACCGGAACAACGAGGTTGTCGTCGAAACTTGGCTTTAGCTTACGAACAAACAAAATGCGTGAGGAGGATCTAGAATTGGCCCGTCAAATGGTTGCAAATAGTTCGGTGTCCAGTTCCCTGGAGGAGGAGAACGATGGAGCGGCTGTTACATCGCCGGGGAACTCACCCAAGCCCTTGAGAAGAGTCCTGGACTTGAGCGAGAGACGTAAACAGTTTAGGTAAGTTGATGTGAAAAGCTTTTAAAGCATTGAAATCCAAAGGTGTGAAGAGCCTAATGTTTTTATTTTGTTTGGGTTCCTTTCCAACCTTAATTAAAAGTAAATGGTTACAATTTTTTTATTAATATTTAAACACTCTATTAAAGTTCTTAAATCTTAAAAACACATCTACAACAAACTCCTGAAATTTCACTAGAGTTTGTCCCTAAAGAGTTTGTATTTTTTTAAGTTACGTTCTAAAAATAAACAACAAGACTTTTGTTTGCGTTTTAAAAGCACTTAAAAACACGTACAAATTAGGCTAAAAATAAACAATGTTACTAATTTGCAATGCGAAAGGCACTCCTTTTGTCAAAAATAATTATGAATGACGAATAGTTGTGACTAAGTGACGAAGGTGGTTGTGAAACATCCGTTGGCTTTTAAAAGTTCGCGCATTCTTTTTGCGATAGGTCGAACAATTGATACTATCGATACCTTTATCGATTTACTGACAGTTCTAGTTTTGCATTAAACTTAATACGTTAAATATCCTGGCGGTGTGCTGCAAATAAGTAATAAAAAGAGGACTGAACTCCTGCTAAAAGGGCACAGATGTGACCCTGATCTTTCTGGGAATCTAGAGCCCTTAAGGAAAGATGCCTGCGCCGGTGGATAGAAACTCCGTCGATAACCAGGTGTTTTTCTGCAGCGAAAACGACGCCGTTGCGGATGGTGGGCTACTGTTGCATGCCTCTGGCACGACGGATGGAGCAACGGCATCAACCTCGGCTCCAGGATTGGGAGAGGGACTTATGTCGAGCAGCTGGTGGTGGTAAGGTTCTAGTTACCTATCCAAATTTGTTATCATGCAGTTTTGCAACTCTTATCGGAATTCCATCTCTCATGCAACAACGGTAGTGGGCACACGTATAGGAATTGGTTGACTTAAAATTTATAATATCATTTTTTGTTATGTCAAATGTGGTGATTTTTTTTAGATGTTTTTGTGAATTCATTGAGTATTACACGTCTTTAAATTTTAATTTAAAAAAAAAAAAAATTCCTCTTAAGAAATATTTAAAAGATAGCAAAAATGTCAATATAATAATGAATATATAGACTGATACTACAATGTTTTGTATTTACTCAATTATTTTATTTTCCTATCCTTGACTTTTGACTGTATTAGGAAACAATACGCTTAGTGATAAAATTGGGTATCACAGACCATTCCTAAACCACACAACGAGCCTTGACAGATAAAAGGTACCACCTTTGTTTGTTCGCACACCCTTTCGTAGAATTTAACCATAGAGTTGTTGGTACATGGCTATAAAGTCTTTTCTTATTAAAGTTAAATGTACCATCTTGAACCTGATTCCTCCACAAAGTGGTTCTTTTAATTCAAATAAACCTATTGATTCACAGAAATTGAAAAGCTATTTCGAGCTAGACATGTTCCAATTTTGGCAATTGATTCGTTTAGATATATTCGATCTTATCAATTGAACTGTTAATTGAGCGCCTGCGTTCTGAGAAATGGGATCTGTAATCTGGAATCGGAAAACTGTTAATAACAAAGAGTAAAAAACAATGTCTGTTTCAACAACCAACCTTGTCCACTTCGCTGGCTCAGTTGTTGCTCGCACACGCGATCGCCCGGTTGATAGTTTCAGGGCCCTCCGTCGTTTTATAGCCTCCATTTTTTTTAGTCAGCTGTGCGTAGTAATCAAGTGGAAACTCGGCAGAAAAGTTTGACAAAAACTTAAAGGCAATACAAAACAGCAATTTTCCTTAGACACGCCACAATTAGCTTTAATGCATTTCTTATTACCAGTTGTTGTCCCCTTTGTGATGATAAAAGAAAAACACTTTCTCCTTTACGAATGACACATTTTTGGGCTCATATTTCGTTTGGTTCATCGATCAAAAGTGCGTGGGCGTGTTATTTTTAAAAAACACATATTTGTTGTTAAAACAAAACTAACCTTGGTCCCTTTTTCTTTGGCCCAAACAATGCGGTGTGACTGCATTCCAAAAAGTCAAAAGTGTATGAAACTGCAGTATTGACTAGTTCGTCAGCAATTTTTGAGCCCAAAAACCAGTAGTTTTAGGGAAAATGGCCTGCATGTCGGACATTGATTTAGCCACCTTGCACGATATTCATTTGGATCAGCGCTGGCAATACGGATTGCCAAATAGTGATCACATTTACCATCATCATGAGGGATTTAGTCCCATGACACGACTCTGTCTGGAGCGGAATATGCAGAAGAAGGTGCAGCGCGACATGAACGGAAATTGCCTGGCGCGAGGTCGGTCTCGAGAAAATGCCAACGGAAGTGGATTAGCGTCAGGTGGGAAGCGCAGACGTTCCGGCACCTGGCCGTAAGTGGACAAGCAGCTGAAAAATGTTTTCCTAGTGATAAGATTGCAAAAAAAGCTGGAATTTGTAATCCAAAGCAGTTGTCTGATGGCGCAAGAAATCTACAGGGATAAATATGAACAAGGATTGGGTTAAGATTTAAGATTTTTTTAAGATTTAAATTATAAATATCTTACTTTTGGTGCTATTATTACATATCAAGGTAGCGGTTTTAAAGTTAAAATTTGCCCTATTAAATAGGATATTTTATTTTCACAATTTCACAGCTAAAAATATTCTAAAGAAAAAATTGGTTTCTTTCTGTTGAAATTGTTTAATTGTTCATAGGAATATTTGTATAACTACATAATTTAAATTAAGAGTATTTTTCTCAATGTTTTTACGAATGAAAGCAGGAAGGGGAAACTCCAATGCTATTCTTGTGAATTCTACCATCTCCCTTGTCTTTTCTCTTGATTTCTGTCTCCTTTTACTATCTCCATTTGCATTAGGTTGATGTACAGTTAGTTGGAAGTTAGTCTGTAACTTGCTAAAATAGAGAATAGAAGCCAACAATTTGCAAAACCTTTTAAAAATAAACTATAGAAAATGTTTCCTTTGCGCCCTGACCAGCCGCAGACGGTTGCTTCGTTTCCGCTTCATAGTTCCCTGAGCATCGAAGAGTTTAATAATGTAAAGTGGGAGGATATAAATGATTGCAATAACAATTGTATTCAAGAGCAACCAGAAATTAGAAGCAAAAGCAATCGCCATTTACTAAGGTCTGGAGAGAAAATCATAAATACAAATCCTTACTAACACTCTTTTCAGGCGCACTCGCAGTTTGAATGCCCCTTCACCTGTCCAGCAATTCGGACCATGTGGACGCATCATGAAAAACTCAGCCATGGTGATGCAGATCCAGGATCCGGCTAGTCAGCGTCTAACCTGGTATAAGCCACCACTTACTGTGCTGGTGATTAAGAAGGTCAGCGATGCCTCGGTGCTGGCGCCGTTCGTCCAATTGGTGGATTGGCTGCTGCAGGAGAAGAACATGGTGGTCTGGGTTGAGTCAGCCGTGCTGGAGGATGCGCTACTCAACGATAATCTTCGATTCAAGTCTATTCGTGATAAGCTGGTGACATTTAAGTAAGTATTGATTTTATAAAAACGATTTTTTAAAAGATGTACAACTATAACCATTATATCCTCAGAGATGGTCGCGATGATCTGACCGACCGTATCGACTTTATAGTCTGTCTTGGAGGCGATGGCACTCTACTATATGCCTCCCTTCTCTTCCAGCAATCTGTGCCCCCTGTCATGGCGTTCCATTTGGGCTCCTTGGGCTTCCTAACACCCTTCCGCTTCGACAATTTTCAGGAGCAGCTCACCAGTGTCCTGGAAGGTCATGCTGCCCTAACACTTCGTAGTCGTCTGCGCTGTGTGATGCATCGCCGTGGCGAAAGAAAACACGAGGCGAAGACACTGGAGATAGATCCTGATGGAGATGCCCGACCTGTGGCCAACAGCATCCTGGTGCTTAATGAAGTTGTGATAGATCGGGGTCCCTCCCCCTATCTTAGTAATATTGACTTGTTCCTAGACGGCAAGTACATAACGTCTGTGCAGGGCGATGGCCTGATTGTATCGACGCCAACGGGAAGCACGGCTTATGCAGCAGCAGCCGGTGCCTCCATGATTCATCCCTCCGTGCCCGCTATTATGGTGACTCCCATCTGTCCGCATTCGCTAAGCTTCCGACCCATTGTGGTGCCAGCAGGGGTAGAACTGAAGGTGCATTACTTATTATATATTCAGATCTTACGGTAACATCTATCTCATTTTCAGATATCAGTTTCCCCCGAAAGCCGCAACACCTCGTGGGTTAGCTTCGATGGACGCAATCGGCAGGAGCTTTTCCATGGCGATAGCCTACGCGTGACGACCTCTGTATATCCTGTACCCTGTATCTGTGCCCAGGATCAGATATCCGACTGGTTCGCATCCCTCGCTGATGGTCTGCATTGGAATGTGCGTAAGCGACAGAAGTGCCTGGATGAACTATCGGATCTCACGGCTTCCGGATCGGAGGACATGCTGGACGAGATTGATAATATGAAATTGTATGATGTGTAGTGCGTAAGTCTCCTATTGCTGATCGTGGACATAGGTTACGGCTTATAGTAGTAGTCTAGTCTATTGCCCTTTATTTAGTGTGTAATTTTGTAGTATTTTCCAAGTATCTATTACGAAGCCATTGATTAAGCACACTCTTTTTACTCAATGTAAACCCACTGCTCTTCAGAAGGGTATATTTATATATATATATATATAGATATATTTAAATGCTGTCAGTAAAACGTAATAAGTTGTTTTAGAGAGCATTGATATGCGAAACTCGAATCCTTGAAAAACAAATCAATAAAGCACATATTTAGTTAAATTAAAGATCTATAAAATTGTTGAAAATTCAGCTTGTAACTGCAAACAGATTGAATGTTTTGTATAATGTTACCAAATTAAGCTTAAAACATTGTCAAGTTCTGCTGTAGATTAATGCTGGTTGCAAACTGATTGAAATGTGTTCTCTAACATTGCCTTGTGTATTTCTCATTCGTTTAGTCCGAACACACCTTGCAATATAGATTATTTAGACTGGTTTAAGAACGCCTCTCCCAGGCCACTTGTTGCATGTTGTTCACCTCGTGACTGTCTTTGGATCGGATTGGTTCGGGTTCACGTGGTGCCACGCACTTAGGCCTGTCAAAAAATTTTATTTTGCATCGATTTGGGTGCGAACCGAAAGTGTAGTTAAGCCTTTATGTTTCCCAGACGGTTTTTTGTGCCCTCAGGCGTACAAGCTATGTTCATTACACACGGCTAAAATCTTGTGTGCCATTGTTCGTTCGCTCGATCGTGTTGCTCCATGTTTTTGCCTTTTTTGCTTGCCAAACTCAAGGTGTGCACCGTTTTTTGCGTGTGCGTGCGACAGGTGTGCGATGCGTGCTTATCTGGTCGTGTGAATTGCATAAAATCTGGCCGTAGTTGATAGCGAACTTTGCCAGCGTGCGGTTGTGTTTTAAGTGTGCTTAATTGTGTTTGAAATTAAAAATGAATCCCGAAGATCTGCAGATGGCTATGAAAATTGCCGATGGAGAGGCCTTAAAGCCTGGAAGTTCCCCAGCTCCGTTCAGAAAAGCTCCAGCTATTAGTTTACTTGAAAAGCGGTCTCATTTTCGGTAAGTCATAAAGGAAAGTGTCCTTGACGGGAAATTGTCAAATTTAAAAATTAATGTGTATGGTTTTTTTTGCCAAGGAATTCATATTTTAGTATCTAGTTAGGAGAAGATATTAGTTAATTTAAACAGTGTTATTATGATTTTATAGATTTTCCTCTTTATATATGTAAAACAAGTGTACCTACCTACCTTTGAGATTTTTAGCTGAAAATATTATTTAATGGATTTGAAAAAACTTATGAATGTGTCTAATTGTTTTTTTAAAAGTGCTTTGGCTTTCCTGTCAACCAAACGAGTTTATTATTATTTTTAAGATTTTAAGTTTTAGTTGTATTAAAGGATTTTTTAATGATTTAAACTTAAGAGTTGAATTTTGTACATATATAGTTTTAAGATTATACAAAAATTCAAATTTCGCGCGTTAGAGTGACCATACAGCAGCTATTGTGTAAGATTGACCGACTACAGCTAATAGTTTTTTATAATATGCGCGTGACGGTCATACTCATATAAAATGGTGAAAGAAAAAAACAAATAACATGGACTTAGTGGAACTGACGTTCTCGAAATCGCAAACCAGCAGCTAGTCGGCGCTAGCCTAAAACCGAGAAGTGGCCAATTGGAAGTGGGAGTCAGTGGCATGTGCATCGCATTAGTGGGTCAAACTGAGGCCACACGCAACACTCACATTCGAGAACACACAGGTGCGCAGGCACACACGTAAACAGTTACCATACATGCAAGTGACCAACACAATGACGTCTTCGTACAACAACGTCCCGGTTAAAGCAAGCCCAGCAAGCACCCTATCGCCCGCTCAAACTGTTCCGAAGGCCACCGGCTCGTCTTTTGGGTCCTCCTCTAATTCCAAGGGATCCTATTATGACGACCACGACAATCAGCTGCTTCATGTAAATAGCGGGAGGCAAGGAAATACTGCAGCATCCTCAGCACCGGGTCCTGGCATAAATAACGGCACTGCCAGCGATGACCTCCAGATGCGATGGTGGTGGTAAGTGGGAGGCACAGTAGTGCCAGTTACCAGCTGGCGGTTTCCCGCTAGATATGGCCATGTTGCCCCCAGCTGTGATCAGCTGTTTAAAAATTAATGCCAGTTGGATTTTTAATATTAATGGTTCCAATTTATAATTTTATACTTTATTATTATTATACTTTATTAATTATTTCTATTTAAACTTTGAACTAAAAAAGTTATTAGTCTAGGCCAAATTTCAGGAATTATCTTTAATTTTGACGTTGCTAATTAAGTCTTTTAGTGGCTCTGGGTATAATTTTAACTATTAAGTAGCCTACCAACAAATTTAGACAAACAGACATTACGGTTATGTAAAACAAAGGAAATGCATTTCTAGTATAGCTGGCAATCAATTAGAGCTGTCCGGAACATGCTTAGCTCACAATGGCTCACAAATGTTGTAGTACCCTTTACTCGTAGAGTAAAAGGGTATATTATATTTGTTGAAAAGTATATAACACGTAAAGGAAGAGTTTTCGACCCTAGAAAGTATAAATATTCTTGATCAGTATCAATAGCAAAGTTGATTAAGCGGTGCCAGTCTGTCCGTCCGTCCTGTCCGTATGAACGCTAAGATCTCAGGAACTATAAGATATACATACAGAGTTGCGCAACGCACGTTTATTTTAGCATCCTGCCACGCCCGCTTTAACACAAATCGCGGAAAACTGTGGCGTCCATAAGATTATAGAGTAATTCTTCGTTTGACCTTGCATAACATATTTTTGTCAATATCTATCGATTTACCAAAGATTTTTCAAATCGGAAAATTATTTCACTATTCATGAAGAAATATAGTCTATAAGGCCTCACATGAACAGTGACGTCACAATCATTTAATAAACATGATTTTTTGACAAAAGGTGTCGCTTTGTCCATTTCAACTAGGAAAATGAATATTAAAGAATTGTATAAAACAGTAACAGGTATCTTACACAGGTATCTTACAGAAACGCTATAGTCGAGTGCTGTGTACTTTTCTGGAGAAATTTAACTACTGTTAACAAGTGTATCAAATGTGTGACATTTTATTTTGCATTGCATTTTATTTTTGCCTCACGTGTAATTTTAATCATTTAACATTTTAGATTGCAGTCGAAATAAATAATTTCAATTCATCAATCATATTTTAGTGGAATTTAATATCGGCAAATAAGCAGCCACTGGCCGCTCATTACATTTACATAACAGTGAGAGCACCTGTTGCATTTTCGTAGTTTTCTCTTCATTTGCGACGCGTGGCTGCGCTCAGCTGTTTTTATGCCCATTAATCGTAGAGTAAAAGGGTATATTAGATTCGTTGAAAAGTACGTAACAGGTGGAAGGAAGCGTTTCCGGCCCTATAAAGTATATATATTCCTGATCAGTATCAGTAGCGAAGACGATTGGGCCATGTCCGTCTGTCTGGCCGTCTGTCCGTCTGTCCGTATGAACGCTAAGATCTCAGGAACTATTACAGATAAAAAGTTGAGATTAAGTTTATTTCCGCAACCTGCCACGCCCACTCTTACGCCCACCAAGTTCAAAAGACGGTTTTCGCAATTTCTAGAAAAGTTAATATCTCGGTAACTATAAGTGATAGAAAGTACGGATTAAGCATGTAGGTTTTAATGATGCTCCCAATGTGAATTGTTTTTAACGCCCACAAAACACGAAAAACCAAAAATGCAAAAATATAGAGAACTATAAGAGCTAGAAAGGTGTGCTTAAAAATACGTCTTTAAGAGATGCCACTGCAACTTGCACCTAGTTTCATCTGGCCACGCCTACTTTAACGTCCACAAACCGCGGAAAACTGTAACGTCTATAATAATATTATGAATGCCTTCGTTTGACCTTTTATAACTTATTTCTATCAACATCTATCGATTTAGCAAATCCGATTTACGATGCTTTATCCGACAACAGGTCGGAAATTAATATTTTAAGATTGTGTAAAACAGTAACGGGTATCTTATAGTCGCGGCACTCGACTATAGAGTTTCCTCTTGTTTGTATTTGTTTTAGTTGCTTTACCAGCGATGTCCGGCGAAAACCCGCCAAACGATCGCCGCTCATTGTTTACAATCTCGGCTGTTCGGGTCGCGTACTTTTATTTTCGAATCGGAATCGCGCACAAATCGTCCAATTTAATCACATTTTGGCGTCCCAGCTCAGTTATCGCATATGCACCGGACAGTACGGTCGTGTTCGCTCTCTCCCACCTGTTAACTCACCTGTACCGCCCGTCGATTGTCGATCTACGGTCGTCGATTTGTCGAGCGGTTTTTTCGTCGTTTCGAGTCGGTCGTTTACCTGTTCATGTTTACCGCCGCTGCCGATCGCTGTTGGTCAGTTTAAAGCTTCGCCTTGGCTCGAGCTTGTGCTAAAAAGAAAATAAAACAGATTATATAACGTGTAATTAAATATTTTGTTGCCAACCACTGGTTAACATTTTCTAGCGCATACATGACTTGGCATTTCTGAGGTCTGGGCCCCCAGCCCACTATCGATTTCCTTCTATAGTCAGCCAACTGGCTATCAATCCGTCAATCTTTTAAGGAACTACAGTCTAGATTTAATATAACATTTCTAGGGGTTTTGCTTTTAAAAATAGCTCGAACTATCTTATAAGTAACTAAAAAACTTCCACTTCTGGGATTTGTAAATGTCTGCCTTTGGTAAACCAAAACTATATAGACAACTATATTGAGTCATGTACTTGCACTTATTAAAAACTTTATTATTGATGAGAGAGTTATATCAATTGCAATTTCTAGAACCCACTGGTTCCACTGACATATTCTTTGGCTCTTTGTTGTGTTGCTAAAAAAGATAAGCCCACAAGGAGTTAATTCTTTACGTAAACTACATTTTCCTGTGTACGAAGTTTATTCAAACAAATGAAAGTCTAAACTTAATGTACTAGATGCTTCTTAAAATAAATTATATTATTAGTAAATATTATAATATATTTGGAATATGGATTGAATATACACAGCTAGCTCTTATATTAGCTACAAATACTTTTGTGTTTTACAAAGGGAGAGAAAAATGTAAATTAAATGCAAAATAATTACCTACGTTTTCTGTCACTTTCAACTTCTATAAGTATATTTTAATTACAAACAAAGGTTGATAGTTCAACTGTAATAGCTGTAGTTGCAGCTTTAGAACGACGTAAGGAGCGTCATTTGAATTATATCATTGCTAATAGCTTGCTGACATGTGGGCACGTTGTGGCCAGGTGGTTCCACGGATCCGTAGGTGCAGTAGTTCCTTTGTCCACTTTCCGATCCATTCAATGATAATCACTAATACTTAGTTGATGGCAATGCGCATTTCGCTGCTCGGCTGCTCGGTTTGTTGATTAATTAATTTGTGCCCGTTGTTTGAATTCATTTAAATTTTCTTTGTGCTCATAAGTCATTTATAATTCCCCTTATGTTCTCCGTTTATTGTTATAGTCCGATTACTACGGATGTAACCAGCGACTACTTGGGGGTGGTGGCTTCTGCCTTCCTTTGTTTTATTTACAGACAAATTTTCAATGACTTGTACTTACCTATTATTACTTCTTGATTTCGATAAAAATAAAAGGCAGGGAATACTTTTCATCACGCGATGAAATAATTATTGTTGTGCAATTATTATTTTATTAGAATTCAAAATGAGAGTGATCACTCAAATGTAACAAAAACTAAATCCAAATTTTTATTTGCGGGAAGAGGTTTTTGGATTATTGTAGGCTGGTTGGGATTCAAAATTGTTTTACCACATATATATTTTAAATAACAAGAAACCCATTATAGGCTAATGATCACTGACCAACTTGTATTGCCTTTTCAATGACAGATTTTACTTGTACGTACTTTGAAATACAATTCTGAAGTTAAAAGACCTCCACAGATAGTTTCCCCATTCTGTTAAGTTCCCCATCTCATCAACAGTTCATTAACAGATTCTTTGAGTGACCCCTGTTAATGAACTGTTGATGGAGCACTTTCCGAAACCGAAAGAAACCTAAATGATTGAGATCTTCAAGCCCATTACACACGCAGGTCACGATTTCTAGATTAATGCCTGGCGATACTGTTATGCCCAAGTGGGTTGCCTGCGGAGAAGACTGTTTAATTGTGGTCTAAGTGGACGTCGTTTTCGATTTTGTTTTTGGCTTATTAAAAGGTTGTTGACCAACACCAAGCAACGACGAAAGAAAAAAAGATTTAATTATATTTATCGTTATAAAGCTAACTGTGGTTGTTTAGTACGTCCGAGTTTTGTTTGGTTTTTTTTTCGTGCAAGCGGATTTCTTGTCAATTGATTTATACTTGACATCGTTATGTGGCTAAGCAGGCGATAAAAGTTGGCCAAGTCCAAACTCCGCCAGTCCCCCGCTGACGGAAGCTTGCCAATGACGCATATTAGGCCTTGCCCCGCACCTTTCTAGCCATCTCCCTTATTGATTTTTGAGTGATCTTGCGTCAGAGCCGGAACTACGTTTCTGGTCCGTTAGGTTGGCCAGAAAAAAGGCAACCAAAACAAACTATTTGATTGCTAATAACAAATTTATTTTGCACAAATTTCAAAAGAAACGCATAACCGGTTTATAAACGAAAAACTGATCGTTTTTGTTTATCAACTTTTACCACGCGCCAAAGCAGTTACCCATTTATATTCCACCAAAAAATGTATTGCATTCTTTTGTTACCAAAATTGTTAACTTTTTTTAACACGTCTAGCGAAAGGGAGCAAGGTTAATGCGATTTACCATTTTTGTTCGAATAAGGTCGTTTCAAGGGTGTGGGGTTCCATGACCAAAGCAATGTCTAGCTAAATTTCCCAATGCAATTTCAGTGGAAAAATGTTTTAACCATACACAAATCTCTTGTGAATTTTTTGAGTGATATTTGTTAACCGAAAGACTTAAAAATATGACGTGCCTGTCGGACATTGATTTGGCCACCCTGCACCAGCATCGTCTGGAAGAGCGTTTTAGTTATAAGTTAGCCTGGAGCATCACTGGCCACCAACAGACCCAGTACAACGATCTCCTCATGCGGCATAATGCCTCAGTGAAGCGCCAGCGGAGCATCCAGAATAAGACCAACGTGGCCAGCAGCAGGATCAAGAATCAAACAGTGACTAGTAATACCTTGGACACAAGTCAGGAGATCACTCAAGCTAAACCAGAAGAGGAGTCTGATGACGGCTACTTTGATTCCACGACTCGACGCAGGCGTAGTGGCACTTGGCCGTAAGTAATCTCAACTTAACCAAACCAATTTAAAGCGACCCAAACGAAGTCAAATCCTGATAACACACTGTCAGATAAAGGAGTGAAATCAAGCTAAAATTTATGTAAAAACATTTAGGTCTCATGGAATTTTTTTTTAAACTGAAGTTTTTACCCTTGGTAAATCTTTTTCTAACGCTGTCAGAAAAAATTATTAAAATATAAATTTAACTTTAATTGACTGGACCTTGAGTTCTAAAATAAAACTCTTTAAGCAAAAACGAATTCTTTATAACAAACCAATTATTGAAACAAAAAAATAATAACTACCAAAAAGAAAAAACACAATTAATTAATTTTAAATGATGTATTTTTCCTCAGTGGGGTTGTCTGAAAGTTATCAGGTCACCGAACATTTGTACGCCTCATGCCAAAGATAAGGCGCGCCTTTTTGTAATCAAGTGTTTACCTTGTCTTTGGGGGTTATCGGGGGTGAGAAGTGTGGTGTACATTTAGGCGCTTATTATTTACACATATCAAATCGGTTAATTATATACACCGAACGTAGTATCAATTTCACAACTGATATTAACCTATCAGCATGATTAAGTAAACTACATTATCAGTAAATCTGTTTTTCTGGCCAGTACTTCAATTAAAAAAGTAAGAAGAAAACAGTTTTCTCACTTTATTAATACTACTCATAAAGTCCTTGACCTTTCTGCATAGTTCAGCGTTTGTGGCGTGTTTTCTTTTATTTTTGTGTGTGATATTTTTTTTGGCCACTTTAAAAACGAGTTTGCTAACACCTCGCTTAGTGGTACTACGAGCGATGGCGCCGTCTGTTTTATCTTCAAGAGCTACCAGATTTTTTTTGTTTTTTACAGTTTGTTTGGAAGAACTTGAGACGCCAGTTAGGTTTGAAATCGGTGCCAGTTTGTGCTTGGCGCCGGTTATAAAACAAAGGCTACGTATTTGAATCTGAATACGAATCTGAATCTGTATACGAATCGGAACGATATCGAAGTGACAGTCGTCCGATTCGCGATGCCGAAATCCAAAGGTGTGTGTGCAGGTCAGGTGGCTTTAACCGCATTTGCATGGCTTGTCTGGACGGGAGTTCGATTATATAGTAGGGCCTCTCATTAAAGCCCCACAGGTAAAATGAAAATAACTCGGACTTTGGGCCTACAGAAAGTCAATGATTTTAGGAAATTATTTTTTTTTTACAATGTCATGCTGACGTCTCATCCATATCGGTCTAGGAAATTAAAAGCTTACTTAAATCGTCCGATTCTCTCATCGAACTTTCAGTTTAGTCTGTGTCTAGTAGCGACCGAGAAAGTGCGTTTAGCGGGAATTCACTGTTCAGACATGTCGTCGCGTAAGTGAATGAATGAATCTGAATTTCGTTTGAAGTCATTATCGCGATTAATAGGGAAACAAGATCACATTCTGTCAACACATCTTCCTGCATCGAAACGTATGCGTCATCTTAATTTAATTCCCTCGAATGGCTCCTTTCCTACCAGTTTTTGTCATTGCCTTTTATTTTAAAGTGAGTCAGATCCTGTATTCAAGCACAATGGGACTATTTCTTTGATTAATGAATGAATACAATGAGTACACTGTGATGAAATTATGTTGTGGGTAAAAGTGCATGAAGGGTAGTTGTAATTTGGAACCATTTAGATAAGATACAAGTAGGTTGTGATTGTTATATGTCTTTTATAAATATTTTGATGTTATCTCGTTAGGAAGTGAATAATGTTTGTACAAGTATTTCCTTACTTGTGTTAATTCTAGATGTTTGTACTTGATCGGGCTGTAAATGGAAAACTAAGGTGTTAAGTTAAATAAAACTTAAAGAAATAACACACAAATATTAAACTCACATTTTTTGTAAAGAAACCTTATATTTAAATATTACATCATTAAAAAATTATTAAGGTAGCACGTCGTTGAGAACTGTATATACATTTTCGTTTCCGGCATTAATCTACCCACTACCTTACATATTAAATGTTTTCCCGCTGAAAGCTATTCTATCCCACTGTTCCATTTATCTACGATGCCCATTGTCGTCTGGTGGTCCAGTTCTGCTTAGCCTATCTTAGGCTCATTTGGCTCATCTCTGCCCTCTCTTTTCTCTCTCTTTGTGTCTCTTTGTGCTGAGTCATCGTCTATTAGTACATCAATCAAACCCGTTAACAGCACCCCCTCACTAATACACCCTCACGCACAGAGCATTACTCTCTTCTCTCATTTCCTCTCTCTTGGCCCGCTCTCTTTCAATCTCTGTCTGTCTCTCTCTGTTAGCATGTGCAATTCCTGTTTGTTTGGACCGCAGATTCAACAAGTTTATTTGCGCTGCTACGTGTTGTTGTAATGAAAACAAAAATATAAATTCGTTATATACATACCTTTATTTTGTGTTTTCGAACACCAAATTGGCCTGTCAGTGATTTTTTAACCTTCGAATGAGCAACAGTTGCGCTCGCATTGGAATTTCCAGCAAGTTTTGATTTTGGTTTAGCACTAATTATAATAATAAAAAAGGGCGTGACCAATCAGAAGTAGTTAAGAACTTGTCATTATGCAGCACCAAAAGTTAAGATTAGCTCCGGCCTTGCAGCGCCAGATATCCGAGGTTGAAGAGCAACAGGTGACCCCACTGGCGCCAGATCCACGTATTTTGAGGTGTATTTTTAGTGCTAAACATCCTCTGTATATCTTATCTTTAACGCGATTCCCTTTTGATTTTTCCAGGCGAACTAGAAGTCTGAATGCTCCGTCGCCATTCCAGCAGTTCGGGCCATGTGGTCGCATTATGAAGAACTCTGCCATGGTAATGCAGATACAGGATCCTGCCAGTCAGCGTTTGACCTGGTACAAGCCACCACTTACAGTTCTGGTGATCAAGAAAAAGGACTCCCAGGTTCTGCTGCCCTTTGTCGAGCTGGTGGAATGGCTGGTTCAAGAAAAGCATATGGTCGTCTGGGTGGAGTCTGCTGTTCTTGAGGACAAACTGCTGCGTAATGATGTCAAGCTGGAGCAGGAGAGCTCTAAGTTTCGACAGGTGCACGGAGACTACGCCGGAGTTAGGGCACGTTTCCTGGCATTGCGCGAAAAGCTCGTGACCTTCAAGTGAGTGATTAATTGGGTTTGCTAGTTTGCAATTGTTCTAGGCACTTACTTTTTAATTAATCTTTTATTACGTAAATAAGAGCTCGGAATACTTGATAGTTTCAGTTTAATTAAAAAGGCTTACGTTAAGTTAGATAAAAAATATTTTCTTAAAATTAAAAAAGTAATACCTATTGATCAATTTCTCTTCCGCAGAGATGGTCGCGATGACCTGACCGATCGAATTGACTTTATCGTCTGTCTGGGAGGCGACGGCACTCTACTGTATGCGTCCCAGCTGTTTCAACAGTCGGTGCCACCGGTGATGGCCTTTTACCTTGGATCCCTTGGTTTCCTGACGCCTTTCGAGTGCGACAACTTCCAGGAGCAGGTGACCAATGTCCTGGAAGGTCATGCCGCCCTTACACTTCGTAGTCGCCTGCGCTGCTCTATTCACCGCAAGGGCGAACGTCGCAAGGAGTCACTACTGCCAGCTGTGGGTGGTAATTTCCTTAAGCCCAGCCTAAATAGGCAGCTCAACTACGTGGAGCTCAATAACGGGCAAACAGGGAATGTCGGAAGCAACAATAACAACTGCTCTAACAATAGCATCCTGGTGCTTAACGAGGTGGTGATCAATAGAGGACCCTCACCTTATCTGAGCAACATTGACATCTTCTTGGACGGAAAGTACATTACTTCGGTGCAGGGTGATGGCCTGATTGTATCGACGCCCACGGGAAGCACAGCGTATGCGGCAGCAGCCGGTGCGTCCATGATCCATCCCTCCGTGCCGGCCATTTTGGTGACGCCCATCTGCCCGCACTCTCTGAGCTTCAGGCCCATTGTGGTGCCCGCCGGAGTGGAGTTAAAGGTGAGTTTAAAATACATTTCACAGGTTACTTTTATCTGTTCTTCAAGTTCATTGTCAAGTTCTCCATCTTATGTTGAGTTATTTAAAGCTTTACATTTCTTAATAAAGCCACGTTTTGTGACTCAACCAAATTGATCCGGACTGTGGCTGTCTAAGTCGTGAATTATGCATTAGCAGGAGTTGCAAAACCACTAAAATCATTTCTGATATATCATTAATGCAGTAAATGACTTGAGAGCCTTGATAATTAATGGTGTATCTCTTGTTTTTGCAGATATCCATTTCACCTGATAGCCGCAACACCTCACGCGTCTCCTTTGACGGGCGTAACGATCAGGAGCTGAACCATGGCGACAGCCTAAGGGTGACCACCTCTATTTATCCTGTGCCCAGCATATGCTCTCAAGATCAAATCTCTGATTGGTTCGACTCCCTCGCCGAGGGTCTGCACTGGAATGTCCGCAAGCGCCAGAAGTGCCTCGATGAGCTGTCGGATTTAACGGCTTCGGGATCAGAGGACACGCTCGATGAGTTTGACAATCTGAAGATCTACGATGCGTAGTGATAAAAAATAACGTGGCCAATTAGACTAGTTGTAGTCTTAGTTACTAGGGTTTGCTTGTGTGCAATTTGGTAGGCTTAGTTATTTAGCGAAAATACTCTGTTGTACTATACACATCATAAGTCGCTTGGTTGAAATGTTAAATGTTAATTGATTATGATCGCAATGTTTGTTTAAGCTAGGCAAATTCCGTTAATGCTTGTGAACAAAAACAAAAAACCACTTACGCTTAGCTCTTAAGTTTTTATTATTACGTAATATATTACGATTAATTGCGCCGAGTGCTAAGTACTTAAGCTGACTTGCGTTATCTGTATAATTCGATGGAGGTAATAAAAACCGTATTATTTACTTAAAGCGCCACAAAATCCATTCCACTTGTGTTTGTTTAGCTATGCGCCCGAGCAACAGGCGAATAAAAGTGCAATTAGCTGGATAAGCAGGGTGCGATGGTCAGAACCGTAACAATGCACGGGGACACTTAAGAAGAAAAGGCTTTTAAAGGAGGCAAATTAATGGTCAGGCAATTGGTCAATGTCTAACGGACTGACTGGAAAGATGGATGGCGCGAAAAAAGAGTGCAAATTAATCATAAAATGGCCTTTCTTTTATGTTCCTATCGGAGGACTATAACTATGTTAATCTTGTCTACGTGGTCTACTTTTTGCTAGGCTTAAAAGTATGCTATGTTTTCTTGCCTCTACAAAAGTGAATGATTATGATATTTCAGCTGGTCGAAACCTTTTCTTTCTGACAATTTCCTAAGTGTAAAAGCCGCACCATAAATCAAAATCATAAAATAAAAGCTTGAAATAAATGTGACTAGAAATGCTCTATGCCGTATCACCACACCCTTTAAATGCTTCTGCGAGCGTGTGTGTACGTGCGAAGTGCGTTTATTATCAATTTGCACGCTTTTCCTAGGGGTTTTCCCCTTCTCACTTATCGAGCAACAAGTGCCAAGCCGAATCATTTCCCACAGCTTCCTTTCGCTTCGTGCTTTTCCTCTGACTGGCGGATAAAACAAATGCGTATTATCCGTGTCATCCAATTGGTCGTTCTTCGCTACGCCCACTTTTCGGACACTGCGCAGGACTCGTCATCTGACTCATTCTAGGTGCAAGTTGGTCTTAGTGAAATAAATGGCTTAAAGCACATTAATTTAATTTTTCTTTTATTCGAAAGCCGCTTCATATGGTTTGCACTAGATTTAAGTTTAATCTTGCTTAATCGGGTCAACTATAACGATACAAAAATGTCACCCGTTGCAGATGTGGAACCTTAAAGAACTTAAGTTAAAGTTTAAATAATTGAAATGGGTCCTTAAATCAAATTCCCGTATTCGGAATTTTAAAGTGTATAAAGTTTTCTTTGTTTTCCTTATAGTTTTTCATCTATAATTTACCTTCGAAATACCATTTTTATAGTTCGTTCTATTTATAGATTCATTTGCATAATTATTTGTTCGGAAATTCTAAAACTTGTAGCATATTTTTAGTAAATCACTTGGCGGAACAGTGATCAAGTGCCCGGCTAGCTCAGTCGGTAGAGCATGAGACTCTTAATCTCAGGGTCGTGGGTTCGAGCCCCACGTTGGGCGAAAACTAACTTTTTGAAATATTTTTATTCGTTCAAATTTTAAATGGATAAGATTAAAGACTATTTTTTTTACATAATGAATTGAAACAAATTTACCCTACTGATTGGAACATGGAACATTGTTCGAATTGATTCTTAAGCTTATTGATATTGATATTTATTTATTAACTAAAAACTATCATGATCAACTTAAAATATTTATAGCCTATTAAATTCAAAAAACTATCTTTTAACGCATTTTCTCAGATCAATCACTCGAAAGCGGAAATTGAATTAACATACTTTTAATTTTCATTAATAAATATTTAGATCCCTTTAAACCGTGAGCCAACCCACTCATTTATTTTCCTTGGGAATAAAGAAAAAACCCATTCAGCAAAGTCAAAACCTTCTCATTTAGCCGCAATATAAAAACGCAATAATAAATTCAAAATATTTGCGGAATGTTCTAATGAAGTCTCGGGCTCATTCAGCACTAAGACAAATGCCAAGCGAAAAGGCGAACACAACAATGCGATAGCAGAAGCTATAGAAGAAGCTCCCTGCTGAAGATGATGCGGCACGTGTTGATATTCCAATTGAATGCCACCAAATATGCGACACCCCCCAGCAACTAGGGAAATAGAAAATATCTCCACCACCAGGCATACTCACACGAGTCCTCTTGGGTGACATTTGAACTTTTACTTGGGGGATATACTCGTCCTTTTAAATAGATTTTGCAAATGCTAATGACAGCTCCAGCTCGAGGATTGTGTGTAGCATTTCAAACAAAAGGAAATTAAACATTTGCGGCCGAATGGGTTTTCCGGTTTCCTTTTTCCCTCTATTTTTATTTTTTCTTTGGTTTCGATTGTGATAAAAACTTGACCACAGAGTTGGGATTTCCATTGGTATGACCCGCATCTCATTTTAAGGGACATTTGTCATCGATTTAACCCCCAGCATATGAAGTTAAGCTGTCATATGTGGCAAATTCAATTTGTCAGGCCCGAAATGGGACTTTTTTAGACCCATTTTAATCCTCTACGAAAAAGCATTTCTGCATTTATTGTATTATTTAATGCCATCAGTCCTGGACGATTTCTAGTCCATTAACTTTGAAGTTATTTTGGCGTCGCCACTTTAACACTTCAATGAAAATCTCCACCTTTTTTTATGGCTCCATTATAGTTGTTTGCCGCCAATGCCATTTTCCCCCTCCGAATTTTCCATCAATGAGTTTTATACAAAGCATGTGGTTGAAATCGATTTGTGAGTGGAATGGTTTTCTTATTGGTTTTGGTTTTCTTATTTTAGGTCCAAGGAAATGTGGTCATATTGCGGAATGCAATTAAAGTTTGATTTTAGGTAAAACGAGATGTGCTCATCATAATAGTAAAATTTGAATGCTCTTAAAATAGCTACACAAATTAGTACTTAATTTTATATTAATAGGAATTTAAAATATTTTAAAATGACTTATTTATATATTATTTAGTTTTTTATATACGTTTTAAAGATTACCTAAATAGTTTTAAACGATTTGAAAAGCCAATCATCTGCTTAAATTACCCTACGTTCAGGAATATAAACTTTAGAGCACCTTTAAGATTGGTTTTTTATAAATCAAGGTTATCCCCTCCTCAGTTTTTGACCGCTTTAGCTGGTCAATCTGTTTATGTTTTTATATCGCCATCCACTCTTTACCTTTTATTCCATTTTATTGTAGATGCCAGGTTTAATATCTTGACTTCTATATGTAAATGGGATACCCTAGACGTGATCACCAAGCTACACCATCTTCTTAAATGTCTATAAATATTTCTAGGCCGGTCCTCCAACTTCGGTTTCTGCCCATTTCCCAATCTTCGATTCAGTAGCGTGTCGTTTTCCAATCGCAGCGGTCTTTGTATCTCCGCCTCCGCATCTTTATCTTACTACTGGCTTTTGTCGCGTGTCTCATCTGGCGGGCTGCATAAATTTATAAAAGTTTAAATGGTTTAATTGAAACGGCCTATGTGTAAGTGGAACCGTTCAAGCTTACCTCGAACATCCATCAGGTGGTTTCAGTCTCCACAAACCTGTCTGCCGGCTGTAAAATTTCAACCGGAAATTGGTTAAATCAGTGCAACAACACGTTTGACTTCACATATACCCTAAGGCCAATGTCCCAAAGGGATGTGCAACACACCTGTTACACCTTGGATTAACAAGAATAAGCAAATTTGACCTCGTTATGCTAAAGTAAGAGTAACATATAGAAAATTAGGGTCATATGTGATTTAAAGGTGTTTAGCTAATAGCACGTGATTTACATGTTTGTGATGAAGTAAATGAATTTAAGAATTGTTTTTTGGTGAAATATATAATTAAACATATTGAAAAAGCCATTTTAATAACCTCAAATAAAAACGACTTCTAACCAAATGTTTTAAGAACTATATTATATTAAGCCACCATTTCGCTTGCCTTTAAGACTTTTAAAATTTGACTTTAGCGAAAAGCGAAAATCATTGAAGATGTCCTTTCCTGTTTCCCCCGAAAATTGAGTTGCCACTTAGGAGGCGAAAATCAATTAGGCATAATATGCGTGTGCCCCGCGTTCTCAATATCCATCCATGTGCCAGGCAACCCCAAAATACGTTGCATACTTACGGGCGTTTTGAAAATAAAATCAAATAGAAGAAGACCCCAACGCACATTCACATACATATACAAATACATACATATATAGAGACCAAACACAATGAAGGCAATTGAGCAGAATCATTGCCGTTGGCAGTTTCCATCAATATGCAGGAGGAGGGCAGGATCTGGATAAGGAGGAAAAGGAGGAAGTAGTTAAGAGTCAGGGAGTGGGCCAAAACGGATAACGGGAGTGTACTGCAACAGGCAGCAGACAACAAGTGGTGGCAGCGCTGCCAACGCCGCTGTCATTGTCACTTCGTCCTGCTGACTTCTTCCCTCATCTTGTGGCACCAAGGCACAGCCATATCCTGAGCGCAGTCGTCCGCCGTCGACGTCGAAGGCGCCTCGTGCGCCGCTAGCCAGCGCATCTCAGTTCAGTGCGAGATGAGATCTCGTGGCTGATGGACGTGCCCGTTTCCCACGCTCGCAGTGCAGCCTCAGCACCAGAAAAGACACTTGTGGCACTCACTAACAATCAGTTACCGTTTTAGCACTAGTTTAGTTTATTTCGCTTAAACAACAAAATCACTCAAGAAAATTCCAAATAAATGTGCACCTGAAATCGTGTTTTAATTGCATTACGTTCCAAGCGCACCAAGCAACGGGCAAAACGACATAAAAATATGTGAAAATTTCAAAGTTTTAAAAGGGTGTAAGTTTGCTAAAAAAATTAAAAAAGTGATATGGTATGATTTAAAATTTAACTTGATTTAGTTTAGATTTATGCCTATTTTACTTCAATAATGAACTATTATAATAACTTATTATATAAATCAACCTTTCTTATTGATTTTCTTTCTCTGAAAGAGATTTGATATTCAAATTTTAAACTTTGAAGAGAAGTATCAAATATCTTCATGTTCGACTTTTAGTTTATATTGAAAAATAGCATTAAATGATTTTGTCATAAAATTAAAATGTATGAAGTATTATAAATATTTCTAAGTTCCTTAATCCGAACTTCAAAACCGTATACCAAATCTTTCGCATTCAAGAGCAGCAAGTCAATCAAAACTCAACCAAAATTTGCATTTTAAAGTGGAAACAACTGCCTGTTTATTTATACCTACATGTATTTATTTATTAATCGATTTGAATCGAGCCTGACAGGCAAACACATTTTTTTGTCTGGTCTAACAACCACCAGTGTGCCGCAATAATAAAAAAAAAGAAGGCAAATAAAAGTATTAACAAATATTTATGTAAATATCATTTACTTTTCTTTATTTGCCCTGAACAAATAGCCTCAATCCCATTGACTGTGGCATATTTGGGTAATGAATAATAAATCCGCAAATATATTTACCCATATTTGCTTTTGATAGTCAGTGGTTCTACCCAACTTTTTCAGCTTTTTCTTATTTAAAGTTGAAAAAGGAAGGAATGAAATAAAGTAAACCAAAATATCAGCTTAAGGTACTATTATTATTTAGGGAATTCCTTTATAACATCCAAAAGATCTCTTATAATTCCCACTTTTGCTTGTCTTTTGTTGGCCAACGACCTTGCCGCAAGCCCACTGAAGAGCAAACCCACTCCCCGCAAAGGACAACCACTTGAGTGTTACATCTCAAAACACAAAATCCACAAGTGGCCATTGCCAGCAGAAATCGCTGGGCCTCCGGAGACACTGCAAATCCGCTTCAAGCTCCTTTACTTAAATGACTTCAATTTCCTTTTTTGCCTTTTTTTAATTCTCCCACAGGAATATTCCAACTCCAACAACGCAGAACCTCACCCGCAAAAATCCTGCCACAGCAACCACCTGACAACATCAACTGTAAAATTGCAATAGACCTTCTTAGCAGACCGAAGACAAACTCTACCCCGTCCGCCCACCAAAGACATAACTCAGTAGAAATTCCCTGGAAAAAGCTTAAGGAGTCGTTTAAAAATAATTACTTAGGTAAGTGTAAGCATAATTATGTGGGATTTCGGGGAGATTGGTTTAAAAATATGGTTAATATTAAAGTAATCGTACATATGTTTTACTCACCAGAAGAGCTTCCAATCTTTTGTAATTTATATTTGGACTAAAGAAGTTTAACAAGTAACTCAAAACATATGATAATTTAAATATTTTAAAATACCTAAGAACATATTGCTCTTACTTAAGAGGTCTTACTTAAGAGGTTTTCTATTTAGTCTTAAAAGCAAGTAGCTAAGTAGCTTATATTATTATTTTCCATAATACTTGCAACGGAAGATCGTAATGACTTAGGCACGTTCAAGTTCTTGACAACATAGCTCACATTGTTCTAGTGCTTACAGCTTTTTGTACAGATGATTGGCATCGATTTGAGCTAATTAGTTTAAAGGGGCCTCATTTACACGCCCCAGCTATATATCTCGATGCTACCGTTTTGCACTTAAAATTGCAATTATATGCAGTGGAAAAAAAGTAGTAGATGGGTCGTCTGTGCCAATTTGTAAACCAATTAAATGGAAAATAGAAAAACAAGCTCGAAGGGCTTCCAATTCCTGGTTGATTACAAAACGAAAACCAGTTTATGGCCTTCTGAAAAAAAAAACAACTGAGGTCTCTTCAAACTGCGTAAGCCGTTGTCTTCAATGTCAAGCTCAAGTCCAATGGCTAAGCCCAGGGATGAGCTTCGTTTTAATTAATAAAAATCTGAAAAATGAGCACAATTTAAATAAAGTTGCGTGTCGATGCTTAGCAGTGGCTAGAAAAGGCAACAAGCCGCTAAATTTTCGACCGTCGCCAGTTGAAAAATCTTGTGCAATTAACACAAGTTACGGCAACAACAGCAACCACAATTAAACTAAAAACAACGACAAACTGTAATCAAAATAAATATCTGAGGGAACATAAATAATGAATTAAACAATCGCATTCATCACATCGCATCGCACATGCAGCTCGATTTGGTTTTAGTCATGAATTTTATTTACACTATTATGAAGATGGGGACTAGAGATAAAATATTGGTTTTTCTTTTCTTCTAAAAAAGTTTATAGAGGTCTTTATAAGCTCCATAGTATTTCATTAATTATTAAAATAGTAATATAAAGCCAGAAGAAATAACAACGAACTGAAGTCTTGAAAATGGCTTAACTTTTTACCTAAAAGTTTCATTTAATTTTCGTGTAAAGCTTTAAACCTATGCTTAATTGTGCGATTAGCAATTAGAAACCTAATTAATTGCTTAAAGCTTGTAAAGATTTCGGTGTTATTAGGCTATAAAAGTTAACTTTAAATAAATTAATGAAAGAGTATTAAGAGGCTAATATGTACTAAAATATATAGCACTTATTCGCTGTTGCTTGCATTTATTATTCCAATATTATTGAAAAGCCTAACAATGCATTTTAGAATAGTTTTTAAAATGCAATTAAATTGGCTTCAAGTCGAAAAAAAGTTCAAGTTCCAGGCTCTGGTCAGTTAATCTTGAAAATCGAATGCATTAGCATAATTTCAAATAAAAAACTTAAGCTTTTGTTTGGATTTGATATTCCCACGCCCGTAAACCCAAATTGCATGCCAATTGTTAATTAATATTTATTAAAATGTATTTTACACACTTTTCATTGTGCATTCATTTGAAATGCAAAAAGATGTCTGATGTTCTCTCTCGTTGTATACTAACTACGTAAATGTTTTTTTCATTTCGCCTGAGCTAAAATTAATTTGTTTAATAAACCACAAGCGGCACGCCAAAGTTTTTAGTTTGAGCTGAGAGCGCCGACTTGTCGGTAGAATGCCCGCTGAAAGAACAATCCACCTCGAAGAAGATTTCAGAGTGAACTCATTGTAAAAAAGAAAGTGCAATCTAGATGATATTAATACTTCCTGAATGCCAATCGTTGCCTTGACTTCTGATTCACTAGAACAGAGTCTGCGGCTAATTGGATTTCTGTGCGCCTAACTGAGGGCTATAGCCGATCGTAAAGTCACATAAATATCGGTCATTATAGCTGCGTTCTATAAATACTCAAGGCCTGGTGGCAATTCAGGTTCACTAGTGCAAGTGATATTCCAGGCTCAAGAGTGCAGTTCGGATTGGAGCATCTGATCTTTAGACCTATTGCATTTTAAAAAGTAAAAGCTGCCAGGTAAAGTTAGCACATAAACAAATAAAAGGAAAATTAATTAATTGATTTGAATCTTACTAAATGGAAAGGAGAAGTATTTGAACTAATTCGAGTTTAAATGCATACATCTATGTTTCGAATTCCTAGTTCCTAAGTAATATATGAAAAAGACATTGGAAATTAAAAAGATAATATGATTGTGGGGCTACAAACCATTATAAATATCCTTAAAAAACATCTACTTAGTTACAGCTAGTTAACCTACAATGTACTCAAAAATCTTCCCATTGGCAATAATAAAACAATGATTTGTACAAAGCTAATAGAAACTAATTCAAATGATGTAATATTTTTTAGTACAATAACAAATGCAACAGCTTTGTATTTCACCAGTTAATTCCAGTTGATTTAATCAATTAAAATTACAAAATTTGTTGCTGTTTATCACGCCCACAAACGTGATGCATTTGTATGAAGTTCTCGTCTTTTTATCAGATACCATCCATATCCATTTGTTATTGAATGACAACACTTTGTTTCCGAACAAGACGTCATAATAAACAATCAATTGTCCGCAGGGACGGGCATCAATTGTTGTCTCAATTACAAAATAAATTGAAAGCATTATGCAAAGACTTCGTGGCGGAAGACTTGATTCATCTTTCGCTTCAATTACAAGACCTTTTTTTGCTAATAGCACTGGGTTAATTTAATTTTGCAACCGAAAACTTAAAGAAGTTGCCGGTTTGTCGTCCTTTTATGGCTCTTTCAAAACGAATTATGCAGAAGCTAATTCAATTTGCGCCTGAAGTTAGGCAACAGCAAATGTTCGAATGACAAATGTTGCGCATACTCCCCGTGTATTTGGTGGGGTGGTAGTAAGTGTGTGGGGTGGCAGGCAATTAAATAAATATTTAAATTGCGTATGATTCAATTACGAGTCGTGTTGCCGTGTGAAAGATGCTTTTTAATTCCGAACCCCAAGACATGTAATTTACTTTTAATTAGCGAAAATCATTGAGGCATAAAGCGAGCGTGAGATTTTGATTGGGAATGGGAACCGGAATCTGTAAATGGGAATGGGTAGTATTGTAAATGGGAACGGGATGGTATGATGATGGGAAATCTGGTTGCTCTTGATTTGATTACATTTTTTAAAAAGACAATCGGCTTACTGCCATTCGTAGCAACCAGCGGCTAGCGACGCAATGCAATCATCGACCGATGCGGGCAATGGTGGACCAAGAAAACACACGCAAACCAGCACAGTCCCCCAGAACAAGTCGGAGATTAGCGAGACCACCTCCTTCACCATAAACACCAGCAATAGCCAGCAGCAACAGAATCCCGGTGGACCTGCCAGCAATACACCCAGCAAAAATCCCTTCAAGCAACAGTTGGACAGCAATCAGCAGAATGGCAACATGGACCAGGATTGTGGGATATTGGGCGTTGGCAAAGCACCACCGGTTCCGCCGCCGCCCACCTACCAATCGCAGCAGACATACGGAGGAGGAAGACAGGCACCACCGCCAGCGGATCAGTACCGCGAAGAGGATCCACGCGCTGCCGGGTCCTGGTCCGCCGCCAAATCCTGGATGGTCAGCTGGCGGGGATCCAATCGCCTGGTGCTCGTCATCGTAGCCATAGCCCTGCTCCTTGACAACATGCTGCTGACCACAGTGGGTAAGTCTTTTAATCTTATAATACCTTACCATAAATCTGATTCCCTGGTGGCTATTAGCATTTCATGAGCATTTATCTCCCAGGCGCTGGCTGGTTGGTTATCCTGGCCAGGCAATCGACTGGAAATTGTCCATTTCCTTAGAGACTGGGTGAAGTGGTGCCATAAAATTACCACAGAGTGCCACTTAAGTTAATGAACGCTTTCCTGTCAATGTGAATGGTCGTTGTCAGTTCATCAGTTCTTAGGTTTTTCTCAGGATTAACACGGACCCTTAGATTGTTTTGTGGGATCTTACACTGCTACCGAAAAATATTTCGGGAGTATAGATAAGAAGTAATGAAGGAAAGCACTGATATTTTGAAATATAGTTCATTCTTATTCTTATTATTAGTGTTTTTATAAAAGAAACGAAAAAAAGAAAGCAATATGTCAACCAAACGAAATACCAGTAAAATAAGTAATTAATTAAATGTAACTAAAAGCTGAGATATTGCTACGCATTGCCAGACATTCGATGCCAGCTTAATGAACCCTTAATTTATGTGGAAAGCCGTGCAATTAAATCAAATACCCACCAACAACTAATCAATGGTGAAGTGCCCCTGCTTAGTCATTAACAAGCATCGATGACCAACGGACCAAACTGAGTTGGGCAGCTCCAAGTGCCGAGCCGTCGACAGTCAATTAAATAGACACGCACTGGAAGACCCTCCTGCAGTTGACACTAAAATCCCACCACCAGGGAAAACTCTCTCTTTTTCCACGGGTGGGGGTAGATGTGGTGTCCAGGCCAAGCGCTTATGTCAAGTGTCTGGCCAAACACATGGACATTGAGTGGGAATCCTTCGGTCCTCCAGCCTGACAAATACAGCCCAGAGTGAAAGCCAAAAAAAAAAATGGGAAAGCAAGATTTTTCTTTTGTGCTGTAAACGTCCATGAATTTAAATCAACAAGTTGGGCAAAAAGCAAAGGAAATAGCCGAACCACTCGAGCAACTTGTTGAGAAAAGGCACGGAAGTGAAAGTCAAAGGAAGAGTGGAAAAACTATTAGCTCCATAGAAGAAGTTCCCCTTCTGCTAGCAACTAAGAAAAAAGCGGCAGGAAGGGGCTGGGCTTTTAGCGTTTGACTGGCGGCATTTCCACTTAAGTGCTTTCTCGTTTCGCGCTCAAGGTGCTGAAGTGAAAATTGCTGCAAATACATTTGATTATTACATTTGATCTCAGCTCTCTGCAGCCACCCCTGTGCACCCCGATTTCCCACATTTTCCCTCACTCTTTTATTTATTCTCGCATAATATTCTCATAAATTAGATTTATCCGAGATCCTGTGGAGATTTATATGGGCCATGGCCTTATCCGTTTGACTCGAGATAACAAATTGAATATGCAATAAGAGTTTGTTTTATTGAAGAAGATTGAATAATAGTAGTACCTTAAATAGGATTCACTTTGATCCAGGGATACGTTCATGTCCTTAGCCCATAAAAGGACTTCTTTGCACATTTACATTGGTTGAAATATGCAAATGGCTTGTTTTAGTGCTTTAGACAAATCGTTCGGGTGCTAAATAGATTTTGGGTTTTACACAAATTGCTGGACTTACATGTTAGTAATACTTATGAAAGCTATATTGAGAAAACTTTTACTAGAAGACCCGGAGCTTGTCTTAGCTTTTCCGTTGATTGATTTTTGTTTTAAAATTTTGCCAAAGATAAAAAAATAAGCTGTTTTATATAAATTATTACATGTTTTCGCATAATTTAAAACAATGACAATGACGTTAATGTCTGTAAAATTTACCAGAAATGCGTAATACAAAAATTATATATATATGACTCTGAAAATGTGTTTTTAAAAAACATGATTTGATTGTATATTCTGGAATCCGGGGTCTTCTTCAACCTATCCTAACTTAATCTAAAAATCTCAAAAATTGCCTTTCAACCCAAGGGACATCACAATGAATGAGTAAGCCAAGTCCTTGGCTCTGTAATGCTACTTTCCCGTGTTGTGGTGCTCCAGAGAGGCGACATCTACCGTCTCCAGCTTCTCCAGACAAACGCCCGGTCGCCTAGTTGGTGTAGTGGCCAAAGATCTAGTCTTCAGGCCACTTTCTCCCGTTGCCGGCGGCAGGAGTTGATCAAATGCCCCAGATCCATCCTTGGTCAGGGAGGCACTTCTTGAGAAGGGAAAATAGGCATTTAGCTGACGTTCCAGTACGTCCTTATTGATGCTCGTCTCCCATATTTGCTTCTGGATAATGCTGCTGTAGCGTGCTTCAAAGCTCTGCTGATGGCGCAGCAGGTCCGTTGCTCCTGATCGTCCGCCTCTGGGACGGTCCCGTTCCCGTTCGCCGGGTGTGGGCGTGGCCGGCTTGAGGGGACTGCCCAGGGAATCCTCGTCGGTGGACATGCCACTAATGGCCGGAAAATTAATGTGCGCCGTGGAAAAACTTTGCTCGTTAGGTTGGCTAACAATTCAGAATAAGAATAAGAACGCCAATCGCCGGGAGAACCTGCCGCGTCCGTTGCAGAAACGCGAATAAGTCACGGCAGGCGGAATGTCTCGTCTATAAGTCCGTTTAGGCCTGTTATGTATGCAATCCAAAACACAACCAACCAGTATTGTTGCGCATTTTCTTTGACTTGGGAAAAGTCAAACGTCAGGCGGGCCAAAGTTTTTGCCTCCAAAAGTAATTGCTCCCCCTTTTGTCTTTTGGCTTGCCTTGAAGTCACAAAGTTTTCCTCCGCTTTTCCGTTGGCTGTGGATTTGGTTATGGATACGGTGGATATGGTTGACGGGTGGCCAGATAGCTGGGCCACCCAACAATACCAATTTCTACAAAGGTCACAATCGTGTGGCTTTTTCGGTGTCGTTTCCCTGTCATGCCAGACGCAATGACTCATTGAGCCTTGCGCTTATCCCCCACCATCTATATCTATGCCGATGTTTCTTCAGAATGCACAGAAAATATATTTTTTTTAAATATAATATATGAATGACCTTTGAATAGTTTCTTACTTTGACTTATTTTTAATGAATTTTGGTTCGAAAGGCTATTTTATTTCTTTCTCTTACATGAAATTTAAAATTCTTTATTATTATTATTAAATGCTGTTTAAATATTTTATATAATTAAGATATTTTTATATTGATCCCTAGCAATATTGTTATAATTTCCTTTATATCTGCAAGTTCTTAAGTATATTGAAATCGAATCTAAATACTAACGCGTCAGTCATAAAATAATACGATGACGACGACAACGACAACTTGCCACGTGTGACAGGTGGATAGATTTTGGGTGTTGCTTGCATGACGCTTGATGGATATCCAAGGAATCTCCTTCGCAACGGCTGACAGTTTTTGTCCCATTATACTGATGGATATGTAATGTCCATAATTAGTTTACGACCGCTAACGATTTGTCTATCGAATATACCAGAAAAATATTTACTAAGAAATAAATCTTACAAAAAACATGCAAATATTTCATAAGGTGTCTAAGAAATTTGAACCTTTAAATTTAACCTTTAAAAAATGTATATTTCCTAAAAGCTCCGCATTTATTAAAAATGATTTTATTCATTTTACTTTATTAAGTAACAGCCTTTTCCCAACTTACATTCTCTTCCATTCTGCGCAAAACTGCCACATTCATTAGGGGAAAAACTTTAACTTTAACTTTATTCCGATGTTAAGCATGCGATATTTTTACAATTACATTGATTACGCTCCTTTCACTTGGGAATCACCTCCCACCACCCTCGCTCCCCTCAGAAAAATCGACTATGAAGTCAGAAGCCAAAATCAAAACAAAAGAAAATGGGCGTGGCACATGCCGCCGACTTTTCGGAGTAATCCAAAAATAAACTTACCAAATTTGATAAAAAAGGAAACAAACAAAAGAAACTTTCAATGGCAACGGAACAAAAACGAAAATCAATAAAAGCCAAGAAAAGATTTTACGATATTCATAAGTAGTTAGTTTTTCAAAGATGAATAAAGAATACCCTTATAATTAGAAATTTATTCAAGGATTGTTTTCTCAACGAAAACTAAGGATTTTTCTATGATTTCAACATCAAATCTTAACTTTGAGCATTTTCTTTGAGGTTAAAAATATATAAAATTTATATATTATGTATATATATTGTAGTAAATAAAACTCTCCTACTTTATTTAATAGTTCTTTAGATTTGTTTTGTCTTTTCTTGTTATTTTTTTTTTTTGGCATATTAATAAAACCGAAACAATTTGGCTCTTGACTAATTTCCCCCTTTTTTATTCGGTGTATTAATGGCTTGGTAATTTTGGTTATTCTAAAACCTAATAAAAGTGCTTCTTGTTTTCCAAGGAAAACGCTAAGTTTTTCTTTTAGGAAGAGCAGGTGCCCTAAAAGTATGATAAGGATGAGATATAGTTTTCCAAATTAACCCCTTTAACCACATGAATGTCAGTGAACCGTGATTATGAGATTGAAGGAAAGGGCAAATTTATTTTTAGATATTACTTTCGTATTTGTTTTTTAAAAATAATGTGGACAGAACCTTAACATATTACAAATTATTTTAAAATTATGAAAAAATAGGATTCATTCTCTTTTATTTTATCTTTTAACTTAACTTAATAGCAGAAAAGATTTTAAAACAAAAAAAGTAAAACCATTTTAACGTAAAATACACTTTTATTTTTTTTCTGATACATTTCTGATGAATTCAATGACAAAACTGAGACAGTCTTCCTACAGCTGGCACAGCTCACTGAAGGTAGTACTCAGGGCATCCTCGCCAGATCCCCCCAGTCCACTACCCGTCGTGCAACCAGCTGCCAGTAAACCCTTCTTGGGCAGACTGGGCATGAAGATGTGCAGCTGTTTCCGGCTATCCGAAGCGGCGGATGTTCCAATGCCCCTTCCACTGAGCGGCGGCGTGCGACTTTCTTCCGCTATTGGAGATGCACTGGCTCCACTGTATAGGCGGGCCGAAGCCAACTGACCTGCCAACCTTCTTGTGGTGCTAGCACTACTGCTCAAAGTGCAAAGGTCAATGTTGCGAGCGGGTCTATTAAGGCGTACGGGCACGCCCTCTTTGTTAAAGATAATGGTTATGGGCTTGGCATTGGAGGAGGACATACATGAGGTGGTGACTTGTTGGGCGGCAGGTGGTGATGGCTTTGCAATGGTCTTCCTGGTCACTGATCTCTGGGGATTGGCAGCAGCCACCGCCACTCTCTTCAGACTCATGCTGCGATGATTGTTTCGCTGTATCCTCTGGGCTGATCTGGCCAACTGGGCACTACTAGTGGCCGGTGGACTTGGCTCTTTATCTTTAACTATATCCGTCCTTCCTGCCAAATCCAGCCAATGCAGCACCCTTTCTGCTAGACGGTCTTCGGGATTGTTAGTCGTTGTGGTTAGCGTACTAGTTGCATCTTGTAGAGAACTTCGCCTTGACTGATGGTCCACATGTAGGTCCATGTTATATGTGCGACCGCGACTCAGCAACCAAGCTCGACGTTTCGATTGGCGACTATTATGCCGGGATCCACCACCCGTGGTCGAGTAGCCGGGACCAGGGCGCCCACCTAAAGTGGGCAGCGATTGTTGCTGCTGCAGCGTCAGCTTGGTGGCGTCCAGCAGAAGGTAATCGTCCAGGTACTCAACACTGTCCTCTAAGGACTGTTCGTAGATCTCGCAGGATTGCGTCTGCTGGTAGTTGCCTGTATAAAAAATATTTTTGTTTAAATTTATATCTTAATTTTATTTTAAAAACCTACGACTTCTTACAGAGTTAAATACTCACCTCTTAGTCTTGTCTTCTGGCGCTTCCACCGCTGCCTCTGTCGCGGCTCGTAGTCGAGTATGAAGTGGCGCCTCCCGATCGCCTCTTGCCACACGGAGCGCACAAACAACGGCCTGCTGGCCGACTCCCAAATGGGTGGCATTTCCTCCAGCTCCTCTTATGGATTCTATGCCTAATTAAATCCTGTGCATATTAATCGGATAAACAAAAGCGTATTCCCTTGACGTCTGTAGTTCGGGTGCTGAGTTGTCCTCTTCCTCGTCGCCGGCGGAGGACTGGCTGCCTTGCTAGTTGTCGCCTCACTGCCGCTTCTGTTTGGCTTGACGACGACGACGGTAGTGTCGCCCGGCATGTCGAATCGATGTATCTGGGTGACCTGCAGACGCCACAGGGCTGCGGGAAAGAAAAATGTCATGTTCTCAAATGGGTCGTTAGAAAAAATTAACTAAAATTCTGAAAATGTTAGGACAAGTTATAGATACATTAAGGTCCCATATACATATTGGTACCTTATAGGAAAATTAAAATCTATAATAAAATTAACATTTATATGGGAAACCGAAAAGAGAGCTATCATTTCATATTCCTCATTCATATTAAGAAGTCCAAGGAAAAGGTTTTTAGAAGGAATGTACAAGTATATGACTTAGATTCTAAATATATATATTATATGGTTTAAAAATCTTCTCTAAGAGCTGTGTTTTTTACAAGGCACTGAATACCCTTAAATTTACTCTGCAAACCAAATCACTGATATACTATCATTCTAATACCTACCATTCCCGCAGCCCTGAATCAGCGATAGTTACTGTTTGTTTGTCTAGCTGCCCGAGTCGCCTTCCTTTTGGCAATGCGGTTTAAGTATCTTCGACACGCGAAATGCAACCGAAGCGACTCAGAGACTTCCGCTACCCTTGTACCCATACCCAGAATATTCCAAAAATCCTATAGCCCCATCTCTTAAGCTTGTAACATACTACGCCACCCACCTTTTGACCCCGGTTGCACGTGCTTTTTGGGAATCATTAACATTTTTATGCCAAAAACTCGAGAGACAGTTTAATGAGTTGTTGGGGCCTTGTCAGACTGGGAATTACTAGGCGACATTCTACTTGTGGCATAAAATTCGCTGTTTAATCATGAAGTGGTTAACCCCAATTAAGTAGATGTTGCCAAATTTGCATACCTTTCCGGTTGCATGTGTTTTTGGGAGCGGGGGTAGGCCGATAAATGGCATGTTGGACTCACATGGGCGATATGTGTGACAGTTGAATGAGGTTCCAGGTCAGGTGGCACTTCCACTTTCGCTGAACTTTTGGCACGAGGCGGCACGGACGAATACGAGAACTTAAAGTTAGACTATTTATCTAGCTAGCTAACTAACCCTAACCCTTATTGAGCATGAATGGCCCTCATTAAAAGTAACCCAAGACCAGGCAGAGGCCAAGCATATATGGTTACGAGCTGTCAGTAAGATAACCACGAATAACTGGCTTCACAAGCAAACAAATTACCCCAACAATACTTCAAACTCCGCCCCACTCACTCACTCACTCAATTGAATGTCTAAACCCATACCTCAACCTCTGATCCGGCCTAGCACTTTGGCAGGAAATGCAATTACAGTGGCCCGGAGTTCTCGAGTTCGCCTGGTGTTGATAATAAATATAAACAGAGTAGAAGCATGCAATAAACAAATTGAATTTGCCCGGCAGAGTGGCTTTCGGGCCAAGTTGCATGTGGCTTAATGCTCTAGACATCGGAGAGTCCATTAAACGCATCGTTTAAAAACGTGGCGTATGCGCAATTTTTCACCAAGCTCAACCCATTTTTGGGTTGCAACTCAATTAGAGTTGATGGAGGTGGCAATCTCTGCCAGCGGCAAGGCAATTACAAAACTTTCTGGTGCCCGGAGAACGCAATTACCAACCGGCGGCCTGATGAAAATTGCCCCAAGAGACCCAAGAGCGTTTAGGTTAATTGTAAGCAAATTTCTTTTTGTTCCAATCAAATTATGAGATCCCTTCCGTTTCTCTTTCCACCCCGCCACCCCGTTTAGTGCCCATTATTCCTGAGTTCCTGTACGACATACGACATCCGGATGCACCGCTCGACAGTTTTCCACGCACCCCGCTAACGTCCAATGTACCACCGCCACCAACGCCGTGTCCTTGCAACAAGGATGGCAGCGAGGCAGCTCCGCTCGAGATCTCCACGATTAGTCCGGAGGGTAAGTGTGCACCTAGCAGTTAATTATGCCACCAGACTGCAGCCCCAAGTTCTTGAAAATCCTCAGAAAACGAAACCTACTACCGGGAACTAGAGGAGCGGCATAATGAGCTGGTGGGCGAGACCGTCGAGGTGGGACTCCTTTTCGCCTCTAAGGCGTTTGTCCAGCTGCTAGTTAACCCGATCGTAGGACCACTCACTCATCGGTAGGTGCTAGGTTTAAGAAGCTAAAACTAGCATATATATTCAAAAACCTTCAAGTTAAATAATAGTTTTTATTTATAAAAGAAATACGATTAATAAAATATTTCTCGTCTGCAGAATTGGGTACAGCATTCCCATGTTTGCCGGCTTCGTGATAATGTTTCTGTCGACCATCAGTAAGTTAAACTAAGCAATTTTCCCTGAAAAATTGCAATAAACACACCATTTTTCTTCAGTTTTTGCCTTTGGAAGATCTTACCTGGTTCTCTTCGTGGCCAGAGCTCTGCAGGGCATTGGCTCATCTTGCTCCTCGGTTTCAGGAATGGGCATGCTGGCGGATCGCTTTACGGACGACAAAGAGCGTGGAAACGCCATGGGTATAGCATTGGGTGGTCTGGCCTTGGGTGTGCTAATTGGTCCTCCGTTTGGTGGGGTGATGTACGAGTTCGTAGGCAAGTCGGCACCATTCCTGATCCTGGCTGCTCTGGCCCTGGGCGATGGCCTGCTACAGTTGTTCATGCTGCAACCATCGATCCAAAAGGCCGAAACTGAACCTCCCTCCCTGAAGAGCTTGATCAGCGATCCTTACATCCTGATTGCTGCTGGCGCTATTACCTTCGCCAATATGGGAATCGCTATGCTGGAACCTTCGCTGCCTTTGTGGATGGTGGATAATATGGGCGCTACACGTTGGGAACAGGGCGTGGCTTTCCTCCCCGCCTCTATTAGCTACCTGATTGGCACCAATCTCTTCGGACCACTGGGACACAAAATTGGACGATGGTTTGCCGCCTGCTTGGGCTTGATCATCATCGGAGGATGCTTAATTTTCGTAAGTGGATAATTATTTATTTTAATATAAAATGATTAATCAGTTAATTAACAACCGGGATAAAACCCCTATTTCCAGATTCCCATGGCCACCTCAATCACCCACCTGATTATTCCTAATGCTGGTCTAGGCTTCGCGATTGGAATGGTAGACTCCTCGATGATGCCAGAGCTGGGCTATCTGGTTGACATCCGACACTCGGCTGTGTACGGCAGTGTTTATGCCCTTGGCGATGTGGCCTTCTGCGTGGGCTTTGCCGTAGGTCCCGCATTGTCCGGATCGTTGGTCAAGAGCATTGGCTTCGAGTGGATGTTGTTCGGAATCGCTATCCTATGCTTCATGTACGCCCCGCTGCTGACTCTGCTCAAGAATCCACCGACAAGTGATGAAAAGAAGGTACGTATGGCCAGGGAGGCGGCCGAAGCTGCCGCTGCCGCAGCTGCTGCTGCTTCAGGGGAAGCCACTGGAATCCCTCAGCTGACTGCATCCTGCCCAGCCATCCTGCATGGTACAACCATTCCCGATTCAGATGCCGAGGCGGGCAGGACGAATCAGGCCTTCGAGAGCGAGAGGCTATGAGTCTCTATAAAATTGCTTAGCTTTAGTAGGCGTTTAGTTGTTAGTTTTTTTCGTATTATTAGTAATTCTAACTGTTTTTAGCCTTAAGTTCTGCTTAATTTGTTTGTAATAAAATTTTTAGTTTTTTTTAAAGCGCCGCCCGAGTTTGATTTTTGCATGATTTTATATCCACCTAAGGTAATCCTTAGAATAACCAATATTTTTCCAATTTTCCATTTCAGTCTTTGATCTATGGACGCGATCGGGCTCAGGTACGTTATGTCACCTATCAGAACTACGATGAAGACGAATAAGCTAACGATTTAACTACAACGCAATGTTGCCAAAAGTGCAACCAAAAATCCAAAAAAAAAGAAAGGGTAATAAAATCTAAAAAAAATGAAGGCCAGAGAGGCAAAAAGTAACCGTAACCACAACCAACAATATCACTAATATCATATGAATTTCCAACAGAAATCGTTATTCTTGTTCAATATTTTACACAAGTTGCACTATAGTATTTATATATATATATTTATAGATATATATATATGCCATTGATCATATCAAGAAATCACCTCCCCCTAAAGTTTTTGCACACGTTAAAACCAAGCACACAAAATTGTGAAGAAAATTCTATAGAAAAAACCGAAAGTTGAGTGAAAAAAGAGCTCTATGAAGAGCTAAATGTTCGAAGTGACGGGTAAGTGATTAGTTGGTGTAGGAAAGATAAGGCAAGTGAGGATCCTTAGAAGCCTACTAGATATTGGAGGCAATTTAGTAGCCAAAGGTTTGAAAACTATGTATCCGTTTTTTTTGGAAGTGCAATGATCACTTCGAGGAACAGCAGATGTGACTGTACGAAGACCTTAATGAGCTTGTCAGAGTCTTTCCCCGAAAGATTCTACTCCCAGCAAGGAAGGTTTAATCGCTGATCCAATAAGCAGACGCCCGCAATTGCGTTGATTTAATGGGGAATTTCCCTGGAGCGAATATCATATAGAAAATGCCATAATTTACTTTTTAATTTGGAATACAATTTTCGGATTTTGTTGGGTTAAGAAAACATATAACTCAAATAGCAGCGAAAATACCACAACTTTCGAGTGAAGAGGCATTAAGGGAGTGAATGGGTGACTTCTGGATCAGATAAAATCTGTTTTCTTGAAAATAATCTAACCCAAAAATCACCCATACAATTCCCCATCTTCCCCTCATTACAGGCGCATTAAGCGCAGTTTATCTGAATACACGTTGATGTTGACCTGACAGGCATCCTGACTTTCTTGACTGCTGTTCCTTTCCCTTGACATTGGTGAAGATCCCCTCAGCCTCACGCGATTAAGGCTGAAATCTAGATCCCTATCTGCCGCTCGTGAAGTGGTGATCCTTATGGGCATATTATTCAGACATGTGACGAAGGGCTGGGTGTCATTTAGCCGTTTGGGCTCACTCACCCGACCATCAGATGAACGACTCATGCTGCAGCTGCTCTGTCTTCCATTAGTCACCACTGTGACATGAACATTGCCATTCGATGATCCCGAACTACTCCGATCCAGATTTCGCGGTGTGGTAAGAGTTGCACTACGCTGGTGATTACAAATGGGCGAAGAACTTCGGCTAGATGATCTGTTGGAACATCTTATTGGTGTAGATGACCGGGAAGTGGGAATCAGAAGGGGTATAGGCAAAGCTGAACTACTATTCCGGGTAAGGACTGGTAGCGGAGTGAGTGAACGGGTAGCAGATCTAGCGGCTCTTGCTTCTTGATTATACGGTGCTCTTCGTCTTTCTTTTCGCCTGGGAAGATTCCTCGTTGTGGTGTGTGTGTGCTGAGCCCGTCGTGAAGTTAAATCACAAAAAGCCATTCCGGGCAATCGATCATCAGAGGTCGCAGTGTACAGATGCGAGGTCATTGAAACTGGAGGTCGGTGATTTTCGGACTCCCGAAGCAGTTCTTCCATCCGTTGGCGACGCGACTGTTCCTGGAAAGCACACAATCGACCTAACTCCCTTTGTCGTTGGGTTTCCCGCTCCAGTTCTCGCAAATGCTGCCTTTCGCGCTCTACTTCCAATTCCAAAAGACGTTCCTCATCCCGCATTCGCTCTAACTGGCGAAGCTCCTCGCGGTCTCGCTCCCGTTGGCGGGCTTGTTCCCGCTGCTCTTGAAGCTCTTTTTCCCGCTCTAGCCGACGCTCCTGCAGAAGTTGACGATCGCGTTCCCGTTCTCGTTGACGCTTCTCTGACATAGCTTTCTCCCTCTGCCGGAGCTCCCATTCCGGACTCGTTCTTGGTTTCGTTTCGCTTACATTAAACTTGGACAATCTTTTGTCGATGCTAATTGTATCTAAAGATCTGGGAGTAGTTGACACCTTCTGCGACTTGGTCATCACCTTATCAGTATTGTTTAGCAGATAGGTATCTGCTCCGATCTTGATGCTAGCATTGTCCACCTCAGATTGTGTATCCAAACTGCAGATGTTTATATTTATCTCGCAGCCACTTCTCTTTGTTAGGAGCTGGGTGTTGGAATCACTGGAGAAAGTAGTGGTTGAGGCTGGACCGACAGCTCCACCAGTGGATCGCTGGGCATTATAGCTACTGTTTCTCAAGGTAATGGTGCTCGGACTCGTTCTTATCGGCTGATATTTTCCGCTTTGACAGCAACTCCTCAGGAGCAGAGAATCTGTGACATTATGCGATCGTCTTGTTTGCGGAGCCACCGGCACACTAAGTCTCTCCGGCGGAGCCAACAAGTGTTGAGATATCGTAGCCTTTGATTCTTGCGGAAATCGCCGACTCTGGTGTTCAAAAGAGGTAGTGGGAAGACGGCTATTTGTATGAAAATATTCGGGATCCTGACTGAATCTGGGGTTTTGGTAGAACGTCTCAAAGGAGGGATTTCTCACAAGTGGTGGTGGAGTCAGCGGAGGCCTTTGATAGTTCTGAGTCGGGTAAAATGGCTTGTCGGCATAGCGAAAGTTGTACGACTGAATTTTGAATGGGTCTCCATGGAACACATCACTCGACCAGTGACGCGATGGATCTATCACAAAAGAAGGCCCTGGGAATTAGTTTTGACAGCGTTTAGACCGGAAACAGCAACTCACTCAAAATACGATTCATTTGGGTCAGATAATTTTGGGCTTTCCAAAAACGTAAGGCCAAATAGATTGTCACTTCGAAGATAACTTGCCAATCATGGATATTGAATTTTTTTGGAAAATATATTTCAACGAGTCCAAATGGTGAAAAATTCCCCAGTTTTAGAACCGAAAACCCAGGCAACTTTGGTTCTCGGTTCTGTCTATATCTGATTCGCTCCTGAAACCCATTAAAACTTCTTGGCAATACGGCATAGCAATTGGTCGGCATTAATGGGAATAACTCCAGAAATGGAGACCCACCTTTCTTAAGTAAATCAATTTCATATTTCAAGTTGTTAATGTTAAAACAAAGTAACTATATATGTAGCACACACACAAGTTATCTGACCAAATAAGGGAGTAATGGATAAGCTTTTGGTACAAAATGGTACGCGGAATATAGATACCATTCCATAGGAACTACTAATAGAGGGTTTATACGCGTTCAAAATTCTGAAAAAAAGTAATTGATTTAGTTCTTTATTTTGCATTATCAAGTGGGGAATGAAATCGCTAAATTGAGATTTCAACTTTCAATATATCTGCAAAAAGTGCTCATAATTTTAACTCTTCCCACCCAAAGAATGAGGCCTTTCCTCATAAGTATTACCGACTTCGTTCCCTCACTTCACCAGATCACCTTGGATCGTAAGGATATTGCCGCAAGGCACTTGAATGGCTGCAAGTGTTTTTAAGCGTTGTGATCACATATACTTGTATCATGTAAAATCCTTTTTAAAATCTAAATTCCCTATTGGGTCGTAAAAATCATTTTTTTGTACGCGTACTCCCAAAAAATATTCCTAATCAAAGTTAATTTAAAGAATATAAATCTGTAATGGTCGATAAGGGCACAAGAAGGCCAACAAAATGTAGTTAATCGCAGGTATACAATGAGGTTATATTGACAAACTGTATATACGAATAGCTGAAATACTTGCTGATTATCATCGTTGTTCCATTGTTGTAAAAATTGAACTAATCAAATAATAATCAATACTCTAGATGTACGAGGTGTGTTCAAAAAGTAAGGTGACTTTTCAAATTTTGCGGGCAACATATTTTCGATTATCGTTTTTTTTGTTTTGTTATATTGGTACACTCTTCCCTAACATCTGTACCAAGTTTCAATGGAACATCCTCTTTTGTTTGGTTGTGAGAGGCGTAAAGTTACAAGTTGTTTTGCGAGCTCGGCGATTTTTTGCTTTTTTCGGTCTTGGCTCGTCTGGGCTCTTCCATTGGGACGATTGAGCTTTGGTTTCGATATCATAACCATATACCCATGATTCGTCACCAGTTATGACCCTTTTGAGTAAATCTGGGTCGTCGTTGACGTCATTCAACAGCTCTTGAGCGATGCTCATGCGACGGTTCTTTTGCTCAAAATTCAGCAATTTCGGAACAAACTTCGCTGACACACGACTCATACCCAAAACGTTTGAAAAAATTTCATGGCACGAGCCAAGCGATATACCGACATCTTCAGCAACTTCTCTGATAGTGATTCGACGATTTTCCAAAAATTTTCGTCACTGCTTGAACGTTTTCATCAGTTGTTGACGTGCTTGGGCGTCCAGAGCGAGGCTGGTCATTGGCATCTTCCCGGCCATCTTGGAAGAGTTTGTACCACTTGTACACATTTTTTTTACTCAGAACAGTTTCACCGTATGCCACTGTCAACATTTCAAGTGTTTCAGAGCACTTAATTTTATTTTTTACACAAAATTTGATGCAAATCCTTTGATCCATATTTTTCGATAGCAAAAAATCGCCGAGCTCGCAAAACAACTTGTAACTTTACGCCTCTCACAACCAAACAAAAGAGGATGTTCCATTGAAACTTGGTACAGATGTTAGGGAAGAGTGTACCAATATAACAAAACAAAAAAAACGATAATCGAAAATATGTTGCCCGCGAAATTTGAAAAGTCACCTTACTTTTTGAACACACCTCGTATTCATTCACCAAACGAGTAATTCTACGTTGTGTTCGTTATGACTTTTCACGCTTTGAAGAATTGCCGAATTCAATCATGCAACACGCGTTTTATATTTAACTAAGGGAATCTTCAAAAAATTTCATAATACAAAGGCATTGTACAGGGTATGTAACTCGAAAAGTACATACATCTGATAATTAGCGAAAAAGGTTTTGTTCGGTTTTCATAAAGTTGTTGTGTAAGTTTATGCTTCAGCCCCCTCTAAACGGGGGCCCAGCATTCAATATAAACGTGTGAATTAGACAATATAGCTTCTAACTGAATAGTTCAGCATACTCAATAAAATATATGTATTATTCGTAATCGAGTCGTTATTGTTGCCTAACTATGTTCAAATGTTGCATAAGTGTTATGAAATTAACAATCCAAAAAGCTGGTATGGGGTCAAACAAACAACAGTGCTAAAGCAACTAACCAAAGCGTTTTGTGCACAGTATTCAAATATTCAAAATTATTATTAAATCTACAAATATACATAACGTTTACTGTATCTATTTGCTAATTAAGATAACCGCACACACATATTCTCTCTCAAAAGTTCTTATTTAAATGGCCGCAGTAAAAGGAAAACTTATTGTTTAGCGCGAGCATATTAGTCAAAATAACACAGCGTATTTAATATGAATAGCAGGGCGTATAAATATATATATAAGCATAACACGAGCTACTAACTAACTATAGGTAACAAAGTCCTTTAACGATTATCACATTTTTACTCTAACCTTGATACTAACTATGTGTACTCATGTCATGCCATGCCATGTTTATAGGGTGAGAACCGGGAGAAACCAGAACACAAACATACCTACATACTATTTATAAAGATGACCAAGTAGAATATATAACTATACTAAATAATATTATATACTAAAACTAAAATACCAACTATATATATACACTCAACTAAAAATGTATAACCTATACACTAATCAGTCATTTGACATATGTTTATTTCATAGAGATATTGCTAAATAAGCTGATACCCGATATCGGAAAAACAAACGAAATTGCGTTGAGTTTAATATACTCGCCCAACATATAAATTTGAAACAATGCAAATGCAAAATACAAATATGTAACTGAAGTTGTTGGTGAATAAACAAGCTACAAAACAACACTGGTCTTTTAATTAGGGTTTAAAGGTCATTAAACTTTATTGAGTCTATATATTATTTACATCCAATTCAAGGAATAGTTTATACACAATCAATTGATATTACTTCGCGCTCTTTAAAGACGCTTCAAATAAAAACCACTTATATCTGAAATTTGCTATGTATGGTATATACATTTTGTGTTTAAATTATATTAAAATGGTACACTTTACTTTAAGGTCAACTTTTAGAAAGCCAAAAATAGAATAGTGTATAGGGATTAGTCAAGATCGCTTTAAACTTAAAAATTATTTCTTGTGTGACTATAACGTTGCCTTGGATTCATCTAAATGGGAATTGTCATGCTTTTCCTTGGCAAAAGTGATGATCTGGTTAAGGCTTTCTCCCAATTCCTCCATCACTTCGCGCTCCGTGTCCTCGACGGGCATATTTTGTTTCTCATGCATAACGATCCGCGATATCATGCACATAATGGTCGCCTCAATTACATCGTCCGTAAAATACATATTCGCGCGATTTTCATGCGAGTCCTTGTCGTTCGCCTTGTCCTTTTTTTGACCTTTTGTTCCCACCAAACCATCCAATGAATCCATATCCACATCCGGACGATCTTCCATGTTTCGACAACCTGCAAGTAGGTTTTAATCAGTTTGGTGAACTCCATTAACATAATTATTTTCTACTCACCCACGCATTTACATATACTAGTACAGGGAATTTTTGCCTCGTAACATTCACAATAGTTTTTGAGACAACCCGATCTTTTGCAGTTGCAACCTTTGTTATGAAGCCGCATGTCACCTGAATTAGGCGCAGTAATTTTGGGCCTGTTCGGATAACGTAGTATGGTTAAATATATAATAACAACAATTTTCATTAAGCTTACTTGAAGGCGCTTGGATTGCGATCGAGGCAACTACGAATGGCACGCTCACGCTCCACCTCGTAGTCCAGATTGTTAAAGCAATCTTTGCAGGTGCAATCCTGGCAAAACTCTCCATTGGCAAAACAATCGCAATAGAGCTTCAAACACTGCGACTTGCTACAATTGCAATGTTTCCGTCGTGAAGTCATACCGCCCAGCGCATCGACCGCAGCCCCTGTCGATGGGGGTTTCAGTATGTCAAAGAGCGGTTTGGCTGGAACGCTGGGCTTTTGGATTGGAGGCTGTGTTGGCAGCTTTGGATCCACCTTAATCGGCGCTGATTGTTGAGTCAGCTGCTGCTGCTGCCTGATCCTTTGTTTGGCCTGCGCCTGAAGTTGCAGGTGTTTTGTTTGCTGCTGGGGATTCATCTGCTTGAAGCGATGCTGCTGCGATGAAACTGCGAGCGTACGCCGCAGCTTGTTATCTACATAGCCAGTATATCCTCGTCTCATGGCACTGGTCGATGATTGGGGCACTCCAGAGTTACAAATCATGTACTTAACGCCATTAGCCCCCGTCGATTTTACAAAGTTGTAAATTTTTTTTGGGGCATTGGGACTAGTGTTGCTAGTCACTACACGCTGCACGTTCGATGGCCGACCACTGAGCTTTTGTGCTGACTGCGAAGCCTGTTGCGCTCCTTGCATGGTGATTACGTATCGCGGCTTCTTAGCCTCTGGACCCGCATCGCTACTATCGCTCGCATCGCTGCTGGCCGAAGCCAGGTGCTTTAACTGCATGTTGAGATCAGTAAGCCGATGCTTGCGAGGCGACTCTTGCATGACACTAGGACTGCCGCTGGTGCTGCTGTTAGCGGCACTGACTGGCTTAGAGGCGTTGGTGCTGGCGCCCAGCGCACGCTAAAAAGGTTAATAGATTTATGAGCGTCTTTTTAATATATATAGACCAAAATACTCACCTTGTGGACCAACGTCTGCACCGAAGGCAGCGGCACAATGCTGCCACCCATTGTTCTCATGACAATCTTGTTGGTGCTGCCTATGGAAAGATTTGTTTTTGGCGCTGCTGTCGATGGAGCTACTGCAGCTGATATTGGAGTAGATGTGGCAGGTGTACAACTAGCAGCAGCCACGGCAGCTGGAGACCGCACCACAGTGATCTTCTGGGCTTGCATAGTCTTTGGCGTGGTGCCAGTTGTACTCGTACCGGATCCACTCTTATTGTTTGTTAAAACGCGTACATATTGCACTCCTCCTTTGCCAGGAAGCTGAATTGCGTGCAACCCGCTCGTGGAAGATGTCTGCACGCCAGCCGTGTTGGTGATGGTGCTGGTGGCCCCCGCGGTTGGTGACAACTTGATGATATTTTTGCTGGACACAAGGATCTGTTTACTACCGCTCTGAACTAACATCTTACCAGGTGTTGTGGTTGTCCTGGAAGTGGAGCCCGTCGATATTGAAGATTGTTTTCCAGGATCTTCTGTCTTGACTGATTGTCCAACGGGTTTGTTGAGTAGTACAGTTCCAGTGGAAGGCGATAATTTGACAGTAGTGGTGGCAGAAGTTCCTGGGGTGACTGCTGATCCAGTTCCTGGTGGTTTGGCATTCAGTAGCACCGACGGTACAGCCTGATTGATCTTGATGATCTTGCCATCGGTAGTACGTACCACTTGAATTTTGGTAGGCTGTGCCAAGGATGTGGTGGATGATGTGCTGGGAGACACCGACTTTGCACTGACTCCGGCCAGCGGTTGGATGCCCTTGATGGTGATGGCCGTGGTGGAGGCGGGGGTGACTGTTTTGCCCGGCACAGCCGCTTTAACCAGACCTGTGCTCGCTAACGTAACCCCCTTTGAGAGGACCGCCTTATGGATGCCCGTAGGAGCAACGAGTCGACGCATTCCCCCGCTTGGTGACCCAGTCACCATTGTACTGCTCTGTGTCGCAGGTACAGACTTCTGGACGAAGATTACCTGGCCATCTTTCGTCTTGAACTGGGTCAAGCTGCTTAGTGTCTTGGTAACTGTGCCCGGTGCGGAAGCTGTGGCGATAGTGGTATTGCCGATCTTAACGGTATTGCTGGGTATCGGTTTCAGTTTGTTAAGGATTTTGACGTCCGTAATTTGTGGCTTGTTCGGCGATGGTCCTCCAGCAGTGACCACTTTAATAGCGTGTGACTTCAAAACGGTTACTCCTGACGGGGGCAACCGCTTGTCATCCAGTATGTGCACAACATTTTTTTTGAACTGAGGTGTGTTCAGGGAATCGTTGGCAGGTTCGGACAGAACATCCCCCTCGACATGGTCCTCATCCGAGTCCAATGTATCGATTTCCATGTGTTGAGAGCTCTTCTCCGACGCTGTCTCCAAAAGGTCTTCAAAACTCAACTCGGGCAATGGTTCCGTTTCGTCTAGGGAATCTGCAGAAAAACAAAGGCATTATATACACTGTGAAATCAAACTTATGATAAATAAATATACCCGACAAGTTGTCTACGCGGTAAGTACTCATTTTTGTCAATTTTCAAATAAATTTCAAAATGTTCTTTATCATCAGCTGCGCTCAAGGCGGTTGGAAAAGTGTTGTACAATTTCTTAATAAAATTTCCGTTTTTTTTATCGACTATCAATATCAATAATCGTTTTTAAATGGTATCACAATTATTATTAGTAATGTATTCTTAGGATATGGGCACACTTTGCAAAGCTTTGAAAAATATTTTCAATCCAAAGGCATTCTATTTCCGTACCTATATAGTAAACCATCTATGTATGTACAACTAGGAAATTGTAACTATTTTCTTTATAAATGATCTTAGAAATCCAGAATGTGGCTTAACTTAGGCATATAAACATATTTTCTATCAAAATAACCAATTGTAAACGAACTATTAATAATAATAGTTACACTATTAATAATAATAGTTACACTATTAATTAATATTAATAATAATAGTTACACTATTAATTAATATTAATAATAATAGTTACACTATTAATAATAATAGTTACACTATTAATAATAATAGTTACACTATTAATAATAATAGTTACACTATTAATAATAATAGTTACACTATTAATAATAATAGTTACACTATTAATAATAATAGTTACACTATTAATAGTAATAGTTACACTATTAATAATAGTTACACTATTAATAATAGTTACACTATTAATAATAGTTACACTATTAATAATAGTTACACTATTAATAATAGTTACACTATTAATAATAATAGTTACACTATTAATAATAATAGTTACGCTATTAATAATAATAGTTACACTATTAATAATAATAGTTACAAGCGGTTTTCCGTTAGTAAAAGAGAGTAAAATATTAAGAGGATTATTCCATGGGTATGGCAAAAATGTTTGTGCATGGAAATCAACACTATAAACAAAGATTTAAAACTCCCGCCCCTAATAATCTTCTCTTATCATTTTCTCCTTAGGGTCTTTGTTTTTATTTTACTCGACTGTGATTGGAGCGCCAACAACTTATGTATACAGTATGCATAAAAATCGCTTAATAATATGATTTCAGTTAATGACTGACGGCGTTACGGCACCCTACTTCTTGGCCTCTAACTTCTTTTCGCGAGCTTTTTTGCCCTCAGTCAGCTCAGATCGCTGCGATTCAGTCAAGGCGGGCATTGTGTTGGTGACGACGCCGGTTCCAAGCGTCAGGTTTCCGTCGCGGAGCGTAAAGCGCTGTCCCTGCTCCAGGACCATGGGCCGGATTAGGCGCAGGATTAACTTAGTGTCCTCGCCGGGCATGACCATCTCCTTGTCGGGAATCTGCACCTGTACGGCGCAATCCCAAGTGCGTGAAAACATCTGAAGTTGAATGAAGGACATGAAGGGCTTGGTACGGCCACCCTCCTCCTTAGATAGAATGTACACCTGGGCCTCCAGCTGATCGAGAGCCTTTACACTGCCTGGCTTGCACATGACCATGCCGCGCTTGATGTCATCACGCTTAACGCCACGCACCAGGGCTCCAAGCTGGTCACCAGCCTGTGCCTCCTCCAGGATTTGGTGGAACATCTCCACCCCTGTTACCGTTGACTTCAACACCTTGTTGTATCCCACGAACTCACACTCCATGCCCTTCTTAACCACTCCACGCTCCAGACGGCCAGTGACGACGGTTCCGCGACCGGGAATGGAGTAAACGTTCTCAACGGGCAGAAGGAATGGTTTATCCAGCTCGCGCACTGGTGTGGGAATAAAGCTATCAACTTCCTCCAGAAGCTTGAGGATAGCCTCCTTGCCAATCTCGGGACTTTTGTCCTCCAGAGCGCACAGCGCCGAGCCCTTCACAACGGGAATCTTGTCGCCATCATAGCCCATCTCGGTAAGCAGCTCCCTGATCTCCATTTCAACCAGATCGACCATCTCTTGATCGGCGGCGTCTACTTTGTTGATGAACACCACAATGTGATCGATGCCAATCTGCTTTGCAAGCAACATGTGCTCCCGAGTTTGGGGCATAGCACCATCGGTAGCGGCCACCACGAGAATAGCACCGTCCATCTGAGCAGTACCGGTGATCATGTTCTTAATGTAATCCGCATGTCCAGGACAATCCGTATGGCCGTAGTGCCGCGTCTCCGTTTGGTATTCTACATGAGCCACATTGATGGTGATGCCACGGGCCTTCTCCTCGGGAGCATTATCGATCTCGTTGTACTTCTTGCTCTCAGCCAGCTGTTTGTCGGCCAGGACCTTAGTGATGGCCGCCGTCAGTGTAGTCTTGCCGTGATCTACATGGCCGATGGTCCCTACATTGCAATGAGGTTTGGTCCGTTCGAAAACCTTCTTCTCATTGGCGTACTGTCTGAGATACTGCAGGTTGCCGAACCTTGGGGCAGAGAGAAGTCCATTTCGCTGCCAATCCTTGCAGGCAGTGGAAGAGGCAGTGGCACTCGCCAGACGCAGCATTCTTGTCGAGCTCATAGCCCGCCGGCTACTACGCACAGCCAAAGACATGGATGCGGTGGACCGGCAGACGGCAGCGGCAAATGCATGTGACATGATTGTGGGCTTCCTCTTCGCGCTTTCAACTGGTGATTTCGGTTAGGATTAGCACTATTAAGGGAGTAACTCTTGCTACACTTACGGGTGTAGATTTAGCTGTCCTGGCAGGGGGCAAAAGGCCTTTTGCAGCTCAAGGAAAATCTTTGGGGTCGAAATTGCGTAAACCTAAAAATGTGCTGTGTGCCAGGGATGCCACCTGGTAGTAGTTTTTCGATAGGCAGGTAACATATCGATAATAAAACTTTTTTTTACGAAAGTAGTTCAAACTGTTAATGTATGTTTTATGTATTAAAATTATACATTTAATTCTAGCGATTTTAAACTAAATTTAAAATGAAGATAATTTTTTGAAACTGTCATTTTTGCATAATAACTTTTAAATAGGTGGCAGCCCCTGTTGACGTTATTATTTTGTGTCTTTTTTGCCACCCTTTAAACATCTACTACGACAATAAACAGTAACTAATAAGTGTCATAGATCGTTTCCATAGTTCCCTGATTTAATTAAAAGCCTGTCAGAGCTGAAATTGTGATTATTAATAGTCTTTAAATGCAAACCACAATTACCCCCCAAGACTGTACCCCACAAAAACACCAACACAAGCAATCACACGTCTATATGTGTAGCAAGACATCTGGCAGCCCTACTGCATGGGATGTTCCCAGATCTTTAAAAGCACTTTTCGTTTCGTTAGCAGAGTGCAAAAACTTACGAAAATATAAACTTTGAGCCACTGCCAAAAATATTCAATTTGAAAATCAAAAAGTACATATAAATTCCCTTTGCGGAAGCAGAGTAGGAAGAAAAATTAACGAAAGAGGGGTCGCAAGTAAGAGGGAACAATTTGCGCGCCAGCGAACGGCCAACTGTCATACACGCTGTACACGCTGTACCAGAAGTTGAAAATTCAATTTGAAATACGAAATATGTAGGTCCTTACCCAAATTTCCGCCACTGGTATCCATTTTTGATCCTTATTGGGTTTTCTGAGCCGTAAGGAGATTAAATGTTGATATTTGTCCGTGTTTTGATTACAGTACTTGGTGACTGCGGGCAAAACAAAAAGATATTCTGCGCTCGGAAATGTGAATGCGTTGAACTCAAAGGGCGTCGCGGGCGAATGAAACGGTCGAGAAGCTGTTAGTCACTGCGGTGAGATGCGCGTCGCGATTTCACTGCTATTTGCACTTTCATTTGACGGCCTTATCGGCGTATATTTACAACCGAATGCAACAGAAAATTCAAAATTCAATTTAAATTGTCCATTTGACGGTCTTACATTACATTTATGAATCACAGCGGGACCGTAGCGTAACCGTTGAATTATACCGTCGTGCACACTCAAAACTACTACATTTTCTTCATGTAATACTGAAAAGTACCTAAAATATACCAAAACAAAGCAAAAATCCTTGTGGTATATGTCTTGTATATAGACTTAGCAAAGAATCAACCCTTTTTGTTTTTTGAATTTATTTTGAAAAATATTTATTTTTTCTTGTGACTGTGTGTACGTACTATACATATGTATTCAATATAATTTAATAGAATTAAGATATGATCAAATTTTCACACAAAAATAAACGTAGAATATTGTAAACGCCAAATGTACATTTTAACTTAAACGATTAACACTTAAATGGCATTTTGCACTAAAACAATAATATAAAGATAAAAATATAAACAATTCGACATCCCATTCAAGTTTGTACTACATAAACTCCGATGATGGACGCAGATTTACCCGCCGATTGCGTAGCGTGTATGTCCGAGGAGTTTGTCCACTGGCCTGACTAGTTTCAGGGTCCTGCTCCATAGACCGGCGTTCCGTGGATGCCTCCAGCGACATATCTTCCTCGCAGTCCTCCAGCTTGTCGGCGCCCACTATCTCGTCGTTGCTGATGTTACCCTCCTCGTAGGTGAACTCGAAACGTCGAACACTTTTCTTAGCGCTGAAGAGGACGCCGCGGTTCTGACGTTTTGTGGTACCGGGTGTTTTTAGAATGGAGGTACGCGGCTTCGGTGGCGGCGTTTTTGCTATATTCTGCTCTGCGGCCGCAAGAATGGCTGATTTCAGAAGCGCGTTTGGCGCTATAGACTGCCTTCCTTCGCCAGTGGACATACGGAGTACAGTGCGAGCAGGCGAAAAGGACCTGCGATTACGAACCACGATTACCCGTGGCGAACTGAGGCGCGACGACGTAGAGGCAATCCCACCGTCTGTAGACGGCTCCTCCACCTTATTCTTCTTCATATTAGCATGGGCTTTGCGAAGGAACTGCTGTAGATTGCTACTGGGCTTGGCCTTTGACTTAATTTTCATATTACGACTTATCTTTGGCTTTTGCTGTTTGGGTTCCTCAGTCACAGCATCCGGATCGAGCCAATCGTTAGCCTTCCAACGTTTCAGGTTTTCAAAGCGTTTGTCCACATTTTCGCTCTGCAGTCGCAACATGTCCCACCAACCCTCCAGATCCTCAGCCTGCACCGGTTTCGTGTCTTCGCTTCCGTCGTTTGGCTGACTATTCTTGCCAGTGGCACCGGCCTCACAGCGATCAATAAGACTGCTAAACTGCATCATCTTCTTGGTAGTTAACAGACGTGTTTGTCCGATGGTCACGTTGATCATGTCAATACCCCCAGTTTCCAGCAATCTTGCTTCGTTCTCCTTGCTGTGCGCCTCCCATTCATTACAAAGACCTTGGAGCCGCGCAATCTCATTCTCCAGCTGCAGTCGGAAATACAAAACAGATTCGATGGCACGTCTTACTTCCAAAGGCGATTCCTCGCCAGGAAGGTAGAAACTATTCCGTTTCTCTTTTTCACATCGCGAATTCACCTTTCCACGAGAGACGCTAACATACGGACTGAGGTAGTTGGGCATTCCACTCGATTCGCGGCGCGGCGGAGTCTTCTGCTCATCTGGCACTAAAGTGGATTCTCCTTTGGAGTTCTCAACTGAAAGAAAATGTGAAATTGCAGAAGAAGATGTAATATACCAGTACTTACGCTGCTGCGGATCCAAGATCAGAGAGCCCTCCGCGGGCGATTTCGCCACAGAGTAACGCGTGAAATCGAACTTTTTCTTTGCTGCCGAAACTGGAGCAGCAGTATTTCCCGCCGGAAGCAACTGCCTCTTGACCGTAGTATCTTCACTTTTGGCCGGTGCCACTGGACTCAGTAAGTTGCCTCCGCCAAAGGCATCCAAAAGACTACCAGTGACGTTGTTGGTTCTGCACACGGTGGATGTAGACTCCATTAAGGGGTTAAGAACATCTTCTAGCGGCGTGTTAGGCGGTAACTCTTCTGTGGCTGCCTGCAGCAACTCGGCCTTGAGCTGAGGAATCTTTCGCACGTTTTCCTGAAGCTTCGTATATTGACTCTTCTGATTTGTGGCCTTCATACGTATGGAGTTAGCGGCAGTTTTGCTTGTCATTCCAACTGAGTCCTTGAATTTTCCTACAGCTCCTCTGGCACGAATAGGTTGCGGTTTTGTTACGTCCACACGTCCTCCAACCCCGAAGGATAACCCTCTGTTACCCGAGGGTGTCTCTACCGGCTTTGACAGTCCATTTTTCAGTCTTGCTGTCCTTGGCGCGGTAGACACAGGAATTCTGACTGTTTGTTTTTGTTGCCGCGTTATAGCCGTTTTTTCTTTGCTAAGCGCTGCTGGCGTGGATCTGGGGATGCTAGCAACCTTCTTGGCATCAATTGTTGGTTGCCTTGACCTCAGATTGGTAGTTCGGGTTGTGGCATTGCAAGGAGCGGTGGTAAGGGGTCTCGCAGCTGCTTTCTGCCTGGCCAATGCAACCGGGTTTGTGGTCTGACGTGCTGCCGGCACTGGGTTTGATGCAGGAGTAACTGCTTTATGCCTGACCAAAGCAGTAGTTAAAGATTTGGCTGAATGGGCTACCTTCACGGGTTTTGACGATGTTTTGCTCAAAGAAGTAGCTACGGACGTTGCTTTGGCAGCAAGTGAAGCTGTAGACATTGGTTGGTTTACTGCAGGAGCTGGAGTTGATATCATCTTAGCTTCCAATGCTGTGCCTTTGGTTTTGCCAATGGGGTTCGCAATCACGTAGAGAGAAAGTCTCTTACCAGGCTGGAAAACGGAAGCAGACTCCTTTTCCTTAGTAGTTGGCAGGTTATCAGGAGCCCGAAAGGTTTGAGATTTAGGAAATGCATTTGATTGTTTTGCAAGAGGGACATTAATGGCTGTCCCACGACGCGTCTGTTCTTGCTGCTTGTGCTCTTTGTTCTTGTTTGCCTTCCACTCCATGTAGCGCTGCAAATATAGTTTCTGGCGGGTGGCTTTTGGGTTGGATTGCCCTGAGTGCTCGACGGTATCTTTATTATGTTGCAGCTGCTCCAGTTCCTGAATGGGGACCACATTTTCCTGAGGAACAATTTCTTGGGACACCACTGCTGGCTTCGTTTTAACGGGCGTTGGACTCACACTGATGATGCGATTCTGATAAAAACAATCCTCCCGTTTTTTGGCGCGCGCAGCCTGCAACCGATTTCTGTTCTCCTGACAGTGATTGCGCGGACTCAACACCAAAGATTGCTCCTTGTACAGTTCCTTGTGGCGCTGCATGTCGACGATGTGGTCGAATGAGGGGAATAAAGACGAAGAGTCCTGTTGGAATGAGTTGTAATGCTAAGATATCCGGAGAAGCGTCTCCTATTTTGTATTTTAAAATGGCGAAGCGAACAGCGTGACCAGACAAAAGAAAACTATAAATATTTTCGGGTCTTTAATAGTATATACTTTGGTCTTAGAAATGGTATTTTATGATCATGTATTTTTAAGACCTAGCCACGGTCACGCTGCTATGAAAATAAAAGTGAATTACAAATTTAGCAGTAGAACATTATGTTTACTAAGCCGCTCCCGTGCCTAATTAGTGTTGCTTAAGCTTGCATTCAACCCCGCGCTTATAACTGTAAGACCAGCGGCTTGTTTTCAGGTTCAATAAACCAAAAATAAATCGCCGAAACTTGTAAATCCATATATAAATACAAGCGCCGCGTGTGCAAGTGTGTGTGCCCCTGTGTTTATTGGGGTTACAACAAATAAAACAAACAACAACGTCACCGCGACAGCATTGCCAACAGCAAACACCCACGCCCTAAAATTGTCAAATTAATATTTATCGCCCAGTTTAAGCCTTTTAGATCATTGAAATTAGAGAAAATCGTAAAACAACAAGTTATAGCTAGCCGCTAATGTAATTACTTTTGCGGTACCTGCTTTTCCTTGAATTCATAAATTACAAGCTGCTGGCAACGCTGCCACGCGCACACAGGCGGGCACGCACGCACACCCACACATAGCGAGGGGAGAGCGAGCGTGAGAGAGCGGTTGATGTTCATTCTCTGTTGCTGCTCCGCCTGGGAACGTCGTCGCCGTCGGTGTATTTTTATCGCTTTTTCGTTTCTCGCCTGCGTTTAAGAAATATTATTATTAACCGAAAAACTCCCGCTGTCGAATATCCATGATTTATTGTTTATATATTCTGCGCTAACTAATGACGGATTCGTTTCAATTTCTGTAGCACTAAATAGTGAATAAGAGAAGAGAAAGAGAGAGTGAGTGCGGAGAGCGAGGTGAGAATTCCAACCTGCCCGTGTATGCTGTGCAGTGCTTGTGTGTGTATGTGCCTGTGTGTGTGTGTGGTGCATCAAGGCTGATAAAACTAAAACTAAATCTTAAACTATAACTACAACTAAATATAAAATAAACCCCAAAAGCGTTTAATAATTGCGCACAAAAAATAAAAATAAAACTAACACAAAATGGAAGCGATTGCCAAACACGATTTCTCTGCGACGGCCGATGACGAACTGAGTTTTCGCAAAACTCAGATCCTAAAGGTGAGTTTTTTGTATTCCCCTTAAATCATATCTGAATTTATTCATAGCCTTTTTAATTGGGGAAGTAAGTATGGCAGGACATGTATGCATAATCCGCTGTGATGCAGTTGCTCCAGGTCGTTGCATTAACCCACATCCCATGTACAATAGCCAGACAGATTTTGTAACTAAATCCCGACAAAACAGGAGTGGTGATGGCGAAACACTCGGAAAAGCGGTTCAAAAAGGTGCATCCGCTAAAGACAACACGAAAGGATTACACTACATGCCTCACCTTGGCTCAAATACTCTCACAAAAAAGAAACAGAAAATTAAAATTTCTAGACCTGCATAAAAAAGTCTATAAGGATTGTTTTTCAGTTTTCATCATTAACTAACCATAAAGTTATTAATTCGTAACTACTTGTTAGATGAGCTTTTCAATAACGAAACTTTGGTTTTCCACACCAATTTCCGTTGTTATGAGTTTTAATACGTTCACATTCCTTTAGAAAATACATAAATAATAGTAATAGTAGACTACAATATTTTGACTTCAGATAAAATGATGGTTTGCTTCTGTGAATCCAATCCAATCCATGAATAGCATCAGCACCCAAGACGGAGCTAAGAGCGGTTTTATGTAGGTTAAAATAATTTTTTGCCTAATATACATTTTTCTTTTTTATTGGAACTATTTTAAAGATATTATACAACAGGTTACAAGTTAATCCCGAATTATGTAAATCACTTAACAAATATGAGAATAAGAAATTGAGTTTTTAAATTTTCGGTTTTCTTATGTAAGTGTTTACTATATACTCTACTTGATAACAAGCTTTTCCTATTGCTTTAAATTGGCAAAACCAATATGCAATATTCAATAAATATATATATATAATATAATTATTAAATTTATATGATGTTAAATTATTATACAGTTTTTCATCATTTCTTAATGATATATATGTAGTTTGCCTGTGAGCTTTGAATTTCGCGGAAATTCGAATGGTCACATCCGATCTGAGCCCGGTTAGTTGTATTTTGTGGCAAAAGAAGAGGCTGGGATTCGATCTTTTTCGCCGTTGCCTTCCATCCAGGTGTTTGTGTTGGCTGTCCCAGGCCAAACCTTTTGTTTTGGCTGGCGAGTTTTCCGGTTTCTTGTTGCCAGGGCGCGCTGTAAGCTGATTTTCGTTGCTGTGTGTCTACCTTGTCGTAGGTTAGTCACACCAGGAACCCAGGCCTGTGTCAGGTTTTTCTCCCTTTTTGCATTTTACCATCCATATGCTGCAGTAAGCTTTTGCTGCTGCAGTTGCTCCTGCTGATTGATGGTGTCAATGACTCGCCGAAGAAGCTTCTTTATCGCTCGCCGAAGGTCAAGTGTGTGCGTTGCTCTCGTCCATTAGAGGGTCTACGTCTATAGAGAGCTCTTCTTTGCAGTAACTTCCTCTTTAGCTTTCCATAGGCTTATCAGCAGGTTGGTAAACAATCCAAACATACACTCGCTGGGAGAGAGATACGACTCAGTCCGTTTAACTTAACTATCGGCGATTACGGGTTAAGGGCGATCATAATAGGGGGTAACCAGGGAGATTATCTCATCGGAGATATTTAGGTATGAGTACCTATCACATCGAAGTTCGAACACATTTGTTTGCCTTTGCGCTTAGTCACTTTCGATTGCCTTATCTGAAAAGATTCCCAATCCGGCAAACACACAGACGCATCGATCAGAGTATGTAGGGGACCCATGAATCATCAAATATTTCATTTTGATTTCTTTCCAGAAACTGGTTCTTAAACCAGCGTACCTCTTGGGTATTTAGGTTTGGTTTTTCTGGGAGCTATATCTAGAATTCTAACGGCTATGTGGCCCCACATTAAAAGAAACCACGTTTTATCATTCTTAGCTAAACTTTCGCTTGTCGCAAAAACAACGAAAAGTAAACGTTCGTGTCGCCTTGACACTTTGCAGCGTAGAACCCGAAACTACTACAATAGGTTTTTTCTTTAGTAATTACATAAACATACGAGAATAAACAATTGATAATAACAATCATGGCTACTACGTGCCAGCTTTCCGAGAGCGCCGCGAAATATTTATGCATTATCCAACCAGGCAGGCACATTCGCTGCACCGAACAAAAATTGTAACCTACAAATTATTTCATTGGGTTTTATTATGTATTATAAATATATATGTTTGTCAAAACAACAATTACTTGCTTAATGATTTTTGGTAGATAGTCATAGTATCTAATTATCAATTCTCATAAAATTTTAAAAAATGTTTTGCCGCCACAAGAAGTAGCAATCCATATGTATATATATATTTTTCTTAAAATTTTAAAAGATTATATTTCAAGATTGATACCTACAATTTTCCATGTGTAGAGCCGCGAGAAAACTTTCTGTAATAGACGACGAATGCGTGGAAATGAATTTCTCGGCGGGCTGTTTTCGATGAATGAAACAAGCTAAAAATAAATAAATATACGATGAACAATGTCTGGTTGACAGATGCGGGCCGTAGCGGTTATGGGGAATGGATTAGAACTATGGAGCTATGCCAATTAGTCGGGGCAGATCCAGCTGAGCGGGCAAAATTCCGCTGCCACTGCTACTACCAACGGTGGAAACAATAATTGAGTTTTACATAAGCTGGAATTGACTCTGACACCCCCGCAGCACCCAAAATTCCTCCCACAATCAGGCGTGCGAAAGATTAACCAAAAAAAAATTATCTGTTGGATGTTGTCAGCTCGACTTAGGGATATCTTTTACTTGGAAAGTTTAAAATTCTACATGGTGAAAGGTATTAATTATTAGAAAATGTATCAATACGGAAAGTATAATTTAATAGCATTGTTATTAACCACTATTATATATAGTGAACAACCCTTAATTTTTCCAATCTAATTATAAAAATTACCATGTCGACATTATGTGAGACATTAATGGGGAAATTATGTGATGACGCAAAACTTCTTGAAAAAGCAGGAACCGAACAACCCCTCATAACTACACAGTATTATCAGGGGTGTTGTGACTCATCTGAATGCCATTCCATTATTCCAACTTGACGAACGAACGTTATTGGGAAATAACAACAAAAACCTGCCAAATAACACAAGAAAAGATCCGTTGGCGAAAATGAAAAAAAAATAGGGAATATAGATAACAATGTAAATATTTACTTAAGGTCTCTCTTACTTAACAGAGAGGGTATTGATAATCCTGACCGAAATCCTGACCTTTGTATGTAGGTCGATGTCAACACCGTTTTTTATAAAATGTAAAAAAAAAATATGGGAATTTCCAATGGCTAAGCAAACAGCGATACCTTTGCAGATAGACAATCTTCAATTTTGTCTGTCAATCGAAAGAAATCATAAAAGTCGACGATTACGTAGGCTACTTGTTGTGTCATTGGCATGCGAAATGACCAAACAAACAAACAAACACGAAAAAAAAATTGTGGCTAGGAAAAAAGTCCATTAGATACACAAAAGTGAAATTCGTCCACTCGAGCATCGTTTCACTTAACATTCTTATCACATGCCAGCCACAATGCTTGTTTATTTTTAGAGTTCCGCACAAGAAACACAGATATGAGAATAGGGGAGATATGTTTCGTCTATCATACCGTAAGCCTATCTTAATTGATTGTCCATTGACACAGTTTTAAGAGTCCCTCAGTCAACGAACAACTGAAAATTGTTTATCGAAATCTTTGCGAAGTCGGGCCAGCCTCCAATAAATAAAGCGAAAGAATGTTTCGATTGATCCTCATTGTCTGGTCGCGATTGAAGGGGTGTGGCTTTTAAAATGGAAACAACAGAAGCAGGTTGGTTCTTACAAAGTCTTTTTTGAGGGTCGTATTTCTCATTTTAATTCTGTGGTTATGTAATTGACAGAAGAAAGCAATTTAATATTTCAGATTTAATTGGGTCGGATATACTCTTAAAACTTAACGTGGCTTTTAAACTTTGATACTGCATAATTAATGATAATTTATAGGTTTCAATAAGAAAGGTTGTCTATTAAAAAGCTTTTAAAGGATTTACATCGTATTTCTATTGAAAATTGAATTTAATAATTTATTAATTTATTGTTTACAGATATTAAATATGGAAGATGATTCAAATTGGTATCGCGCCGAGCTGGAAGGAAAGGAAGGCCTTATACCCAGTAATTACATAGAAATGAAAAATCACGAGTGAGCTCAACCTGAAATCCTTAAAAAAAAATCCAAATAATTTAAATTTCCTATGTAGTTGGTATTATGGACGTATCACACGTGCCGATGCCGAGAAGCTTCTGTCAAATAAGCACGAAGGCGCCTTTTTGATACGCATCAGCGAATCCAGTCCCGGCGATTTCTCCTTATCAGTCAAGTGAGTTCCATCAAAAAAATGAAGATATATTCCATAGAAGGAATAGCATGATTTCTTTATCATTTCACAGATGCCCCGATGGTGTTCAGCATTTTAAGGTTCTGCGCGATGCCCAAAGCAAATTCTTTCTCTGGGTGGTCAAGTTCAACTCCCTCAACGAACTGGTCGAATATCATCGGACGGCGAGCGTTTCCCGGTCACAGGATGTCAAATTGCGTGATATGATACCTGAAGAGGTGGGTGAGCCGTTCATTTTGCTGAAAATTCTACTTAGTAGACGAAAAGAATTCATTGTATATATACGAAATTCGCGTAACACATTGAGGTCGTGCTATTGCATGCCTTTGCTGACGCCCACCGATTTGAACTATAAACAAACAGAATATTATATTAGATTCATGCTACACCAACGATTTCTTATTGCAGATGCTCGTGCAGGCGCTGTACGATTTTGTGCCACAGGAATCCGGGGAATTGGACTTCAGACGCGGCGATGTCATCACCGTCACAGATCGCTCCGATGAGAATTGGTGGAATGGCGAGATCGGCAACAGGAAAGGAATCTTCCCAGCAACTTATGTGACGCCATATCACTCATAATAAGATAACTTCTAAGGAGGGACGCCACACAGACACAACCCCTTCCTCACGGAAAACACAACACCCCCCACAAACCCCATAACGATTAGGCAGCATCATCAGCAATTTGCAAATAACAGCAAGAAAGAACTAAAAACACAAATTTTAAATATTTATATACAAGAAACGTGGACATAAATTCTGTAGACAACGTATACAACACAAGTTTAAGCCTATAAGCCGAATGCATTTTTTAGGTTTTGACGTTTTTTGATAAAACTATTACATTATGATACCATTAACAAGATCATTTCATAGCAACTGGGTGACACTTTAAAATATATATGTAAATTTATTTGTGTATATATAGCTGCGGCCGAATAAAAGCATTTGATCAGATTTTTCCTATGGCATCTAGCAAGACAAATTAGGAAACACACTGCTAATACTTTGACCGCAACTATAGTCAAATGCAAGTAAGTCTGCATACCAGATTTCACTATTATTATTATTATTATTGTAAACCAACGGATTTTTGATATAAATATATATATATATATAATTTAAGTTCGATAATGAGCATATTTGTCCTGTGCTTCGAAACGAGTGGTGAGGATTGACCTAAATGCGCTCTCTAGTTTATTTGATGTTTGAGTGCGTTTCAAAGCGAGTAAAAACTTATATTATTATGATTATATGATAACGAATTACCAACCAACCCATTGCTTAACACGTTTTATAGAAAACGAAACAAATTCACTATGAAAACAAACAAAACTTTTGCCTAAATGTCTCAAAGCTGAAGACAATTAAAACAAAATTTATATTATAATATATTATCTCCTAAATGCCTACCACATAAATTAAATTAATTTTTTCATCGCTGGTTACTAAATATGTACGTATCTTCATTATGCAAAACGAACGATATTAGACCTCGGCTGCACATGCAATTTTTGCGGCAACTATAATTCTATTATGTAAAAATCGGTCCACCAACTTCAATTATTGAAAATTGTCATTAATTTAGCTATTTTGCTCGATGTCTGTTTTTTATTTTTATGTTTTGCAACCCGTCTTCAACCACAAACTCGTTGATAGACAAAATATTAAAAACAAATTATGAAAATTGAAGGAAACATTTGTGACATGTGTAAAAAGTTTCAAACTGCTGCTATATCATATTGTGCTATAAATTATTACTACTACTATTTATAATTGGTTGAGTGTGCTGTGTGTTACCTTTTTTTGTCATCAGCAAAGCGATATAGTTGCACAATCAAGCGTTTTTCAACTACATAACTATATGCATAAAAAAATGTAATGAGAGTTGCCAATATAATGTAATTTAAACAACAACAAAATGCTAAAACAAAACATTTTAAGCCTATTTTTTTATCTATATATATATATATATATCGAAGTAAATACAATTATACATTTTCCTAATATCCACCAAACTAAAAAACACGAAGATGATGCCTCATGGAAATAACACATCAAAAATAACTTTTGATAGGCCATAGTTTATATTGGCCAACAGCTGGACGCAAGACAGTTTTGTACTTTTTCCACATATTTGCAGGCGTGGCGACAATTTCTCGGCCCAGAACTAGAAGTAGCCGCATATTTAAACTTAAATTCGAATCGTAACAATAAAGCAGGCAAATGACAAGGTTTAGATATTAACTAACAAGCGAATACACAAATGAAACATTGCATACGGTATGTTAAGTCGAGGACGTAGTTTAAGCAACAAACTGATTTATCTAATAAACTATGATATATAAAATTTAATTCGATTCGGCGGTTGGTAGGGGATTTCAACGCGTGTTTTAAAGTTATCGATAACTTTGAATGACATCGTGAGATTTACATGATTTTTGTCCTATAAAAAATCTACTATAAAAAGGGAATACCCCCAATAAATTATCTAAGTTCATTACTTATTTCCTTAAATCATAATTATTTCAAGGAGAAAGTGTTATCCAACTTTTGTTTTTAAATCAAGGTCTACTTGGGTTTCATAAACATTTTTGCGATCAAATCTCTTCTTGATATCAGAGCACCATTTCTTAAGCTTGTTAGCCATGACATAAACCAATCTTAATAAAAATAATAAAACGAATTGAATGTAATTTTTAATAAGTCCTTTTATGTTTATAATAAAGTCGTTGGATTTTGTAAAAATGTATAAAAACCATTTGATAATGCTCAAATTCGTAGAAATTTGGTATTACGGGTAATTATTTTTCCAGTATATTATTTGCCAGCTCCTACGGGTTTCTATCCCCTTTTAGCCGCGGTCACATTGGTTATTGGTATGGAAATAAGAAAACCAACTGCACGGCACGGCATTTATTTTGTTAATAAAACTAATATGCCGCTGCCATCTTATCGGGAAAAGCCTATCTTGAGTGCCCAGCAGCTGAGGAAACTCAGTGAACACCAGTACAGCTGTTCCAGTGCCAGCCTCCTCGATCCATTGCTGCAGCCATGGTGGAACTGGCTTGTGGCCCAGACGCCTCTTTGGCTGGCCCCCAATCTCATCACGATCGTGGGCTTGATCCTCAACGTGGTCACCACGCTGATATTAATTTGGTAAGCTACCCCTGCCCCATAGAAAACATCTTCCTTTGACCTTTTGACCCTCCTGAATATCGCAATCTTGACCATGAAAGGTTGCGTGGCAAGGAATTTTCCACCGCAATTTGCGGGTTTTGGGAAATCTGCATCAGCTGTTTTTTTTCCATCATTCAACTGTCACTTGTCATTCGCAGTTTGCCGGATTTGTTTGCTTAGGTTTGCCAGCATTTTAAAAGTTTATTTGTTTTCGTGTAGACTAAGAATTTTCTGTTAAAACAAATGAGTTTTTGATTCGAATAGAATTTTTACAGGCCTTTTTAATTACATCTTGATGGTTTTCAACTTTTGAAAACAGTTCATAAATCATTTATTATTTAAAAAATTTAAAACAAAACTCAACTTTTAAACAAATTTTTACACTTATAATTTAAGAACATTTGTTCTCAGGGAACTAGATAAAAGTTGACAGTAACATTGTTTTTAAGTATAACAACAAAAAAGAAATAAGAAAATCAGGCGACCATCCATTTCGTTTCATAATGCGTAGCGATAGCGTATCATTCCGCAACTACGCTAAATAACTAACTAACTAGCTAACTAAACTAGTGGGTGGGGAGGCTAAAACAGGCGGACACAGTGGATACGGCGGACCCCCTTACCAGAACTTGTACATAAACTATGCCAGCGATAAGATAGCGAGGGCGTCTCGCCACTTTACCCATTACAAACCAAAAGCGCGAAATATATGTACATACATATAAAGTAATCGCAATCATCATCGTTTGTCGCGGTTTTGTGACGCATTTCTTTAGCCTGAGGGCATTGCAAAAAAGGCAATTTCAAACGATAAGTAAATAAAAACAAAGGCAGCCTAATCATCGTTGCATCTACAGACTGTTCAAGTACTGCATTAAAATCCAACCGGTACTACGAAACCGACGAATTGAAAGAACTTTTTCGAGTAAAGCCAGTTTAGCTTGCCAAAGTAAAGTTCACATGAGTTAACCCCCTGAGGGCACGTTTTGCATTTTCCAATTGTTTGCCTTTCAATTGGGATACCTTTGATTGAATTAGAATGACAATTTGCATTTCTAATTGATTTTTATGGGTCTTCCCACCAAAGTCTGAACACTTAAGCATGTTCCGGTGCTCTTAACAACCAATTACAAGAACTATATTTAGAAAAAAAGAGAAAGAGAGACTTTCACTGCCGCTGTGGAGATAAACTTCAGTTGGTTCAGAAAGCAGCTTATTTCTTTATTTCTAACTGGGTCTTAAAGCAATCAAGAGGGGAACAATAGTAAAAAACCGAAAGCTTGTTGTTTTTAACACTTATTTGTCAGTTAAGGTCAAGTAGCAAAAGTAATTCGTAATAAAAAATATTATAGGTATGACATTTTGAAATATTAAAAATTAACCTGCCTCCAACTTGGTCAAACCCACGTGTGCCCACTTTCCCTCAGTTATGGTTGGTTGCTTCAGAGCGTTTGCTTGTCAATCAAAGTCGCCAAAAAGTCATTTACTTCTGTCCCTCCTCGGCAGATGATTCACCTTGAATGCTGCTCACGTGTCGGGTTCTGTTATTTTTAGACCAAAATACATGCTATAGGATCTATATATTCATTCACAAAACCTCGCCAAAAAGACCAGACCGGTTTTTATTTGCACTTTACCCATTATTATTATTTTCCTTCTGTTTGCACTTTTGTATTTGTTTTAATAATTTTTTTCTGTTTGCAAAAACAAAAAAAAAAAAAGAGAAAAAACACAACACTGTTGCCAGCGCCCGCTTTTGCGATTTTTGCTGATCTTGTCTAGGTCAGTGGGACTCGATAAAGTAGTGTCAATCGGAGCATGATGATTCAGCTGGAATCAGGTGTTTTGTTCTGTTTGTTCCGCCCGTACTTGCGATATCCCGAAAATTCGTAGCCGGAACCAACGAAGTCAGCTGATTTGGTGACTTGGTGGAGAAGGTGAGCAGCTCGCTTATCAGACATTCTCAAATGGCAGCTGCAAAGTAGTGATTTTCATACTTAACCAAATGAACTGATAATTAAGAACTTGAGAACTTTGCCCATCAGCCGATCCTATGCTCACTGACGTCAGTCTGTTTTCATTTCGAAGGGGAATCATCCGGCTAATTGACTTGGAAAAGCACGTATCTAAGCTTGACAATTCTGATTGGTGGAGTACAGTCTTAATTCTCTTTTATTTTTATTATTTATTATTATTATTTAATGCAACAATAATTAAATTGGTTGCATGGGTAGGCTTTTAAAATGTTCAAATGGTTTATGTATTTGAAAGTAATTATAGACTGCTAGTTCTTAAACATTTTATATACGTACTTTACTCATTAAGCAAAGCCTTGCAATGAATCAGCTTACATATTTTTAATCAAGAGAATCAGGTCCGTTCTCCCAAACGATTTCATATTAGTTAAGTAATCCCAATATTACAAAATACCTCTGTTTCGTATTTTGTAATAATTCCTTTTAAACAAACTATAAACTTCACTTTTTTTTACCATTAAATGAATATATTTTTTGTATTCATCTTTAGCTATAGTCCAAATGGCATTGAGGCACCACCACGTTGGACCTGTTTGCTCTGCGCCCTGGGGCTGTTCGTCTACCAGAGTCTGGATTCCATCGACGGGAAGCAGGCGCGTCGCACGAATACCTCATCGCCGCTGGGCGAACTCTTTGACCACGGCTGTGACTCGATATCCACGGTTTTTGTTGCGCTATCGGCGTGCATATCTTGCCAACTGGGACACTATCCCAACTGGCTGTTCTTCCAGGTGAGTGAATAAGGATCAACTGATTCAAGAGTTAGATAAATACCGGACTTCTCTTTCAGTGCTTCTGTGCTATAGCTCTTTTTTACTGCGCCCACTGGCAGACCTATGTGTCCGGAACGATGCGCTTTGGCCGGATTGATGTAACGGAGGCACAGTTTTCAATTATAGCCATTCATCTGATATCGGCTGCGCTGGGTCCCGAGATCTGGCTGACAAAGGTAGGAGAGGTTCTAAAGGCAACCAGCGAAGAATCTGAAATAATTTCGATTTAAAACATTATTCCCGGAAATTTTTTGTATACCCTTTTATATTTTCTATAGACATTTAAGCATATCTGTAAGAGTTTTATTTTGCTACGTTCACATTAGAGTTTGGAGTTCGATTTTCATGTAGGCTGCCTAGGATTAAGCTCGGCTCAGTTGCCTTAAGTTCTGTTTTATTCGATTTAGCGTGCTAGTTTAGTTTTGAGTTTAGCTACCCAACCGATAAGTTCCCAATTTTGTTTAGCATGGATGAAAACCACGAAAGCAGATAGGTTTTATGAGGTCAGGACAACAAAACACACAAAACTCTGTGATAAACTTTTGTATAGTTCATTATTTAACTTTAACCACGACCAGTAATTGTATATGTCTAATAACTTCTACTTCTATGTACTTAATGCGTACTGTGCTCGCGCTCTCTAAACAAACCTGCCGAAATCCAATGCCTGTCGCGATAAAAAATCACTTAACAAACCAACACCACAACATATACACACGCACACCATAACACTCAGATCGGCATTGGCAATATAGAGCTTTGGTATGGGCCTGCAATGACGACCATTGTGTGCGGTCTGCTATCCCTAACTTATGTATTTTCCGTCATTAAAGCCGGTGGTGTTGGCAAAAACGGCTCAACAGTTGCTGTAAGTCCTTAGCACACAAAACAAACACTAACACACAACACTACCAAAAATAAAAAAAAAACACAAACACACAAACAAAACACAAAAAAAAAATATTTTTGGCTCCTCAAAAGAAAAAGATTGGTCTAATTTAAAAGAGTTTACAGTTTTCACCTAGCTTTCTATTCTCTGACTAGCTCAGCTGAGTTCCGAGGAAGGTGCGTGGCGTGAGGATTACCCCTAACCCCTCTATCCCACTTTTTAACCCTTTAATTGCTTGCCTATTTAACCTGTGCCGTTGTTAATTCTTGTTCATGTGTCTTTGGTTTAAAAAGGCGCAGCTGCCGCAAAATAATAATCCTGCTTTTTTGCTATTGAAACTACTCAAAAACATGATGTATTCGGTAGCAATCAAGAGCATGCCTGAAAAAAAAAAACGAAAAACGAAAAAAAAAAATTAAAAAAGACAAAAGACACGCTTTTAAATAACTATTCTTCGAGGCTGCTGAATGCAAAATTTAAGTTACTTATTAGTTATCCCTAATAATATTAATCTACGTATTTGCCCTGTCCAATTGTCCAGTTGACATTTTTGATCCTTTTGCTTACTTTTTATGTCTTTATAGTGTCTTCCGGTTTTGGAATTACCTATTTAACCTGAAAAGTATTATATAAATCTATCATATTTATTTATGTATACTCTTTAAGAATAGCGTTTAAGCACGAGTTCCGGGGTATTCACAGTTCATAGGCGACTGTTAACACTCCACGATCTCCCTTTAACCAATCCAAACCTATGTTATCCATACCCTGAATGTAGTCAAAGATTCTAAATTTTATTGTTTTCTTGCAATCTTTCATCTTTACTAGATACCAATCGTGGGCCTTTCATGGAATTATACAATATTAATATTTATCACATTCGGTTATACCTTGAATATAATAAATTTCTTAAAAATGTTTACTGAAGGCGGCAGTGGCAAAAACGGCTCCTCAGTTGCTGTAAGCATTGCACAACCTCTTCTCGCAATAACAAGGCGAATAAATTGTTAATAATATAAAAAACAGTAAAATGGAAAAACAAAAAACCTAACAGACTAACTCTGAAATCCGTAGCACCAGCCATAACATCTTTATATAATCCTTGGTTCTGCTTTTTTGGGTTCTCTACTAATAACCGTTTTACATTTTCCTTTTAACTTGTATTTGGAAATGGCTTGCAGTTTCGGTTCGTTCGGTGGAGGGCTCTGGAATTTGGTTTGGGCTCTAGCACTCGATAATTTCCTAGACTCCATATCGACTAAACCATCGTATCATTTGAATGCCATTTTATGCATGCTGCTGCTTGGGATTAATTATTTTTTAAGTGGTACATAAAAATATTGTAATTTACTAATTGAATGGTATATATTGGTATTTGATATATTAATTTATTAGAATAGGTATAATTTTAATTAAAATATTGGTAAGATTACACCTTAAGTTTTTACCCCACACTTTTGTTACCGAAAGACTTCTGGAAAAAAGACACAAAATAAATTTAATGCGCGCCGTTCTTTTCTCCCGCACGCAATCGAACAATCAATTAATGTCGTTTGACAAAACCAAAAACGAAATCGGAAACCTGAAAACCCATTTCCCATAAACCCTGACATTGGCAGCTACCGTACTTCAATTGCGAAACCCGATTTCTGCCAATTTATGTGGCCTGCGGCATTGATTTGATTCTAACACTGCGCTACTCTAAATGCATTTTGACCGAGGGTTGCGGCAAAAACGGATCATCGGTTGCTGTAAGAATTTAACGTAAAACTTGATTTTGAACAACTCTCGTCCTTGTGTCCTGGTGTGCAGTGCGTAGTCAAAAACAACGCACTGTAAATAGCCCTCATTAGATGCATTATTTGAGATCTAAATGCCCGAAACGTATTGCGTTTAAGTACTACCTTGAGTAATGCTATCTACTCGTATATCGATCCAAGTGCACGTCCAATGTTTGTTGATACCTATAGTATTATTATTTGTTTAGCTTGTAGTTCTTATTTTGGTGACAGTTTGGCATGGCATGTCGTGTGTTTTAGTTGGCATTGTGCTTTCGTTTGGTAAATTGGCTTCGTATACTGACATATATATCTCTGTGCATTTTTAAACCCACAACAAACCCAACCCACAAATCCACCACAACCCACCCACACACCCGCCCAATAGTGCTAGACCATGTAAATAAAACATGTAATAAATATGTAAAGAGCACTTTTCCCTTCAAGTTTTTTTTTTAAAAAAAACATATATGAAGGGAAAATTGCGTAAAACCTAAACACCAAAAGCCAAAAGAATTTTTGCTCACTTTTGCCTGTGCACTTTCCAATTGTTGTTGTCACCCTTGCAAAATGTGCCGTAATACACAATTAACTAACAAAAAAAAAGTCCAATGAGCACAACGCTGCTAACGGTGACACTTTGTAAGCGTGCAACAAATCTTAAAGATCTCTACTAATTAAATATGTTTCGAACTCGTGTAGGGCACCAGTGTCCTGTCGCCCAGCATTCCCCTCACTTTGGTAGTACTGCCCGCCTTAATGATTGCCCAGAAGTCGCCGCAGAACATCTTCACCGAGCACGCATCTGTCTTCATCTTGGCCTTTGGCATGGTGGCCGCTAAGGTCACAAACAAGTTGGTGGTAAGTTTTAGAGAGGTGTTTGGATCAATCTGGAACTGGTATACCACAAACAAAAAATAAGTTCTACAACTTATTATTTGATTTTATCATATAAAAAAACTCCATTAACATACACATCATTCTCCCGCAGATCGCCCACATGACCAAGTCGGAGATGGATTACCTAGACTGGTCGCTACTTGGCCCTTCGCTAATGTTCCTGAACCAATACTTCAACTGCATTGTGCCGGAGATCTGGCTGCTGTGGTTCACGCTTATCTGGGGCACACAGGATCTGCTGCGCTATTGCGCCGCAGTGTGCCTGGAGATCTGTAAACACCTGCGCATCGATCTTTTCCGGATACCGTACACGCCCAAAGGCGCAGCCCCACATCCGGCAACCGCCTCGGTGAGCAGCCAGAGCAACCTCGGCAGCAGTGCGGACAAGAACGGCGGCACCGCGCATCGAAAGTCCAAGGGCAAACCTCACTAGGTTTCGTTTTCCCACTACATTAATTAGTTCTCTTTTACCAATTTACGTCATTAGAGCCAATGGATACTCGTAGGAGCAGATGGAGCGCAAGAAATACAAACCTGTTAACAAAACCCAACAAAATTCACCGTCACTGTTTTAAAGAAAAACAGAAGCAACACAACTAAACGAAATTAAACAAAAGCAAAAAAAAATATATATATGTAAAAACAAAAAAGATAGAAACGTTAAATGGGCGAAGCATAATGTTGCTCCTACATTTTAGGATATAGTTTACAACACCTTGTTGTAGTAAAAAAGGCGAGGTGGCTACGGCGGGAGAAAGAACTGTTGCAGTCTCCGATATCAATTATATGGCTAAATATATAAATATAAATATATTTTGTATGATTGTGTAAGTTGTAATAAATCTAGATTGCAGTATTTTTACTGTGCTAAATCACACTTGTGCATATGCCAAAAAGAAAGCAGAATAAGCCTAAATATAGCTCGATAAAAGCTCAACTTACGTTTAAGTCTTCTGACCACCACTCATTGGCGATCCATCCACCCCAAGAAAGACAAAAAAAAGTATATCTATACATGTTACTCGTTTTAGTGCTCCTCATCGGAATCGTCTGAAAGCCCCGACATTCAAAATGGTGACTCAATTGAAAAACGCACTATTTATCTTGACTAGGCCCATAATTTTAGTGCGTTTAGCATGAATACATCTTACGCATCCTAATCCTAGCTAAACGAAACTTATATTTGTAGCTCGCACGGAGTTGTCCGGCAACTTTATAGTTAAACTATTATGGATTATGTTTTATGTTGTACACAAAAATGGAGACGAAACAAACCGCAAGAACTAGAAATAAAACAAATTGCTAAAAATAAATAACTGATTTTTAATTGCCAAAAGAGAAAATTAATTATATTAAAGTTGTATTAAACCATTTTTAAACCAGCGGCTCACTGGGGAGAAAGTATAGTTAAGTTACAATTTCATTGTGAATTATAGATGAATTAAATTAAAACATTTTACAACAATAAATACTGTACCAGTTTCTTTAATTTACATATATATTCGACACATTAAGAGTAACGTAACTACGCAACATAAAACAGCCATATTTTTTCGATTAACTAAACTAAGAGCTATTAGGGTTAGGGATGTTCTCGATCGCAGATGTAGGCCATCAATGCCATGTCACGTACCTCCAGTGTCACGCGACCACGGTGTTTGGTAAGCATTTAAGAGTCAGCAAGCCGCTGCGTGAAGTACAATTCGCAGGAAGTCTGCATGGCCATAAAGGCTCCTTCAGTAACCCTTATCTGCGGCTCATTACTGTATTTTAAGATAAGGTAGCGCACCAATCGGGAGAAGGGCAGCTTAGTTATGAGCATCATGCCTGGATAGTTTTGAAATCGACGGATCTCCTTATCCATCCTTTTGGATGTGCTTACAGGATTGAGATTCTTGCGTCGCCTGGCCTGATTTTGGGCCACAACTGCTGCTTGTGACCTGGTCTTCTTGCTTGTGGACTGGGTTGTGGCCTGACTCGCCATCCGTCGTGTAGGCGAAGGTGGGTGATTTTCATAATCCTTGTCGGAATTTGAGGTTGTGGTATCTGCTTGCCGTGCTCTCTGCAAGGCGCTGTTCTGGCGCAATGTTGAGCAACGGCGATTATTGGCTTCTTGAAGCGTCAAACGGTTCGTAGTAAACTCTAAACAGTAGTCGGTGTCATCATCGGTTTCTGGCGATTTAAAAGCCGTGTTATCTTTACTCTCCGCGTCTGTGTCGCCCAATGACGGTTTGTCATGATTTGTGGTGCTTGGCTCCACTTTTTCGTGGCATGCCTATTTTTTAGAGTTTATATTACACACGGCATTAAATGGTTGTTTGAAATTGCTCCCGCTTTTTTTTATGTAATGTGACCGTATCAACCTAAGCAAAAACTGATGGAAGTTAAATACTGTGCACAATTATGTTTATTATTTATATTTGAATTTAAAATTAAGGAAATTAACAATTATGAATTACAAATATTATCCTATTAAAAAAACTGAAAGGCAAATAATTTTCCGCCTATTTCGATTGTTATAAGAATTTATACTGAATAAGAAACATAACTCGATTAATTGTTATAATCGATCAATTTCCAGCTCTGTTAACCAGCTGATACCAAATTGTATTGTTTACCACATACCTTAGATATTGCTTATTTTCTCCTTTATAAAAAATTATCTAATAATATAAGACCAAGCCATGTCGGAGGATCATGGTAACGACTACACACTAGAGGCGGACTCCGAGTTGCGGTTTGAAATCGAACAGAAGGACGCTAAAGTCCTGGTGTCCGTAAGTGAATAATCTCCTTATCTCTTTATATACAAATTTATTTACTAATTTTTTTATCTCAGCTAGTTAACGGCTTTGCGGAGCTTTTCGGTACTGAGATGGTGAAGAAAAAGCAATATGAGTTCGGCGTCGGCGCCAAGGTGGCGATATTCACATATCAAGGCTGTGTGCTACACGTTTCTGGAAAAATGGACGTCTGCTATATATCCAAGGAGACACCAATGGTGCAGTACGTTAATTGCCATGCGGCACTTGAACAATTCCGTACAGAGGCCGAGGAAAAGGACCGCCGAGGCCCTGTGGCCATGGTTGTCGGTCCCATGGACGTGGGAAAAAGCACGCTCTGTCGGATTCTGCTCAACTACGCGGTTCGTGTGGGCCGTCGGCCCCTCTTTGCTGACTTGGACGTCGGCCAAGGATCCATTGCTATTTCCGGGAGCGTGGCCACCATCCTCATCGAACGACCAGCGAGCGTCGAGGAGGGATTCGCGAAGACTGCGCCACTAGTCTATCACTTTGGACACAAATCGCCCAGTGGGAACAGTGTGCTGTACAATGCCGTCGTTTCCAAGATGGCCGATGTCACGCTGCAGTCCTTAAGTAGCAATAAGCGAAGTAAGATCGCCAATATGAATTCTGTATTTTAAAAGACAACCATTTCTTATTTTTTCAGCAAAAAGCTCCGGAATAATAATAAACACTTGTGGCTGGGTAAAGGGCTCCGGTTATGCGCACCTATTGCATGCTGCTAAAGCCTATGGAGCCTGTGCCATCTTTGTATTGGACCAGGAGCGTTTATATAACGAGCTACTTCGTGATGTGCCTAAGGGTGTCAATGTGGTGCTCTTGCCCAAGAGCGGTGGGGTTGTGGAGCGCAGCAAAGAGCTGCGACATGAGGCTAGAGATCAACGCATTAAAGAGTACTTCTACGGAAACTCTAGGGCACCTTTCTACCCTTTTAGCTTCGAAGTTAAGTTCCAGGACCTGCGACTATACAAGATCGGTGCTCCGCCGCTGCCCGACTCCTGTATGCCAATTGGAATGAAAGCGGAGGACAACAAGACTAAGGTGGTGGCAGTAACTCCCACACCCGCACTCATTCATCATGTGTTGGCACTCAGCTTTGCCGAGTCCATCGAGGATGATGTTATTGGTACTAACGTAGCCGGCTTCTGTTGCGTGTAAGTGGTGCTGGATTTAAACTTTTTGATAATACTATTTATAAACATTTTTGTATTTTTAGAACCGAGGTGGATATGGAGAGGCAAGCTGTGATGTTGCTTTCCCCGCAGCCGCGACCTCTGCCACAAAATGCTCTGCTCCTGTGGTCGGAGCTGCAATTCATGGACAATCACACCTAGCATTAAATACTTTACTTTAGATATTCGTTAGAAATTTTAAAATTAATGTCTCCCGTTGAATAAAAATATAGTTTGCTGATGTTCTAAAAACATGATAAACCTTTTTACAATTTTCTAATAATTATATTTCAAAAAATGTAATAATAAAATTCAATACACATTTAATCCTTTTTAAATTGTAATAAAGAATACTATTTTCCATCCTGATATTTAAAATAAGTTACTGTATATGTATAAATTAATATACAAAAGTTAAAATGTATTAAATTATGTGCACTGATTTGAATTTAATAAAGTAAAAATGTAAAATAAAAAAAAAAACATATTTTCAGAACATTTTTTATAGTGTTTTTTTCCGCAATTACAAAGAGGTTTGAGTCATGGCTACTTTTTGGTTTTGCGTTACTCATGCTAGACATTAAATGATCACTAATTTGGTAATATTTTAAATGCTATAAAGCCTTTTAGCCCAATAATCGTACAGGTAATAATTTGGTAATATTTTATCCCAATAATTGTACAGTTAATCAAATGTGATAACAACCAGTTGATTTGAAAAGGTAAATTCCACCCTAGGTTACACTTTCAGCCAGGTTCAGCCTGCCTTGTTAGATTTTTAGTATATCTGGGATATTTTAAACACATCTTTTGTTATATTTTAATACATTTGTGGGGGCACATCGATGGCTCCTTGCATTTATCCAGTGCGGTCACACTGTTCAAAAGAGCGAGACGAAGAACACGGCAACATAGAGAACGGAAAACTGAGTGAAAAGTAAATCAAATATTTACAAAACAAAGTAACCACAAAATGGCTACGTTCGGTCGAATTGCATGAGCTAAAAACAAATAGCGACGAAACGCGCATAATTTTTTTGCTTTTCGGGTCCTAAGTATTAATACCGTGGAATTTGTAGTGTTTTTCGCGTTTGTTGTGCAGCGTGCGAGTTGCTGTTGATGTTGTTGTTTAAATGTGTATCAAATGGTTCTAAAAACAAAACAAGAGATTTTTGGGCTTCTAAATTTACGGCCTGCTTGAAAGATATTCTGTTTTCTCCGTATGTGTGTGTGCTCTTGTCTCCCTCTCCCTCTCTGTTGCTTTGGTGCTGAATTTTCCAGCGGCAAACGGCATTTGTTTTGGTTGTGTTGTCGTGAAATTTTCCACTGGAAAGTGCAGCAGCGCCTTTTTTGGGGGATGCACACATTCCAACGCACACAAGCAAACATCGTCAATCACCGGCTTGTTGCGCCATGGAAGCGGCAAACGGTTCAGTTTCCTAATTACTAAGAGTCACCTTATCATTTACAGTATTTCTATTTAGCAACTACCTGGCGGCTTCCGAAGGTGTTAGCGGTGGAGAAGCGGAGGTCACTCGCACACAGTTGCATAATTTCTTATCACTCGGTACTCAACGACAACAACAATCTGTAGCAGGCACAAAGGCAAATATACATACAAGCAAACAAGGCGATCACACTGATCAACAAAAATAACGGGAAACTCTATAAATATACGTACACAACAACAACATCAGCAAGCTAACACTGCAGAACAAATAAAAAAAATATATTTAACGATCAAAAAATAAAAAACTTGTATAGACAAAAAAAAAAAAATTAATAAAATAAAAAAGAAATGAAGAGCAATAACATAATTTATAAGTAATAAATTCAATTGAAATTATAATAATTAAAAATAATGTGTACAAACCGGGTACTTAACACCCGACAAACAAACGATTTTTTAACTACCTGTTTTTAAACCTTCGTGCCTTTTCCCTTTTGCAGATTTCAGTGTGATTATTATTATATTATGTACGCCTAACAAAAGACAAACGATCGGGTCGTGTCATCTGTTAGTTTTATTTTTGTAAGCGTCAAATGTCTTAAAATTCCGGAGATTGTGCTTCCAAAATAAGATGGCCCTCGAGCCATACACGAAGTCTGCCGAAATCGAACCTCAATTGTGCCAAGTTATAGCAAATAATGAAGATGTGACAACGAAGAAGACCAAATGCACGGCATTTAGCAGAGGACGTGCGGGGTGGCGGCGGCGGCGACATCTGCTGATCAGCTTTCTTTTGATTTGTTGCTTTGGCATCTCAAACAGTTGGCAGTACAAAAATGGTAAGTTCTGTACTTTCATTTCAAGAACACAAAAAACACGCATACAAAGACTTTTGCTATGGCCAAAGGAACTGACAAGCATTTGATGGCAGTTCGATTAATTTGACGAGCTGCGAGGGGTTTTGGGTTTGAGTTGGAAATCACAGGGATAGGTAGTTTGTAAAAGGAATAGGTCTGTGATATCTTTCTCCTGCTTTTCGCTCAAAGCCTTTCGTTTTACAGGTCACCCTCGATAAGATATCCATGTTATATGAGGAAAAAATAAATAACAAACGCATATCCATAAAAATTATTTAGATATTGAAACATTAATTATTATCAAAAATCAACAACATATCTTGATAGTAAAAAATCGGAATGTTTAATTATAAAAATAATAAAAATACTATGTTAGGCACCTTTTTTATAGCTCCATCACAAGTTGCTTGTTTTGAGTGTCCACTGTATTCGTTTGTTTATGTGGTTTCAACTGCACTTTTGAGCTTCCCGCTCCCCTCCCCCTTGCTTGGTTTTTTTAACCCCTCCTTTTACCGCTTTGCGTTTTCCTTTAAGCTCCTTTTCGTGTTGTCAAAGCCCAAAGGCTGACAATTTCTCGGCGCATTGCTTTTATGAATAAACAACTACTACTTATTTAGACTGTAGTACGCACTCAACTTGATTGCACTGCGCATAATTTACTACCCCTTCCTCTCTGTGACTACTCCGCCAAACACTTTTCCGACTTGATGCGACGCTAATGAGCTGAAAAAAGCAGCTCACTAATAATTCAGCAGTTGTAATATGGCAAAAGTTGCCCGGTAATTGCCGGCATATTTCAAATGCACAAAGCATTGACCCAGGGACCAAAAATTCATGCACTTACAGAAATTTTTGTGGTCTATATAGAGAAAGTTATGCTTTACATTTTTATATAAACCATTTTAATGAGATATATTTCAATTTGATATTAATTTTAATTAATGTCAGAACCCACAATGAAACGAATTTATTAAATTTATATAATCTTAGTGATTGATAAATTGGAATCTTATAAAGCGATATTTCAATATTTGTTATCGTATTTACATCTATACATCTTTTGAGCGTTAAGGTTTTTATACTCTGTCTTTTTTGGAAAAAAAAACCCTTGAGAATTATAAGTAGGAATCGTTGAAAAGAAATAATATCTTTAGCTTATGGAAAATTGTGTCTTTAATAATGTTTCAAGTTTTATGGGATTATAACATTGTTTAAGTAAAGTTTTTGTTAGTTATATCAATTATCCCTTAACTCTGTATAACTTTTTGTCAGTGTGGCTTATAATAAGGCTTTGTGCCATGATGAGCCGTGATGGAGGGGAATCATCTACGGGTCAAGTCAATATGGAAATAGCAAATGGACAAAGGCCGTCCAAACATCGTTAAGCCTCCCAAAAAATAGAGGACGCTCGAGTGTTTGGCTGAAAGATAAGCCGTCGCCCTCTCCTTCAGTTGCAATCCGGAGTTTTGGAGTCCGGAATTGCGAGTACTCTAGCATGCAGTGGGGCATCCACAAAGCAAGTGCCGCCGCCCCGAAAAGGAAGCCCAAAAACTTAAATTTGTCGAGCCGGGTGGAGAAAAAAAGCGCATCAAATATGTACACAAAGCTCCGGGAAAAAACCATCTTCATCTTTCCTGACTTTTTCGTTATGTGTGTGGTTGTGTGGGTGGTTGGATGGGCGCTTACTTTCTTTAACACTTTGACGCGCGCACAAAGTGTTTTTTGCCTGCGTTGATTTGCTCTCCTTCTGCCCCACACCCAACTTGAAAATCCCACACTGCCACCCACTTCTTTAAACCTTGTTCTTTTTTGCAGCTACTGACGTTTTTGCCGCTGTCATTCCGTGTGGGGGATTCCCTTTTTTTTTTTTTTTTCGTCCTTTTACGTCAGAGCTCGACGCTATTTGCTTTAGCTTCTATTTACTACGCCGTAGTACGCCAGTTTAGTAGTAATGGGAGTACTTCAAAGGCGACGGCGCCTTTGACGCCACATCCATCGCCCACTGACGGCATCCTGCCATCCTTTTGCATCACCGCGGGACACTCGACATTTCACTGTTGTTGACATTGATTTTGATTTCATTTATGTGTGCACCAGTTCTTCCACTTTCCAACAGGCACTGACATTGGCTTAGAAAGCCTGTCAACACTCGCAACACTTTGTATTTCCCCTTGGAATTCATTAAGGGACCATTATCCGCTAGGATTTGCAAATTATCCAATTAAGAATGCATAACATGATTACCAAGCTTATTAAAAGTTTTTCAGAAATAATTTAGAATGTTTATTGCAATTAATTTAAGGCCTAATCCTATCTGATAGCAATTTCATGGTAATAATCAAAATTTGAAAAACATTTTCGCAAAGGCTAAAGCTTGCGACGGGTCAATTGAACTCCTTTTCACAATTCTAATGCAAATTCCAAGGGTCAAATTAATATTTAGTTTAAACATTCCCACAGCTTAAATAACTTAAATATCCTTTAATTTAATCGAATTCATCATTATGTATATTGTCCTAGGCTTGTCAGATTGCTTGATAAATTTCCTAATAAACTGTATAATTATAAAGTAACTTTCAGTTTGGAAATGAAAACATTCTTAAATTTAAAGCTTCTGGTGGAGAGCAACCGGGACAAAGAAATGCCCGAACGGATGGCAAACACAATTGGGCTTTAACTAACCCAATCATCCGGGGACCCATCTGCATTCCGTATGCAAACTGCTAAAACCAAAGGCAAACTCTCGGTCCGCCGGCACAAATGTATCACTTTGCAATTTAAACAATAATGTTGTGGTGTGGTCTATGTCCGTCTGTCTGTCAGTCCTTCTGTTCGTAGTGTATGCGTTTGTGTAATGTATCTGTGTTGGCCGGTAGATTGGTTGCAACTTGCAATGCTGCAGTATCAACATCATTATCATCATCGCATCATCCTCATCATCGCATCATCCTCATCAACGCGCCACCCTTCCTGGCCACAGATTTGTGTGGGCGGCTCAGCGTGGCCTGGCACTGACCTCTGATGGTGGAAAATGTATGAGTCTTGTTTGTGTGTTTTCACTAAGGAAAATACATTAGTTTTTATATGAGATCAATAAATAAATGTTAATAGATTGATCACATAGAATGACCTTTAGTGACCTTTAAAATCCAAGTTTTTCTCAGATTACTTTATCTAAAACTGGAATCCATTGATAGAGGAGAGATAACTTCAAACGTTTAAGCTTTGCTTAAACTTATATTTCAAAATTTTTTATTAGGCGAAAACCCCCATTTTTAGGTTATTTTACTTTCAATATATTTTCAAATTTTACAGTTTTCTATAATATATATTTCACTTTATATAACCTTTACATCCTCTGTGTATGTGCGTAATCGGTTTTGGTATTGCTAGCACATTGGCTACAGCGCAGTCCACATATGCAAATCTGCAACTGCCACAAGAGCAACAACAAAACATAAGCTACGCTACCAGTCCTACTGCTTTTGGCCGTGCTCTTCCTCTTCTGCTACTTCTTCCTCCTGACGCTGCTGCTGCGGGTTCTCTTATCACTTATCGTAATCTTGTAATTACGTGTGTTCCACAAATGTTAATTGCAAAAGGGAAACATCGATAGGCTGAAGGCATTCCCAGCTGGTTCTCACATCTCGATTCCCTTGCACTTCACACACACACGCACACACTCCACCCTGCAGATTGCAAGTTGTTGAAAACGAGTTGTTCACATGGCAAATCCTTAATTTAACGAGTATGTTTTAAGGGTAGGCCAAAATATGCAATACTTAGACGGCTGTATCATGTGGATAGTGATTGAGGCTTGGAAAACGTAGTTTTATAAAATGCATGATCACAATTATTGGGAAATACATTTCTATGGCTTGTGGGAAAGGGGGATTACTTAAAAAAAACAATCTGTTATATAGTGTTTAGTATCTTACCAAATATTGGAACGAAAATCAATGCTAATAGCGCGTGGTCATAGGCAAAGCACAGAGCTATGAAAACGACCACGTAGATAAACGCTTTAAAAATCGATTTTGTTAACCAAATTGATAAAGCGATTGGACCGCACTATAATAGCGGATTAGAAAATTATCCTGATAGGGTCAGCTATTCAAATGCACACTCGTGAGCAGCGCAGTATCAGTCAAAAGATCTGCGAAATGAATTAATATAGTCTATATCCGATTGTCCATCATGGTACCGGTGATTAACTCATGGACTTCGTCCGCACTGCCAATATAAGCATAGTACCAGTTTCTAACTAAATGAAAAATGGTAGAACTATAGCACACGACGATAAAACGATGCAGGTGATAAATCAATTGAAATATATCAATTACGATATAGGAGACCGACATTACGAAGACTCCAGTGTCCATCGGGTAATGGCAAAAGAATTTGTTTATTAAAACCATATTGACTTAATTTTCTTCTCTATTCAGTGTCAGTTTTAGAAAAGCCATTTCGAAAATAAAAGCCAAGCTGCTCGTCAACAGCTGCTTGTAAAGTAAGTACGGATAAAATTATATGACTATAATTTGCCCAACAAGTTGCCAATTTAAAGGCCCAAAACATGTCAGCAAGTAATTAAATTTCTATACCAATTTGCATATCTACAGGCGCGCAGGCAACCCTGTTTTCCTGTTCATCTGTAGTTGTATGTATATGTGAATGTGCTTTGCCACTTAACATAGCCGTTGGCTTTGGCCAACTAACGAACTGAATGAGAAACCGAAATAAAAACAAGGGGACTCAACTCCAGGAACACATAGAGATGGAAGTTTTTAGCTCCAAGATCACTGTCACATCTTAAGTCACAGAATTTATTAAGTCACTTTAGATTTAAAGTTTAATGATATATTTATAGATATCTATTGTCTGAGTATCTTTTACCAGGGATATTAGGATGTGAAAATAAAGTTTATGGCAAAATTAAAGTAATATGAAGAAGAATTATAAGTTTAAGATATAAGACATTCTCAACTAAAATCAAGATAAACGATAGTTGTTGCTCATCTCTAAGCAGCATCTTGGCCGTGTCTCCCTTGCTAACAAGCTGCCTAACCTGGCCCTTCCTTCCACCACCGCTGCCGCTGCTGTTGTCTACCTTCCACTGCCCTAGTATTGTTATTGTTGGTGGTTGGTGGCTTCCACTGCTTTAAATGTCTGGGCGTTCGTGCGTTGCCTGCAACGCAGGCAGCAGAGCAGCGCATAAACATGCACATCGTTAAGAGACGAGACCGGGCTCAGACCCAGGCCCAAATCATGGCCCAGACCCTTTTGGAGCCCCATTCTTCACAGCCCAATCCCCTTGCCCCCTGTTGGCCACTTCTGACTCGTTTCATAGCCGGTCATTTAGAGGCCAGGCCCAGCATGCCTTCCGCCACATATCCGTACAATCAACAAAACTGGCCAGAAATGTTTCTCCTCTTTTACTCGTCTTGTTTTTGTTCGTTTTTGGCTTGTTTTTGGCCTTTTGACTACTCTTTGTTTTCGTGTAATTGTTCTGACTGCCGTTCTTGTTTACGTTTCATTGGTTCCCGAGTTTCAGTTTTTCGAGCGAAAGAGTGATCTCTCCTCTCCATATGTTCAAATCTCGGGTTTCGGGTTATCTAATATGGCTGGGAGGAAACATTAATTCGCAGCTCGTTGGCAAAAGATCCTTAAACTTCATAGTTCAACTGTCTTCGCTAGACGGACACTGCTAATTTATTTCATTTTGTACCTCGAAACTCGCTTCCTATCTTAAGAAAAAAAACCAATTTAAAGTTTATTTATGGCTTTTATTATTTTATACCCTTCCTATATTTGGCATTTTTGCTGTTGCTCCTTTTTTATTTTACTGGCGTTTGTCAATTTTTAACCTGTTGTGCATACTAATTTGTCCGCCAGCTTGATGATTTTTTGTTCGTATTTGGTTTTCCATCTTGACTGTCCCTGGAGAGCGTCTCCCCGTATTCCATAATTTAAGTGACACTTTGGGATGATTTGTGGCCCAAGCGAAAACGCCTTGGTTGATTTTTTAATTAACTTTAGACGAACGATAAATTAAGGCTACTTAAATATTTATTTCTTTTTTCTTTATAAGATCCTTTTGCCAATCGAAACTTTGTAGACTGGCAGCCAAGAAAAGAAGGAAAGAAAAAGAAATGTTCTGGCTAACGCATAAATTACACCACGATACCGAATTCCAGCAATCTCCGAGATTCATCAACATCATTAGTTATAGGTCGAAAAACCCGGCTGAAACCAGAAAACCACATAAACTAATTTATCACTCAGATGGTCCATGCTTTGTTTTAATGGTTTTTGATAGACAAAAGGGAAGAGTTCGATAACGCAAAAACCAAAAGCACGACGGGGCCAAAGAATTAAATTCCACGTTTTTTTGGTTTGGTATGGCTATAAAGCGTTGGAAATTGTTTATCAAGCCGTTGCCATAAATTCATATAAAACTGCAATGCAAAATGAAACTGCAACGCCAACGCAAAATCCAAAATGAGCAGACAGTTTAAGTAAACACAAAACGAGATGTAAACAGGCACTCAGATAAAAAACTCCGCTCAATTGTAATGATTGCAATTTTAAGTCAAGTTTATTTACGCATAAAGTTCGTTTGACTTTTTTATTAATAATAATTTAGTACAAAGATTACAGTAAACTTAGATAATTGAAACCCTTTTTAGGTTTTTAAGTTGCTGTAAAAATTTTCCCAACTGAAAAATCTGCAAAAACAAAACCATAGCTAAAAATAATGATTTTTAGGTTTATACTGTATTACCTATTTTTATATTTTAATAATATCTTCGGAATATTTCAATAACAAACTTAGATAAATAACAGCTTTTTAAGCCATTTAACTAGTTAATCTAAATGATTGGCTAAACTTTCCAAAACACTTTTCCAAATTCCAAATACAAAACTATAGCTAATAATAATGTTTTTAGGTATATATCTATATCTGTATAATTGCAGTCTTAAATATTTATTTGAAATATTTTATTGTTTTTAGTCACAATTTTCCACCGTGTACTCCCCGAACTCGTTTGCTTGTGTCGTTTGTTGGGAAAAGAGTTTCTGGTAGGCAGCACAAACAAATCATTGAAGCCGCTGCTGAGTGCGTGCGTTTAAATCTATCAATAGGAGCATTTGTAATTGTTACACTGGGCAGAGGCAATTCCGGTTGGTTGGGGGCCAATGGCTTATAACTTGGAATCGGAATAGGCAAGCCAGGGAGGGGGGAGGTGTTGTGTGCACATACGGTTGCAACAACACAAATCATTCTCTAATGCGTTGATATACAAATTGTTCGCCGTTTGTGTTTAATTTCTCCCTTATGGTCCAAGCATGCTAATTAACAGCCAACGATGTAGCATCCGCTCCTTTCTCTTTCTCAACGATGACTTCCTCTTTAAGTATACATATATGATATATACATATATATATATATATATAAAGCTTCCTCTTACTCTGTCACACAAGATGTGTGTCTGGCATGAAAGAGTCGAGGCTGTGGTATGCCATGTCATCTTAATAATGACATTTATTTGTAACGTGTTAAGATACTAAATTGCCACGGCCACATGCAACAGGCGGCACATAACCATAGCTGTGAGCGATTCATCTCCATTGGCATGTCACTATGGCATACCTGGACAAAAGCATATGAATATATATTACATATTTATATACATATATATATATGTATCCACCAGATTGCGGTTTGTCCCCTCATCTTCCATCAGAGTCTCGGCAATTTTCAACAATTTGCAGCCATTTTTGTGCAGCAACAAGAAAAGCTATAACAATTTCCACGACTACAGCTTGGTATGCGTAATAACTTTGGTACTGCCAACGAATTACACTGGTTAACAAACTTTTAATGCCAAGGGAAAAGTTTTTATTTTAATTCTGTAATCTGTAATCAGATATATACGTACGTATATATACGAGGTGTGTTCAAAAAGTAAGGTGACTTTTCAAATTTCTCGGGCAACATATTTTCGATTATCGTTTTTTTTGTTTTGTTATATTGGTACACTCTTCCCTAACATCTGTACCAAGTTTCAATGGAACATCCTCTTTTGTTTGGTTGTGAGAGGCGTAAAGTACAAGTTATTTTGCGAGCTCGGCGATTTTTGCTTTTCGGTCTTGGCTCGTCTGGGCTCTTCCATTGGGACGATTGGGCTTTGGTTTCGATATCATAACCATATACCCATGATTCGTCACCAGTTATGACCCTGAGTAAATCTGGGTCGTCGTTGACGTCATTCAACAGCTCTTGAGCGATGCTCATGCGACGGTTCTTTTGCTCAAAATTCAGCAATTTCGGAACAAACTTCGCTGACACACGACTCATACCAAAACGTTTGAAAAAATTTCATGGCACGAGCCAAGCGATATACCGACATCTTCAGCAACTTCCGATAGTGATTCGACGATTTTCCAAAACAATTTTCGTCACTGCTTGAACGTTTTCATCAGTTGTTGACGTGCTTGGGCGTCCAGAGCGAGGCTGGTCATTGGCATCTTCCGGCCATCTTGGATGAGTTTGTACCACTTGTACACATTTTTTTTACTCAGAACAGTTTCACCGTATGCCACTGTCAACATTTCAAGTGTTTCAGAGCACTTAATTTTATTTTTACACAAAATTTGATGCAAATCCTTTGATCCATATTTTCGATAGCAAAAAACGCCGAGCTCGCAAAACAACTTGTAACTTACGCCTCCACAACCAAACAAAGAGGATGTTCCATTGAAACTTGGTACAGATGTTAGGGAAGAGTGTACCAATATAACAAAACAAAAATCGATAATCGAAAATATGTTGCCCGAGAAATTTGAAAAGTCACCTTACTTTTTGAACACACCTCGTATGTTCGTAAAAAGTTAATATTTTTATTATTTTAAATTTTTAGAAAGGTCTTTAGACCCAACATGAAGAAAGTAGAACATAATAAAAAAAACCACGAATCGAGAATCAAAAGCGAGAGAGCGCTAGTTCCTATAATATATAATAATTTTGTTATAATATTTAATATTTTTAAAAACTTGATAGAGATCTATATACTAGAGCTAAAGCATCATTATTTGGCTATAAAAATCATATTAGCCTGCCTCCGTAGTAAGATTTTTATACGTTAATTTAGATAAACAAACTCAAATGCCACCTCTTTATACATTCTAGTCCTGGAAAACTCCACAAAAAATCTATATAAAATCAAGAAGAAACGACATAGCCGAGTGCCTAGAATATAAGATACCTGTTACTGTCTTACACAATTTTAAAACATTGAGAGGGGGCGTGGCAGGCTGCTGAAAAACTTGCGCTGCGTAGGGACCTCAAGAATCTTCATGCTAAATCTCAACTTTGTTTCTCTTATAGTTCCTGAGATATCACCGTTCATACGAACAGACGGTCAGTCGGACAGACAGATGGACCGACGGACGGACAGACGGACACGGCTTAACCGACTCGGCTATTGATATATATATTTATATATTGATACATATATACTTTATAGGGTCGGAAAGGCTTCCTTCTACCTGTTACATACCTTTCAACGAATCTAATATAGCCCTTTTCTCTACGAGAAACGGGTATAAAAAACAATAAAGTTCGTCATTTAATTAGTTGATATTTCATCCTAAATACCAATTTGTTTTACAATAACTCCATGGCCTGTTGGCCAGTGTACTTCAGCTCCTGAACCTGGACACCTCCTCCGATTCAGTTCAGCAATCAACCACAGCTGCCAGGGTGCGTGTGTTCCTCAGCTGGATCGTGGCAATTGTTATAATTTGCCGCATATTGAAATTGAATTGCCTCGATGGGAGAGGTGGTGAGGGGAGGGAAGAGAGGTGCCTATGCTTGCATGTATCACTCACTCGCTCACCTTCACGGTAAATGCAGTTGCGCGCTTGACTAATTTTGCATTCATGCCTGCACTGGGTGCAAACAGCATAGTTAGCCGGGTGTGTTGATGTGTGGCTGCTCCCACAAGTTTCCGTTTCCACTTGGCCATTCGATTGGCTGTTGACAGCAGGCTATTTGCCTTCTTGACTGTGGAGGGATAACGTTGATATAGTGGAAGGAATTCAAGATGGAATGTGATTTGAGTGGATTGTCATTGAAAAATTGATTTTGATGGTAAAATATTTTTTGGCAATATTTATTGGTTATTAAGAAAAGTTAGCTAATTTTTAGGATGCTTCTTGGGGATATATTATTTAATGGGTTCTGGGCACAACCTTTTATAAATTGGAAAAGGTTTGATTGCTAATATGACGTACATTAAACTTTCAAGGAAAAAGTTAGGTAAATATTGTGAACAATTTGTATATAGCACATCC